CACTACATTGACCAGTGAGTTGTCAAAAAGCGCAGTATGATTCGGCTGGGCTCCGCAGGATTCGGGTCCGGTCATCGACCGGTGCCACGTCAAATGTACGGAGTGGAGCCCACCAATGAGAAGTAGGGACCCAATATACCACGTGGTCTGGAGAATATCAACCTTCGATTCGCTTACGTAGGCAGACTCGTGTGCCGAGCGCGCTCATGTGCACTGAGTGCAGACTGGTTCCACTGAATCATGTAGGAGGCAGGCGTCCCCCTTCCTTCCCCTTCGTGAAGACGAAGCTTCATGCCACTAGTAGGACCAGAGCAGGACCTGAAAAGAGCAGGCATACCCAGCACGTTCAACTTCTGCCAACTGCACAGGCTATCTTAAAAGTGAGCTTGGTGGCTTGGTGGCCAGGTTTTTCTCCCAAGATTAAAGCTGATGTGGCGTATAAGTCGTAGGTTCTGATTTAGTTGACGGGAACTAGTTGGCGCGGGTTTGTGACTGGACGCACAGCGTCAAGCCTGCATTCTTTCGCAGCAGAGGGCTGCTTGCAGCTTACAATTTCCGGTCAGGTGTTGTCAGCCAGCTCCTAAGCGGATCCCTTCCTGGTCCTATGGTTCAGGACAGGGGTCTGTTTCGCGCCGCCTCTGAAAATGCTCACCAGCCTCAGCGTGACAGAGATATCCGTCCGCAGTGGGCTACGAACCCGCTCATTGCCAGGCTTCCGTTACCCTTTCAAAGGCATGCTCCTCGTCCCAGACTTGGTGATCACGAACCTAATGGAGGGTTTCATCTGTGGGGTAATGAGAACCGTCCCCCCCAACAGCAGACTGCAGGAGTGCAGCCAGCATTCCCTTTCGCTTGGGTGAGTATCTCTTTCTTGGACTTTGCTAGATGAATGATGTTGCAGCTGCCCCTCCAAAAGCACGGCTCTTAGTATGCGGTCATGATTTGAGCTGTTATTTTGATGCGCTGACTCTGTCCAGTGCTAACGAGCAGATGATCAGTAGGCGCTTGCAAGTTGCCAGCGGAAGCTGAATTTGACTTGAGTGTTGATCAGGATGTCAATGACATCTTGGACCCCAAGCAGAAGCACATAAATGGCTGGCTTAAAGCAAACTTGGTGCATACCCTTGATGCACAGATATGAAGTCACAACTCAGCGGCACCTTGTGCTCACGGTCACACTAGTCTCTCAATGCATAGTAAGAATCCCTGCCCTCTGTTTTGCAGCCTTGCCGTGCGCCATTCTCGCCACCACCTGCGACGCTCAGTGGGATTGTGTTTGAGCTTGAGAGCATGGTAGGTTATCCGAGCTGATTCTTTGTATCAATCTGAGTGGCTGCCCTGACATAGAAGAGGATTCTGCTTTTTCTCCAGCTCAACACACATGCAGACAGCGATAGCATCTTCTTTTGATAAGAGTCCTTGCTCAAATATATGCTGGTAGATTCAAATCTGATCTGCGCTCTCTGTGATGTTGTCTTCGCAGTCAGATCTTGCTTGATATGATGCCCCTGCACAGGATCTCTCCGATGTTCTGCTCCGCAAAGTTATTGGTATTTGTCTTGATCGTCCTCCAGTGGTCTTACTGCAGCCTGTGGTTGGAGATGGTACACGATCTGCCAAGGTTTTTGCTTCAGTCAGCGAGCGGGATCGCAAGGGCCTGGATAGGGTGGCAAGCCTCTTCTCTTATGGGTCATTGGGAAACCTCGTGAGCGCTGTTGGGTCGGGGGGTTTGCTGCGAAGGGTGCAGCAGCTGGCTGCAAACGAGTTCCTCAATCAGTCCAGGGCTCAGAATGAGGGTTTGAGGAGGGAGAGAGATGCAGCCCGCCAGGAAGTGTTCGCAGCTCAGAAAGAGAAGGAGGCTGCAAGCGAGCTCGCTGGAAAGTGGCAAAGCGTGTGCGGGGAATTGGAGGAGACGGGGAAAGCCCGTTTGGCAGAGGTCCAGCACGAGTTGTGGCGATGCAAGGCCGACTTGGATGACATAAATACAAGGTTTGAGACGGCGAGCAAGGAGCTCCGAGTAGCAAAGAAAGAGCTGACTGCAGTTCGGAAGGCTGGGGGGGCGCAGAAGGCTGTGATCAAAGACCTAAGGGAGAAGCAATCACAGCGCACTAAGCAAGAAAAAAGCAAGGTGTGGTTGAAGGCGGAGATTGCGAGACTGTCTCAGAAGCTAAGCGGTCAAGAGCGTGGCGGAGCTGTGGCAGTAGCGGCGATTGGGCCGTTGGGGAAGAGGCGGCGGAAAGCGCGGGTGCTCAACCCTGCACGGCGGGCGCAGAATGACCGGAATACGAAAGTGCGGGAGGCACTAGTGGGAGCTCTTGCCAAAGTCAGGGACGCGGTGGGGACCGGAGAAAACCCGCGGGAGGATGAGAAGCGGGCCCTGGAGGCTGTGGCGAAGGCGCTGGCAGTGAAGTCTGGGAAGAAGCTCATCACAGCTCACCCCGAATTGCTTGTGCCGGAGCGGGTGGGTAAGAAGTTGCGGGAGGAAGGGGAGAAGGAGGTGGTTGCGTGGATGAGGAACCCTGCGCGGTGGCTGAAAATGATGGATGTTGGGGACATCAGTTTCAGTCGCGCTGACAAGTTGACTGTGGCGTTTCCGCTGGGTTCCAAGCCCCCGAACAAGGACATCATCTTGGAGAAGAAGGTCCTGAACGCAGTGATGCAGCAAGTGAACCCTATCTCTCCTACCCCCGGGGGAAATGGGCACCAGTTTGGGCTTGCACGAGGGGTTGAGCTTGTGCTCCCGCTGTGGTTGGACGAGATGAAGAAGGCAGGGAAGGCGGTGCGGGTCAACTGGGATACCAAGAAGGGAAAGATATTGGTGAGTGCATCGCTGGCGTTGCTTCTTTTATGCTCGTGTGGATGGGGCTGGTTCAAAGTCTGTTGATCTTAAAGGTGTTGGGGTTTTTGCAGGCTGGTGCATCTCATTCGATCATGTAAAGGGAAGGTACTCCAGAACATCAACACTTTGGCTCGGTGCTTGCGGTCTTCTATTCAAAGCAACTTATGCGGACTCCCCTATGTCATCAATCTGTCCAGCATTTCGGTGGTTCTGATATTTATGGACTACCTTGCCATCAAGGATGAACATGGAAGTCAGGTTGCAGCTTCAGTCAACGGAGTCTGCTGTATTGCATCTGCAAGGCTTGACTCCTGGTCTTGTTGTTGCCTGCAGATTGCCTGGACAATGGATGCGAGGACGCGGAACCACCGCGACTTCAACACCTTGGTGTTCCTTGCCAAGGAGGACGGCCTGGAGTTCCTGTGGCAGTCCCGGAGATGGGTGTTCACACATGCTGAGATACGGGGCAAGGACAACCGGAAGAACATTGAGGGTGACCTTAAGCCTGCGCTACAGGAGGTTCAGGTATGTCGCAGAGACACTGTTACAGCCAGCTTGAATCCTACCACTTCGTTGGTGCTAAAACGTTCTAGGCGTTGCTGGGATGGTTCTCAAGAAACTAATGGACCCTGGCACATGGCACATGAGAGGTTGAATCACAGGAAACGGAAATAGGCTCATGAGGGATACACTATAGCAAGTTCGCGAATGGCTAAGCTTCAAGTTGATCAAGTGGCGTACAGTGGTGGCAGTGAACCAACCAGATTTGTTGGACATTTTCTAAAGCCAAGCAAAAGGTGACCCGGGTGCCGTCCATCGACCTGCAGACTCGTGGGGCTCTCCACGAACGGGCAATTTCACCTTGGGTGCTTCAAACCGTCAGCTTTCATGGGCACTAACACGGCGCTTTGCTTCTTCAGGAACTGTACAACGGCAAGACAATTACGATAAAGCTCAGAGACCCCGAGACTCTGGAGCTGGTCGCTGTCGAGATGACCTTCAAGGTCCTCATCCCTGGCGACATGTCGATGCACTGGTCCCTCTTCCAAGAGGGTGGTGGCCGGGGAGGGCGTGATGCTCGTCCTTGCGGGCGGTGCAATTGCACCAAGGAGGACCTCGGAAAAGCATTTGAGCGGTACGAGATCAAGGAGGGGGAAACCTTGGAAGAGATTTCGATTCGCCTCCGATACTCTTCCGAATTCCTGCGTGAGATTAATCCGCCTCTAACCAACCCCATGGAGTTAGTATACAGGAAGTTCCAAAAGCCGCTCCCTGCGCCGGCGCAACCGGAGCCGCCAGTTCAGCCACCCGCAAAGCGGAAGAAGAAAGGTGGTCCTCCGCCGCCCCCTCAAACTGTCGAGTGGGCTCCCACGATCTCGCTGGACAGGGACAGTCTGCCGGACGACAAACAACCCATTGGAGCGGGGTGAGTGATCCCGCTTTTTGAACCCTCCGATGAGCCGTCAGTTATGTGTTCTGGGAATGGTGTACAGCCCCGGGCGACCCAGATTGGTCGGGGATTGGCCCCGGGCTGATGGCGACTCAAGTTTCCGACGCTGCCTTTTGATATACAGCAGCCTCAAGCTCTTTTAAAAGCTGTCAGGACCTGTTCCGGGTTGTCGTCGTTCCACATTTCAGTGTTTTATAACGTTCCAGCGTGATATCAGAGTCAACCAAGGCACTTTTGTGGTTGGGAATCTCAACCCGGGGCAGCCCAAAGCTCCTCGAAGTTGGTCGGGAACAGTGGTTTGAGATTCTGACTTTTTGCACCGCTTTGTTTTTGTCTGCGCCATGACTCAAGAGGGCGCACACTGCGTCCTGGGGCTGCCCCGACAGTGTTCGAGGTGGTCGCTAATCTTGTTGCAGCATTTGGTCGGTCTGTAACGCTGTCAATCTTGGGGTGCGCTGTCCCGGCTCCATTGTGGTGGTCGGGGAATGGTTCCGAGCTAAGGGGCGAAGTTACCATGGTGGTTTCTTTGATGCTACGCTGTACGACCACTTGCTGTCCTCCCTTTGCAGGTTTATCCGCGTCTTCATCAGATGGGCAATGAACCGCGAGTGCCCGCACGCGTTCCTGAAGGTCGAGCACGAGGATGCTCCGTTCTGCTCCGAGCACATGACGGCTCGGGTGGTCGAGAACTTCCTGAAGTGGGTGCACACACGTGCTCAAGAACGGTGAGCAGTTTGGGTCTGAATTCTTGAATAATTGTCGAGTGACTCCTTTTCTTTTCGGAATCTCATTTCCTGCACAGGAACTTCTTCTTATACACGACTTGCAATGCTTTTTCGCAACTTCATTCAGTCACCGAGTCACCGCGCCAGGACTGTACGGAGAGACTGACCAGCGTTTTAAATGTTCTCTGTTCTCTATGTTCAGCTTTCACATTAGAAGACCCTTGTTCTTCTGCAGTGGAAAGAAGAAACATTCTGCGTTCACACAAATGGATGGAACGCGCCATCTTACACGCCCCGTTGCTTACTCCCCCTGCCGAAGGCAAAGGGGCGTTGCAATTTTCCGAGCACATGTAGAACCTATCTAAAATCTGGAAATACAACAGGGTTTGGAGACCCGTTTTACTCTCCAAAGCTCGTTTCTTCTCCAAAACCCCTCTGCAGAACATGACGGTCCATGTACGGAGAAAGTGACCAGATGTCCGGTAGTTGATTTGCGATTTTGTCTTTGTGGTGTTTTGGATGAACCTTCTTTGAACCTGGCGGGCCGTTCTCGATAAAACTCCGTTTCGTGTTCTCGTTAAACTTTGCTGCTCTCGACCAGAATTTCTAGGCTCCTCGAAGTCTGTTTCGAAGCAGATTACTGATCAGAGCTGGGGTTGCGAAGCTCTTGCAAATGAATACTAGAGTCGCTTACACGTTTGCTCTTGTATGCAGGGCGCAAGTCGACGAGATCAACGCAAGGTGGAAGGCCTTGAAGATCAACTACGCTATCAGGAAGAAGCCTCAGGGCGCCGGGGAAGGATACAAGGACCCTAGTTGCAAAGGGAAGGTGGCTCGGGACCTCCTGCACAAGGTCGAGGAGTGGCTGCCCCTGCTGTTGAAGCCCGGCGAGGACCAGATTCTGGAGATCTGGCAACTCTTCCGCCGGATGGTTGCGACAGCGCGGGCGTATCATCCAAACCAATCCCAGATTCAGGAGTTTCGAACGGATGCTGCCCGGCTTTTCGTCCTGCACCGTCTGCGTCTCACGGACGAAAATTTTGCATACTACATCCACACAGTCTGTTGTCACGGTAATTGCTACGTCAGTCGTATCTTGTATGTTGCACTAATCTGCTTTTCCGCGTCTCGTCTCCTGCTGCATCGAAACTGCTAGGATTGCTCCGACTAGTGTTCTCTGCTTTGTCCAATCCGGACGACCGGGGCTCCTGTTCTTGAACGGGTCCTGGTGTCGTCATTGCAGGTTATGAGTATCTGCTTCGGTGGGGTCTTGGCCGCGTGATGCAGGAAGCTGTTGAGGCTGAGCACCTGGACAAGGACAAGATCGTCGAGGGCACCTTCCAGGGCGGGAATCCGGGGAACCCGTACCTGAGGAAGTCCAAGGGCGAGGACGGCCGATGGCACTATGACAAAGACGGCCCTCGAAAAGAAATGAAGGTAGGCAAAGTCCTGATTGAATATAGGGTACTGGTTTTCAAGAGGAAGTGGCGGCTTTGCCATAGTGGCCTTGCTTCTTGTTGTAACCAAACAAGAGTCTTGCTCGATTGGTGCCACTGTCCTTTATAGCGCAGAATTGATGCCGTTGCCTGTCGCGCTTCATTTCGCTCGATGGTTGGCGACTTTGGAGATATTAGAGAGAAATCAGAGAAATATTGGGAACCAATCATATGGACCACTATGGAAGTCTCAAGCCCGACTTTGCGTGTCTTCCAGAAACAACACATCACGGAGTACGTGATGCAGAAGACAAACCGGCTTTTGTACTATCGATTAAGTCACTACTGGGATCAAACGTGGTTAGCCGATCTGTTCAGCCAGCTTAGAGCGAATCTCGCTGCATTTGAGACCGTCTCGCAACGGGATGTCGAGGCAGATATAGATGACGATGACGAGCTTCTGGAGGCCGTCCTCAACGAGGAGGAGGAAGAGGCAAGTCGGAGGTCAGAGTCCGCTAGGACCGTGAACCACAATGCGTGTGCCACATGTCAACAAGAGGAGGCAGCTAGCACTAACACGTTGCTCAAGTGTTCCTTGTGCTTCCGTAGGTTTCATAGACTGTGCCACTCACCTCCAGTTGTCGAGCTTGATAGCGACAGTTCTCAGTGGCACTGCAAGGATTGCCATGATCCAGTTGCAGCACTGGGATCGGATGATGACGGTTAAGGTAATCTAAGAAGACAGGCACGCGCATATTAGACAGTCAAAATTGCACGCGACTGTATATTTGTACATATTTATTTGCAATAAATCTGATCTGGCCAGTCATTGCAAGTCTAGCCCGATTTCAACTGTGACTAGGCGCACCGATCCCAAGCCCATTCGCTGTGGCCCGTGCGGCGGCCCGCAGCTCAATTGCCGTTGTCTCCGAGTTAGGGCCCGTGATGCCGACATGTTTGATCTGACATTTGCACCTTAATTCTTTTTGCAAGAAGGTGATTGATATATATATATTGCATAAGCTTGCATGACTGGATGCAAAACGGCCTTCCGGGTGAGCGTCGGTATTGATAGCGAGACCAACTTTATTGAATCATGCATGTGCACTAGCTACACCGTCTTGCTGCGCCGCAAAAGTTACAACTATAATGCTAGCAACATCAATATATAAGGGCCATGCAGTGTAGGTCCGCCACTGGCGGCGTCCGGTTCATGCAATTCGAATATGCGTACTGTCATTTTGCAACCCAGCTAGCGTGCATAGTAGAAGACTGAACTTATAATGCTTGCAGGTGCATGGTACAGTCATCTGCAACCATGCACAATCTAGCTTGTCGATACAGCACACTTTAGAGCAACCATGCCAGGCAGCTAATTGAGCCTGGCGCTACTTTACTTAAGTCCTAGCTGCAATTAAGATATTTCAGTTTATCGACAAGCGCATATCGCGCGGCATCATGGCATGGAATTACGTAACCGTCCGATTTGAGCTACTAACAATGGGCTAACAATGCTCGCGCGGCGACGATTGCAGTGCCTAGTAAGCAGCGACTCGTACCATTTATGTGGCGCAGCAGGGCGGGCGGCTCATCGGGCCCACGGCGCACGATCGACTGCGATCGAGCTAAGGCGGCTTGCAGTTCGATTACTAGCGAGGATCGACTTCCTGAACGTGACCGAGTCATTGAACTTACCTCATATATGCATTAACGTAAGTTGTGACTCAGTGTTTTGTGGACTAACTCAAGTGCGCGGCCGCCCGGGTTGAGGCTTTACCGCTCCATTGCTGCGTCGTGAGTATCATGCAAAGCAGTTATTCAGCATATTATTCGACTTGAGTTTTTAAGTTGCCAGGTTGTGCATGTATGCATATCAAACTCTCATGTGTAATGCATGTGCTCTGAACATCATGAGTTGCCGCTCCGAAGCGGGTATTCTCAAGCATGTGTGCCGCATGGGATTTCTGGTGGCGGAAGTAGGTGCAGATTGTCAAATGGGGGGCTTGGCCCCGACCAAAGAAACAGAAATAAAATTATTTCGGAACACGTTTCATTGCATACGGGTTACATCGCGTGTCCCATTGACTAGCCCCTGCAAGGTTGAACATCTCGAGACCGTGCATCCTAACCTTCATCATATCCCCAGTTGGTGACAACTCTAGAACTATGGGTAGATGGATCTCATAGGAGTTCATGTCACCACCCACCCGTGCGGTTTGCGCATACTTTATCCACCAATCCTGACCTAGCAGCGGGACCAACTGTTCCTTTTGGTCAATCCGGAGTTGGATGCAGGCCTTTTTCCGGTTCCAAGTAGTGCAGTCTAACAGGGCGGGAGGCAGCAAAGCAACCTCTCGCATGCCGCCCCGAACACTGCACTCAGGAACCCACTTATCCCGTATGACCTTTTTGTTAGCAACGTAACTCTGTAGCTTCTCGCCGAGGTGGAAGGCCAACTCTGTAAGCATTTCGCTCGCTTGACTATTACTTCTATAGGCCTGGGCATGGAGGTGTCGAAGGAGCTTGGGGAGACTACTCGGCGACGTCGCACTCCCCTCCAAGTTGAAATCAATATGCTTAAGAAGCCCGGAGTCGTAATCCCACACGCTCTGCATCCACAACGATATGATGATCAGCAGCGAGGTATGTACCTTGTCTGGCAGAAAATCCGCGAAGTCATAACAGAATCCAGATATTGAGGGGAGTACCTTGTCTGGCAGAAAATCCGCGAAGTCATAACAGAATCCAGATATTGAGGCAAAGGTACAAACACAGAATGCAGAACCTTGAAAGCAATACTGGTTATCAAGAAGCAATACCACGACGCAGTCCTACACAAATACTCTTACCTTGTAGAAGAGCCCGTCCAAGTCTTCACCGACGAAGAAGGGCTGGACATCTGTAAGGTCCGAAACCTCATCGACCTCAAATTCTACTCTATGCTTGGTTACGTACACCTCGCTCCCCTCATTGCTACCACTAAAATCGGTAACACCCGAGAAAACACGAATGTCTTCAGCTCGCCAAAAGTAGTACCCTGCCCCCGTTTTTCCCGATGGATGGTTTGGAGGAAAGAGCTCAGTGATTAGAAGAATGAAAGGAGCAGAATCCTCCTGCTCAGGACGCAGGAACACACACTGACCCACAAACAAAGTCCCTGGTGACTCGCTCTGCATAAGACGGTACCAGCCTTTGTTTGGGAATGTTAGCGAGGAAACTATGGGCTGCTCAATGGAAGGCGACCACCAGGACAAAACCTCCTCGATGGGCACTGTTTCCGAAGTCTCCCAACTCGCCCGGGCTGCAAAACAAAGTACTTGGATAAGCAAATGCGGCGAGCTTCCCTGATCATGTTGCCTTACAGCTGCTCTGCCGCGGTCTGAACAAGCAAGGAATGCATGGAACCAAAAGGCAAGAAGGAGTGCACTGAAGAAGAGCACCGCATTTCAGATTCCACCTTGGAAGCTTGTCCTTCAGGACATCTCAAATCCCGTTTGGTCCAAGACAAAACACAGCGCAGTACAGGACGCTCCTCACCTGGTCCTTTCTGCCGTTTCCGGTGACCACTTGCCTCCGGTTTGACCGGCGACAACCCATCAATATTCACCCCTGCAGATGAGAACAGCGGTTGCTCGTTAGCTCGTAAGTGAGTTGCAATTGAGATTGCTCAGGAAGTGTCATGTTGAACCCATTCCGCGCAAAACCTGCTTCGTGTTCCCTTCAAGGGGGTGGCAACGAACGAGTGCAGCCCCCCTCAGAGGACTGTGCAGTCCCCCCTGAAAGAGCGCCGCGCGAATGGACCGCGATCCTCTAGGGGGAAGCAAAAAAAGCATTTCAGGCTCCTTTAAAGAATGTCGAGAATCTGCTTCCTACTATGGCCTTCGGGTAGGGCGGCACTAAATCCAAGCAGAACCAATCAATATTAGCATCGAGCCAGTCTTTAACAGTGGAAGGCAACAGGGCTGGAGAGACCCCCCTTGAAGAGCGCCGTCCAAAAGGCCAAAGCACTCTGAGCTATTCACCTACCTGCATCCAGCTGGGCATAGTTGTGCACAGCCCGCTTTCGCTTCTCATTGGTTGCTTGCGCGCCCGCACTTGCAGAAGTTGCTGAAAGCAAAGAAAGACAAAAGCATGAACTGAAGGTCTAAAGCACCTGACAAAACTGCGCACGAAGCTCAGTCGTTGTGATCGAACAGAAGCTCAAGCAAGTCAGACTGCCTTGTCTGGTCCACCTAAGATTGTCGACACCGTCGCTGACAAAGCACAAACAACTCAGACTCCCGTACAACTAGACTCCAGCATTGTTACCAAGTTAGCGATCACGCATTACTCACATGCTTGGTCCAGAACTGCTTCAGGAACAGAAGGCCTTGCAGTCGAGGCATCGGTGGCAGGAGGTGCGTGTGCTTCAGCACCACCTTGAGCTCTTGGATCAGATGGCGGTACTGACCCCTTGGATAGTGCTGCACAAATGCCTAGTGTGAGCCAGGACGGCACTTGAAACGCAGATCTCCAATAGCATCTGAAAGGATTAAGCAAAAGACCTACAATGTAGGCCTCTTAGGCAGCCAACTTAAGCAGCCTTTCGCTTGCAAGGGAAGCTTGAAGCAAGCAGCACTATACCAGCAGCATAAACTTCAATCCCTTCTGAAGCGTCGGGACAGTGAAGGCAGCTACAAAACTCAAACCCTGCGCAGTGCATAATCGGGAGCAAAACATGAAGATGCCGGCGCCAGCTACGAAGAAGAGTTTTTGAGTTTTGTCTCTATATGGACCTCTAGATTTGCAGAATGAGCCCTCAACCCTAAGCTGTTGTTAGGCTGGTTGTTGATCGAGCAGCGGAATGCATAGGATCGTGACTTGAACTACCGCGCCCTAGTCAAGTGACTTGGCAGCTCAAGACTCATCCATCCGTACTCAAGTTCAACAAAGCTGCCGAGGACTGGTCAAGAGAACAATTCTCAGACATTTGAAGATGAGACAAGCTCAGCAGACCAATCGCATGTGGACAAAATATGCAAAAGCTTAGGTAGAAAAAGATCCCAACTCACAAGCTGCCGTGGACATGGAAAACTGCCTTTGTGTGGACAAACTTACCTCTCACGGTCTTTGATATCGCTGGGATGTGCCACAGATGCTTCTGCCACAGGCTCGTCAAGTCTGCTGCTGGGTCCAGCCGCTTGATACATGCCTCCACCTGGACTTTGCTTGCCAGATAAACCCCTTTCTTCAGGGCTGGCTCCACCCCTGGGGGCCACATGTACCTGTCCATCCAGACAAGCTGCCCTTTCTTATCTACAGTTGACCTGCAGCCAACACCCCAACTAAAGCCTGGCGGTGCATATGGAGGCCCCTGCCCCCGTGCATTAGGTCCAACAGGGGGCACTTCCATCATGGCTGAATTGCTGAGAAACTGCGTTCCGAAGCTGTTGCTAATAGTATTTGTATTGTGGAACAAGGGCCTGCCTAATAAAGCACCAGAAGGGCCAGCCCCGTCCTTCAAACTCTCTTCCCGAGCGGCTGGAGAGAATAACCGGCATAGAGGTCATCCAACCTGACTCCTACTTGGCGCAGGACTCAAAGGCACTGAATTTCCTTGCATGGAAGCGCTTCCTCCAGCCTAGCTGAGCCTGCACTGGCAGCCATGATTCATGATGAGACTCAACTTCAAGCCTGGACGCAGGATGATGCCATTGATGGCGGGCAGGCGCCAAAGTCAAGGGCCACGTAGGCAGTGCAGTACTGCCGAAGTAACTCTGCGAATCTGATATTTGGCCCTTGACGTCACAATTCGCTCGTGCGGTGAATTTTCCAAGACCATGTGAAAGGTCATCGGACGGTCCAAGCTGTTCGCCGCGGGAGCCGGAGACCTGAAAAGTGACCGAGTTAGACTGCGCTTTTTGACAACTTGCTGGTCAATGTAGTGAGTGTCAACGGTGTAGGAGCTGCTTCTTAATTTTTGCTAGAGCTTCGATTCCATTTGCGTGCCTAATTTTGCTAAATTGAAGAAACATCTGCCAGATTGCTGCATCGACTCTGCGAGAAAAGCCACGTACCCAGTTTTCTTTTCGACTTCCAGCTCATGACTTGGTAAGGAAAAATGCCACGAGCTCGCCACTGTGCTCATGCTGATGCGCTTCCGAAACACGAATTCGTCGACACCGGCCAGTGACCATCACATTGGGCAGCTGGCCCGTGGATCGGCCTAACTTAGTGAGAAACATGAGAGAATGAGACAAGTCGGAAACATTCCTGCACGTCACTCTTGTAAGTCAACGTCGATCACGTGACGTTGGAAGGCCGGTGTTTCTGCCCTCTCTGCCCTCACATCACATGAGCTGGAAGGCCGGGGCCCGGCAGTATTGTCTCGTCGATCCGAGTCCCAGCTGTCAAGCTGTAAGAATATCTGGTATGATCAGAGAAGCGTACCATGCAGCTGCGGAATCAGTACAGGGGTCGTCCAAACGCGGCGGAGACGTGGCCTTGGAAGTGCGGCTATAATTGAGTCGCGGTACTCATGACGTGATTATATGGCGGGATCGTAGCCTGATGTATTTTCGTACGCCCGTTGATCGCACTTAAGTCAATCGATCTGTATATATGTTCTAAACGCCGATGTGTATATACCTGAGGCGTTGTGCGTTGCCTTCATTTGATGTGTTGATGCATGCGTATGTAAAACCTACGAGTTGCAAGCTCAAGGAACGGGGCAAGGAACGTACTTGATTGCATGAGCTTCCGAGCAAGAAGACTAAGGCTTCTATATAAGCCCACTTAGTATGCAGGGTTTCCCAAGTACTTCCGTTCCGGCCAGCCAGCCACAGGCTCAGGACCCCGGTTGTACCAAAGTTGGGAAACAGGCAGTCGAGGGTGCTTTTCAATGAAAAGTTCCCATTAAGTTGTCCGCCCCAGGTTTGCCAGCCACTCTTAATGGCTGAAAACTTCTTTTTGCCTTTGCCAGCTCCGTGGGGGGGCCAGGGCTCTAGCTGAGTACATTGCGGGGGTGTGATTGTCGCCAGCTCCCCAGCCGGCGGGGTGCACCCCCATGCCTTCTGAACCAGCCAGAGTTCCTTCCCAGGCAGCCAGCCAGGTCCGCCGCAGGCTGCCGGTCTTGGGAAACCCTGCCACTATGTGTATAGCACAGAAAAGAAACGGAAATATTAGCAGCAGCAATGCATATGCAACTTTTACAATCGGACGCTTACAGACGAATCGGTACTTGTGATAGTACACTGACATCCTCTGGTGCATTCCATCGAGACGATAGCTGAACATGTTTCCATTGTTTCGATGTGTGACTTTGTTCATTTTACCCAACATGTTCGATGCATATATAAAGTAATCAGTACGTGTCAAAATCATGCAGTGTCTCTACAGTGCACACCGGCGCGCGGTTTGCCAAATGTCTGTGAACAAGGTAAACCAGAACACAAACGTATTTGCAATTGCCTTTTCAACACCCTACCTTTTATCAATGATATTATTGTTGGATGTCATTGCTCCTGTGTCTAGTAGGCGTGCCAGGGGCGTCAACAGACGTCAGTAGATTAATGAGCTGCCGCTCATGAACAGGGGCTCAAATAGCTGACTCAGCGATCTCCGTTGCCTTTCATTTAGAAGCGAACAAACTGTTAGCTCTTAAGTTCAAGTTGTTAGTTTCTGATTTCAGGATATGTCAGTACTTGAACATTTGAACCCATAGTTCTCAAAGTGAGTTTTCGAATGTCCTTGCTACAACCCAGAATGAGGATCCGTTTTCAACTCTAAGGTGGTCGCTGGAAAGCAACCACTACTGGCGTGCGTGCAATTACACTGTATGTCCCCAATGACCCGTCACTGGTTTCATATCCGAAAGCCTTTTTTGTAAACTGCACGAGGCGCGCAGAGTCTAAGAGTTTAAGAGTCTAGAGTCTAAGAATTCCCGTTCTCTCGCACAGAGTCTAATTAGAGTTCCCGTTACAAACGCGGGTTTGAAACCCCAAAGTTTGGTCAAGGCCTTATTTGGGGTGATCACTAGCGAGCGAACTGTTGACCGAGGACAGTATTCCGGTCTCAAGCTTGACTGTTCATGCCTCAGCAACGCCATGGAGGTACAGTGGACGAAATTCGAGAAGCAACCTGGATAGAAGACCAGAGAATCGCCATTAGGAGAAGTCGAGCTACAAGATTCTCCACCTGACTAACGTTTCTCACAGTGTTTTCTCACAGTTAGTAACTCCAGTCGAAGATCTCCTGTATGCCCCTCTACAGATTCATCCGTTCAGAGATTCCGTTCACCGTTTTTCGGGGTATTGCTCCGCCAAAGCGCCATGCTGTCTTCTCATGTGAGAACATTCCAGCAGATTTTGATCACGCAAGGATGACTGCAAAACAAACCCGGAACCTACCTGGAATGACCAGAGGCTTAGATGGGTGCGCAGAAGGGGGTGGGTCCGGTGGTTCCGGCGCACTGGAAGCCGGAAGCCGCGCAGCAGATGGACGGGGCGCCAGCACCAGCAGCGAGGCACTGCAACGACCAGACGTTGCAAAATCATGAGCACATACAACGGGAGTTCCGGACTTTCAAGACCTCAGAAAGACAACAAGACGGGCGCAAAAACAGCATTTCGATGGCACCAATCCTTGGAGGCGAGACCCAACGTGACAGCACGGAGGTGCGAACCTAAAGTTCCTGGGTACGTGCGATTGTTTGAGCATCAAGTGCGCGAGCTTGGCCCCTATGGTTCACTCACCGGCTGGCTGAAGTTGGGGTTGCCGCATATGCCGTCGACGGGGGGGACACTACCCGGGGCGGTGGTTGAGATAGGCGTGGTGGGGCGGGGCGTGGTGGCACCAGCGGGGAAGTCCAGACCACCGTTCGGGGTAGAGCAAAGAGCCCTGTTGTCGTTGGGACCGATAGGGCCACCGAACTGGCCGGAGCAGGCAACCACGCAGCACGTGAGGGTGGATCCTCCGCTGGAGTAGCACTGTAAACCAGACGGGGGATCGGTCATCAGCGCTTGGCAAGAAGAGGGGTGAAAGTGGAGCGCTCTCCTCAAACGTTGACCCTATCTGCAGCTCCATTCAGCCACCAATCACGTCATAAAAGCAATGTAGGAAATCAGTCCAATCCTGTTACTTTAGTCCGGAACACCTTCAGGCACTGAGAGATGTAGTTGTTATGCAGGGTTGATCGTCTCCCGACTACATCTCTCATTGCCTAAAAGTGTTCACGGGGTTGATCATAGAGAAGATCGAGCTTTGCACATGTAATATCAGTGGGAAAGAAAGAGAAAACTTACAGGGTTGAGGCCATTGGCGCAAGCACCATTGACGGGCTGGACGGTGAAGGTACCTACAATTGAACATGCAAGGATGATGAGCCAAAAGCTGCGGATCGAAGTCAGCTGAAGAATTCATTTGTATCCGCAAACACTAGCTGCTTTGATCGAAAACCGAGAATCCACTCAGGAAACAGTATCATAACGGAACACCAGGGAGACGTCGCTGAAAGAGCGTTTGATCCGATCAGGCAAGCGACTTTACAGTCATCAACCCAAATCCCTAGAAGGCAATCCCCGGGGGCACCAGAAGAAGCTGAGCAGAAAGGTGACACATGAAAATTTGCTGAGATCCATGCTTCCGGGTTCGATTCGACAACTTCAACAATTTTGCTCGCTTAAGTTGATCGCCCCTTCCTTTTTGCGGCCTTCCGCAGCTGACGTAAGATGACGTAGACCCTTCGGAACCGCGGTATACTCTCCCGTACCGGACCTCCGGACAGCGTCCGGTCCGTGCCTGAAGGCCTTATAGGTTTGGTCCGTAGCGCATATCCTACAACTGGCTGCTTCCTAAAAAGTCCCATACCGCCTGGCATAGAAGGGTCCCACAAGTACTGACCGTTGCCCTGGAGGAGCCTCCTCATGGTCTTGTGGGTGGCAGCGATGAACTCGTTCCGAGAGACGGCCTTGAGGGCGGGGTGGGCAGCGGACTGGGATTGGCTGAAGGAGGCCTCGAAGGCGGCGAAGGGTGCGGGGGTGACGATGACGTCAGCACCGGTCAGGTCGAGGCAAGAGACAGGCTCCTCGTTGATGGTGGCAGGGGCGAGAGGGACGACGGTGAAGCTGAGGGAAGAAAAGAACATGATAAATTCTGAAGATACTTGGCAGAGACCGGACGTACTTGGCAGCAGCCTGAGAGTATCTACCGAGACGAAAAGTCGAGCAGATTTGGTCAAGAGACTCCTTGATGAGAAGATCCGGACGTTTGACGAACGAAGAGGTGTAGACAAATCATGTAGAAGGGTTCTAGACCAAACTTTGATCAGGCAGTCAAGGCTCGCCAAGGGAGCAGCTTGGATCAGCCAAATCTTACGGTGCCACGAGAGTCTTGAGAGAAGTTGTGGCAATGTTTACCCAGACGATCCACAGCAAGATCAACCAATAGAATTGTGGAAGCCCTTCTAAGTCGTAAAGACCCCCCTCGCAGAAATGCTTACGGCCAGCCAGACCTCTCAAGACCGGATTCCAGGCAGACAGTCAAAGGAACCTCGTGCACAACTGGCATGCTTGAATCCGTATGTGAAGACATGCATGGTAAATTCCGCATGCTGGTGTAACCCTCACCTCTTGTCGGCCGCCACCGATTTCAGGGTTTGCCACGACTCGATGGAGGCTCCGTGCTTGAGGGATTTGTGGTGGAGGAACAGCGGGGCGCCCGCCAGATCGTGCTGAACCATGTGTGGCCACAGAAGCCGGTCTCAGTCTCAGACCCGGCAACCGCGACGGCGGTTTCAACCATGAAGAACGGCGTCTTGGTGGCGAGGAAAGCCAGGCGGACTGAGGCCTCCTTGTCTCCGTTCACCATCTGCTGGAACGTCGCGTCCTTGGCGAGGAAAAAGGCCAGGTTGAGGGCGGCCCACGAGGTGCGCTTGTTCACGACGATCTGGCCCGACTCCTGCTCCCAGCCCTGGGGCTCAATACCGAGCACGGACCAGATCGGGTTCCGGGTGGCAGTCTGCCAGAAGTCGGGCCAGAAGAGGGCACCGGCGGAACGGTACTTGGCAGAGGAGAAGAGGGCGGCGGGGTTGGAGATAGCGACGTTGTCCGCGTCCATGAACAGAACCTCCTCGAAGGCAGAGTGGATGATCGCCAGGGGCTTGGCCTGTAGGGGGGGGCACAGAGGGGGGCCATCAGTGCTTACCACAGATTAGCAGTTATCACCCCCCTGAAACATGCAGGGAGTTGAGATGATGGGAAAACAGTGACCAGGAAGGGGGACCCACGTGGGATTGGAATCCCTCTGTGGTATGGGGATGGATCAGAAAGGGCATGCGGCCCCAGAGTTGACAGGATCCAGGACAATTCCACGCTCGAGACAATCGGCTCAAATTGAGAAGCAGATGGAAAGCACAAATCAGGAAGTTACGAACAGATGACGTCGTCGGATTTGAGGCAATCATCTCGACGCAAGCTGGTGCATGCCTTGAAGAAGACGTGTCCATAAAAGTTCAAAGATTTGCCAGATGATATTGTCCCTACTCCTTGCATAATGCATCTGGACTTTGCTCGACATGGAAGACGAGACCAAACATGTCAAGAAAGAATGATTCGTGAAGGTACGTCAGCGGGTCCCTTATGCACCCTTTTTGGAAAGAAGGCTCAGATTACATCCTGCTCAAGTTAGAGACGAGGCTTTCATTGGATCTGAGAGCATTCACATGCGACTCAAACAGGCATTTACATGATAGAGGAGGCAGCATCACCACCGGCGGGACAAGTTAAGAATCCGTGACCCATTCTGAACATACCTGGAAAACATGGTCTCCCTGGCTGGTGATGGTGCTCTTCAGGTCAGCAGCGCTGGCATAGTTAGCCACGTTCCTGATCACCAGCTTCCTATAGGTGCCGGACAGGGTGTCGATGATGTCAGCGCTGACCTCGCCTGAGTACCAAATCTGCACAGAGGGGAAATATGGTGAGCCCAAGAGCAGCTCGGCATGCCCAACTATATATATAGTCTATGGTGTGACCAATCTGGCAAGAATTACATTGTCAGATTACTTGAAATTATCTGAAATCACTTACTTGAAATTTGTACCCCATACATTGAATGCCACATTGGAGCTTGAGTCTTTACCCGGAGGATAGCAATCGTGAACAATCAGCTTGTATTTTGCGGCGTGTTCTCCACTCAATGATGCAGACAGCTCGTCACCAACGCCCTCAACTTCATGCCTGACTTCGAATCTTGACTCCCACCTGCGCTTTCCAGAAGACTGGGTCCCTTGGGCAACGTCCGGCAGTTAAACTGCTTATATTGCACACCAGCTTAGCATTGCATAGCTCAAAAGGTCGAGTAAGTACCGAAAGCGGAATGATTGTGATTCCCTGATCCCCTGATGCTGTGGGAGACAGAATCCTTCTTAGGAAGGTTAATGGCAATGCTCAGAGGCCACCACAAATCAGTTACAAAACACTCGTCGCAAGATTTTACTTAATGCAGGGCATGTGACATAATGTGGTTCTTGAGGGGCAGCTTTTCGTGAGGCACTCCGAAAGCTCACCTCAATGGCAGGCAGGTTGAGGCCCTCGGAGTGAAAGGTCCCCAGAATGGCGGGGATATTGTCCATATCAAGCTTGGTCGCGGTGATAACCAGACCTTTGCCAGAGAAGTGACCAGCGGGGTACTTGGGGGTGCTGGCGAGGGCAGCCTTCCAGGCAGCAGTGAGCTGCTCCGTCTGGCTGGACAGCTCAGCCCAACTTTTAGGGGAGGATAGGCCATGGAAGTTGCAGTCTACATGGGACTCACTAGGAACGCAGGCAGCGGCGTACAGGACAATGGCAGAGAGGGAAAGGAGCGCCGCGAGGGCGGCGCGGGGAGCCATTGCCGACAGCGCTTGTAGGGACGGGAGGCTGCTGAGCACTTCAAAACTTCGGAGCTGCCAGCTGCGTTCTTCTTGTTGAGGATTCGGTAGAACCAAGAAAACAGCGCTAGACGCAGCTCCAGCCTTATGCAATTATTTCTGGGGGGCGATGCCGCAGACAGAAATCAGCATCTCTTTGGTTGTTCCCCTGCAACAGTAGCTACACTGGGGAATCCTGACTGAACTAGGTAATACATTAGAAATCGCCTTGCTCGATCGGAAACATGTCAACATGCTAGGGGGGTGCATGATGGAGATACCGGTAGGTGATGACTCATCAATGCACATCATTTGCCTATACCCTGTTGTGAAACATGCAAGACTGGTTGGTCGGTACATCGGTAGACTCGGTACGGTCATGATCAGCCAAGCCCACCTATTAGTAATTACTAATTGGTGGGCAGTAATTACCAGTATCTCGGCTTTCGACTTTGGCTTTGACTTTGACTTGGCTTTCATAGAAGTTGGCTCATGCTGCTGAGTCATCCAATTGCTTTTGAATTCACAATTATTAGGAGACATCATGCATACTAATTGATGATATACTTTATTTACGTACACTGTGATTGGCAGAGCCTCCTCCTTCCGCTCTTCTTTCCTTCCTTTTCTCTTCCGATCGCCTCGTCCGTATACCTACGGTAGCTTGCTGACTCACCTTAGTCAGCAGTAGCCGTTAGGGTACCGTCACTTTGAAGTGGCACCCGGTTAGGTATTTTAGAGGCACTTTGGCCGGAGGGTCCCAAGCCCCCCCCCCTCCCGGCCTTGTCTTCTCAGAAAAGGTCAAGGCCCCGGTCCAGAAAGGCACCACCCGGGCAGATTTTTTGGACAATTGTACTGTCGTATGCAGAAATTTGCCCCTTCTTTACCTTGAAAAGTGCTTTTTTGTCTCCCTCTTGGTCTAGAATGTCAGACCCATGGGCTAAAAGATGACAATTAGCATGAAAAAGCATGTACTTCAGCTTAAATCTGGCTGGGGCTTCGCCCCAAGTCAAAGGCCTCAAGCCCCCCCCCTCCCCCACCTTCGGACGGCTGAAGCAACCCAAGCCCCCCCCCCCAACAGAATACCTAAGGGGGTGCCACTTCAAAGTGACGGTTTACAACCAATACAGGGTTTCTAACCCTCCCTGCCAGAACAGGCGTCACGCCGCACGCGACGCGTTGAAAGCGGCACACGTACGTGCGGGCGCGGGCCGGCGACCTGGGTCCAAAAATTTAAGTCGCGCGAGCCTTGCATTTTGGAGCCTGCGGAAAATTTAGCGCGTTTGAAATTTGAACCGTTTCACGCGCCGGTTCAAATGCGCAACTTTAAACTTTACCTAGAGCCGAAACCGGCGAGCACGGCGCCAAACAGGCGGCAAAATGCAATGCTTTGCTGACACGGCGGCGGAAATGTTATTGCATTAATCGAGACTAGGATGACACACAGCCTAGGGCACACGGAGTACCGAAGGCTCGACTCTAGGGTTGCAAGTCGGCGCCGATTGGCGCCGGTCGCCGCGCATGCATATATACGCACGCGCAGCGCGCCGGGTATGTAGTGGGTCTTTGAGGACAGTAGTTGTTTGCATGAGGTAACAGAATCATGTGCTACGGTGACTGAGCATGAGGTCAGACATGGTTCGTTGGTGTCTTGGTGCAGGTCTGCAGCTTTAAGTTTCGTCGGCTGCCCGGTATAAAATCACGCGCTATACGACAGCACAGAATGACACTGATTAACCCCATGATTGGGTCGGGTCAGGTCGGATCCGGTCAGCGAGAGTTTGGAAGAGCATCATGGAGCTGTTAATTGTTCAAACTTTGGACCGACCTGAGGCAATCTGCAGCAACGTCAGCGCGAAGGTGGCCGGGGGCTGATAACAGAGCGATCATGAATCTGGCCTACTGAGAATTGAATGTGGTTGGGGTCATTGAGGCGAGATACTGGTCGAGTGGTAGGTACTAGACGAGCTCGAAAAGCAACCTCCTTTTTGTTGGTACGTTTCCTTCACGAGTGACTTTAGTAATGACAACCTCGTTGACGGTGACGTCAATACGATGAATTTCGTGGCACCATCGATGTTGAGGTCTACTCTTCGTCAATGCAAATCATACGTAGAAGGATGCCTCATGATTCCATCAGAAATGTGAGACTTGGAAACCGAAATTTGCGTTCAGGTCTTTTTCCATAATCTTTGTAAGCCTTAATATCAGATTCAAAATCAGATTTTGACACATCCCGGTTGATCAATCCGATATGTCCAACCATTTGACTACGCCGGTGTCCTCATTTCCACCAACCCCATTTTCCTACCAATCCATACCCTTTCCATGCGCCTATGCTTGTGAAGATCGGTACAAAACTTCATGGAAACTCACCGACTCAGTCCCTACAGAGAAAGCAACCCGCAATTGCCCTCCGACTCCCCCGCCGCTATCCCTTCTAAATTGAAAGAACAATCTCCGAGAGCCGCCGCCCGCGATCTCTCCTATCCAGTCGACGTTTGTAAGCAATCAAGCAGTGACGTCTCATAGTCATCATAGTAAAATCCTTCTTGACGCGGATCCCTGTCGAGGTCCGCGCTTAGAAGCCTGGACTCTAGGAGTACCCCTCAAACCCGGCGACTCGTCTTTGCTATCAGCTCGGTAGGCGCCGCCCTATTTCGAATAGCCACGCTTATTGTTACAAGGCTAACAGACCAAGGGCGAGTCTGAAGAACTCCGAGTTCTCACTCAGGTTTTTGTTTGCACTAATCACTCTGGTTTCTGCAGTTTGCACTAATCACTTCTATACTAGCAATTCTTGGCTTCACTAAGAGGTGCGTTCACAACGATACAGGAGCACCGGGCACCTTAAAGTGGGCGTTCCAAAGTGTCAGCACTGACGTCATGTCACGGCGACTGATCCGGTGTAATTGGACCTGCGCCAGGACTTCGGCCGTCGCTGCGCTGATTACCGGCATGAAACCCGGCACCTGACGTTCGCGATTCGCACTCAAATTTGCGTGAGACCCCCTGCCGCTAACCTTGGACGTCCGGCGTTCCGCGGAACAGAACGCCCACTTTAAGTAAAACCCGTAACCCAAGCTGTGACACGCTTCGCAGCCGCACTCACCCTAACTCCTAACTAATTGATATCACCCATCCCCCGGGTGCTTATCTTAATTGACGCACCCCTTAGTGAACGCAAGAGTGGCCAATGTATCACTGCTTCTCTGACTTACTAACGCTGAAAAGGGACTCGTCCAGTTCCATAACGAAAGCCTCGAAGGTCGGCCAATCGACGAGAAACTGGTCCGGTTGACTCCCCCCGCTCCTGCTCTCGTCCGTCAGGGCTCGCGCCCGGGCTGCGGAAGAAGCGCGCGAGCGCGCGCCAAATATTAGCTAGCATAGCGCGCAAGAGAAAGCAAAGTAAACCACTGCAAAATACTTCCAGGTGAAGTATGGACCTTTTCATATGGAGTGCTTGTGTTCAGATAGCCGGGTTGAGCATCCTGAAGTTCTGCGATCCGCCCCTCCAGTAATCTTGACACAAACGCAAGTCATTTCGGGAGAGTACAAACTTTTGTCGGTTCGCTTAGAGCTAGCTATGATAGTACCCCGATTGCGAGAACAGGATCAGTTCCTTGATGCGCAGCTTTGTATTCGGCCAATGACAAGCCGAGATCACGAGGTGTCAAACTTGAAGAATGATTGCGAAGGAAGAATCAGCACAAACGGTGTGACAATTGCAATGCTTCAATGGTTTCTCATGTTTCCAACCGCTGACGTGAGCAGCCAGCTAGTAACGCTTTTTGACAGAGCACAAGCAGGTGTCCCTTTTGCTATCCGACCCAATGAAATATCTCGCAACTCGACCAGTCCCTCAAAGTACAAAGCTCATCTTCCGCATATTGCCTTCAGTGTAGCTTCAATCCCCCTTTGTTGAAGACCTTACGGGCATTCAGCGGTTAACGATCGGTGTGTCTCTGATGAGAACCAGTTTCGACAGCTTGCCAACGTCCTTACCCGAGGGCACCCGGTTCACTTCCGGTGTTCCGTTCCTTTGCCCCGGGCCCTTCTCCTCCGCCGGAACAGCCTTCCCCGGACGGACGCCGGAGGCCAGCCGGTGCGACGCCGGTCGGCTGCCGAATGGACAATGGAGACGATCGAGGAAAGCGGTTAAGCATATTTAAAGGTCGAATTTTGGCCCGTCTGAGGTTTACAATCATAGGTAATATGAGCCAATTCATGGTTGAAAGCAGCAATTCATCAGCGCTGGTCATATTGCACGAGGGAGACCGTTGGGCTCCTCTTATATTCTTTCGACGGAGGGCTCAATACTCCCCTAAAAATAGAGGGCAAGGCCATCGTCAGAAAATGGGTATGAACTTTGCAGACCGAGATCCAGAAAATGTACCAGATTCTTCCCAAAGCCGCTTTTTGCCTGATTCCGAGATGAGGACGTTGGAATTGCAAGTCGCGACTAGGTTATCTCTAACGCTCAGACAAGCGATGATCGAGCAACAACCGTGACGTAACGTCGGAATGTCTGTCGTACCTGCCGCCGGACTCGCTGCCGGACCGTGACGTCAGCGCCTCGTCAGCCGCCGATGCCCCGTGAGCCCGCCCGGTTAGCTTTGCCACGTGGGCCGGGGTTAGGCGCAGACCGCAGAGCTGCCTGGAACGGAGTGAGGCGGAATCTGGTTAACAAAACCGAAAGCTGGGCCTATCGTTAACCGAAGCACAGTCGAAGAGGTTGACGCAGACCCTTGGCATGGGGGGAACATCACAGGGGAAGCGGTCGGACCCCTTCCTTCGACCTCAACCCAAGTGGATATATAACATTTGAGCAAGCTGAGAAGCATGAAAAGGATATACACAGTGACGTTACAGAAGCATGCAAACGGTGAATACCACGCTCCCGCAGGGACCTTGTTACGCACTCTGTTATGAGATGTGTGGCCTGTGTGTAATGCGAGGCAAACGGCTGGCATGAACTATTTCTGCTTTAGGAACAGCATTACAACTGCTTTCGAACAAAGAAATGGAAAGTTGTTCTGGGCTGAATCGGAGCAAACCTTTCTTAAGTGACAGCATGATGAACGTTGGCAAAATGGATTCCCACAAGTTTGCACCGGCTCTGACTATCACGAGCCCAAAGTGCGACTGACTAGAATCCAACTGAATATCAAAAGTCTCCGCACCTCATGCCCTTCTTGAGGCCGTCCAGCGCGACACGTGGCTCGCCCTCCTTGCGCATCGACTCGTAGAGGATCCGCAGCGGGCACGTGCCCTCCGGGAGCGCGCGCGCTTCGAGCGCGACGCTCGCGCGCATCAGGGCGTCCCACCCTAGTTGCCACGGGAATTTCCGGTTAGTCGACGGGAGGTAGTTCTGAGGGGCGAGCCCTGCAGACTTCCCAGAGCGCTTTCCCCGGTCATGCCGTGACCGCGATTTCGACCTCGTTTTTGAACGGGAGAGCTTTTCTCGGTGTGCGGTTCGCGACTCGGTGTTGGAACCGGCTAGAGGTTCCGAGTCGGAGGGGTAGTCTTGTTTCATATCCAGCGACTCCGCTGGCACGCCTTCCGCTTCTATCGACGATGGACGGCCGGGCTTATTCACACTACCGTTCTCGCCCCGCTCGCCCGTATTCACATTTTCTTTCTCTGCATTTGCTCCAGCTCTGCCGACTCCACTGCTGCTCTTTCGGCCCGATTTCACATTACGAGGCGTATTCACATCGCCGAGGACGTTCACACCTCCCGCAGTACCCGCAGCACCGTCCGCATTCCCACCGCCGAACGTGTTCACACCGGCATCCGCGTTCACACCGCCGTCCGCATTCACACCGCCGTCGCGTTCGCTTGCGATCCGGCCGCGCGACCCCGGCCGACTGGGAGAATCGGACCGGTCCGAACCCCCAAACCCGCGCGAGCGCGGCCGCGCGCCCGCCGGATCGCCGCCCGGCGCTTCTCGAGAACTTGGCCGCCCGCGCCTATTCGCGCTCCAGTGGGTCGGCGCCGCCCATTCCGCGCCGTTCGATTGGTTTTCGGCCCAATCGAATGGCTCAAACTGTTCGGTGCTTTCCGTGGAACCGATGTCGGAAAGAGTCGCGATGTAGCGACTTGACACTATCGATGACGTCCGTAATGAGTTGTTCCGTGGCAGCCAGGAGCTTCTTGCAGAAGTTGGTGTCAACGCGTCCGCAGTCGGGGTCACTCCGTCCGGGCCTGACACTAGTTCTGTGACCTCAACCAACTCCCCTGGCAAGCCGTCCTCTGCCTTGATAAATCTCGACGGTTTCCTCATTCCGCTGATCCGCTGACCTGCGAACGTCCCGTCAACGTTTGGCGCGGATCCGTCGGAAGACTTACGCAGACCCGTTTGGTCCTCTTGTTTCTCCCGTGCCTCCTCACTCTGTATTCGAACATCACTCCGGATCCGGTCGTTGTGACTTCCGTCCGCTGTTCCGGTTTCCGCTAGATGGGTCGAGTCCGTCTCCTCGTCATCTGTTTCTTCCCTAATGCTCTCCCGTTTTTCCTGCGCGTCTTCGAAGCGCAGCTCACGCGACGGCGGCCTCGCTCGCGCGTTTTCCGCCCTCCACAGAGCGCTCCGCGGCCGCGCCGGTTCCGCTCCACCATCCGTTCCGCTCGCCGGTCGCGGAACGGAGTCCCCAAAGCTGACCTTCGTCCTCGGCGTCTCGCTGAGCCGCGCGCTCGCTTCCGGATCTTCTGCCACGTGTCCTCCCCTGGTCGCGTCAGCAAGAGGAGACTGCGCGGCCGCCTTCGACCCTCTCGTTGCTGACGTCAGCTTGGCGTCGAATGAAGCCCCAGCAGAACGCGAGGCCGCGCTCTGTGCGCGCGCGGTTGAAGCCCCCGACTTGCCGGGTGACGTCACCGACGCGACCGAGCCGGCCGCGGACCTGCCGCCGGTCTGAGCGCGCGCGCGCTTCTGTAGGTACTCGAGCCAGTAGGGGTGGAACGCGCGCGCGCGGCTGAGCGCGAGGCGGTTCGCGTGGTCGCGCAGGAGCGCCTCGCGCTGCACCTTCTGCTTGTCGTCGTCGTCTGACGTCGCCAGCTGTCAAGGCCAGAAAAGAGGTTTTTCGCGGGTCAGCCAATTTCAACATGTGTCCGATCACTTGTGTCCGTTGATCCCTCATCGTATTGTAAAAACGGTAGTCCTTTCTGATCATTCTCGAAAGGTAGAAGACAAGGATCAAAACAATGCCCCTGCAACTTGACTCCACGCGCAGTTACCTTGTTCCCGTTTGCAGAATCTAGTAACGGTTGTTGTTTCTTCAATAGTGACAAGTATCCAAAACTTCTTGACCGAGACATTTGAGCACCACAGAAGACACTGAAGTAACCCATTCATCCTGCTAGAACTGCAAATACTGGTACTCTTGAACGATTCAAACCAGGGCACTAAATGTAAGCAAGCTCGACCAACATTTACGCGAGAAATGAAGGAAAGCGATCGTCGATACTGAGCATCATGGATTCTCTGCGCTACACCAATCTCTACTGACCCTACAACCGCGCAAGCGCGGTCCCTGTCCGGTACGCACCTGCGGCTGGCCCAGCAGCTCGAAGAAATCTGGGCCGACCATGTCGAACTCGATCAACGGCTCAAACGACGTGGTCGTCAGTACGGACCACATGGTGTTGTCCTCCACCAGTTGGGACCGCATCCGCTTCCCGCCAATCATGACGTTGTGCCACGTCTGGTAGTTGGGCGATCGCTGAGCGAACCCGACCAGCCTCTGCGCGCGCGAAAAGGGCTACTGAGGTCGCCTTTCTGTCGGTCTTTGTTTGGTATCTTGACCAATTTCCGGGAAGAAAACAATGTTTGCAAACCAGGTCCGTTCTTGAACGGAGAGTCTTGAAAGAAAGGATAATTTCACATTTTTCTTACACAAGAGGGCTGCCTAAACGATGCATATGTATACTTGAGCAAGTTTCTCAAAAGACCGCCGAAGACAAGATTGATGGAGGCAACAGAAGCTGCATGCTGGTTTGAAAATGAATTCAACACAGAAGCCGATAGTCAGTTTGACAAGTTGCGTTCTTTCCAAAATCGCTTGCCGGGATGCGTTCTTTTTAGAATGGTCAGCAAGACATCCTGTCTGGTGTAGGCGTCAAGGACTGTGGTGAACGAGAAACTTTAAAGTCTTAGTAATGTGCAAAATTTTGGAACTGCCAACACATTGCAGAAGGACCGTAGATTTCAAAACACGCACCTGGGCGATCGCGCGGTGCTCCGGGTTGTTACAGTCCAGTCTGTAGTGCATCGTCACGTGCTTCTTGTCGAACACGACCGGGAAGCCCAACCGGTAGGTCGCGTAAGAATGCTCCACCCCGTTCAGCTCGTACAGCACCTGACGGCAAAAGCAGAAAAGGTTTCTGTGCCGGAGAAAAGGCTGAGTGTACTCTTCCGATGTGTTTTGCAAAACCCGGCTTTTTTGTGCAGGGAACCAAGAGGATCTACAGGACTTTCTTGTATAGCTTTGTCATCTCCCATTCTTGCAGGTCATCTCAATGCTTTGTTAGCGAAGAAGTGAAAGGTCAAATGCTTACAGAGAAGGAGACTGTCGAGAGTTTGAGATTGCTCGAAATATTTCGGCCGGCTTGACTGAGTCTACATCCCAGCTTGTGCGAACAATCTTCATATTCTGATACTGTTTTACGGCGACTAACTGAAGGCTGAATGCATCTCTGTAGCCACTCATCCGCTGCTTTTTCGTGGTCCTATTTCAGACTGAAGAATTGGTTGACTTTGCTTCAATCGAGCAGAAGTTACTTGTGAGCTTCCTTCAAACAAGCAAGCACTCTCTGAAATGGACATTGTTACCAACCATCCCTGACGCGCTGAAAATGGTTCAGCCTCAGAAAGAATTGTATCGTGAATTGCAATAAGTCGCAAGTGTAAGCGATTCAGTCAGCCGCTAGGTAAGCGTGAGTGACATTGCATCTCAAAAAACGAAGCAGCTATGCCGTTCATACCTTCCAGAACCGCCGCTTATCCAGGATGCGCGCATACGCTATGACCGCGATCTCCACCCGCTCGTCGCTCTTCGCAAACATCCGCACCAGCGACACCGCCTGGTCTGACGTCAGCCAGAGCTTGGTGCTGTGCGCGCGCAGCAGCGACACGCGCAGTTCCGTCGCCTTCAGCGCGTCGTCGACGCCCGCGCGCGCGAGGAACGCGCGCAGCTCGTCGTCGGGAAGCGCCTGCGCGGCCGCGGGGGGCGGCATGAAGGAGGTGAAGTCGAACCTGCATGAAGAATAAGGTCGTCTTTCCGAGCCGTGTTTCGCCTTTGGAGGATTTCATGACTTTGTCAAGAAGCTGCTTACGTTCCTGTGCTGCGTCCATCATTTGAAGCGGAGTCGCTTCCTCCGTGGCGATCGCCTCAACGCCCAGAACTCACGCGGCCATACCAACCCAATCCAAAAGATCCACAATCAACTCAAAGACGTTGTTTTCAGGTGTTCTCGTTCCTTCAACCTCGTTCCTCTTACCGGACCTGAGCACCCTTTCGTCAGGCACCTTCTGCCCCTACTCCTTCAGCGCGCCGCGAAACAGTCTACGACCTCTCGTAATCATCTTATAGACAATTTACTCCCAGCAAAAGTAACCCTGAACAAGGTATAACTGAACTCAGAACCCCCTGGTTAAGCACTTAGTGCCCCGACTCCTCCAAAGAGCCACAAGTCAGAATAGCGGCCTAGAGAGTTTCACTTGTTTCAAAGACAAGCTCGTTTCTTGCTTTTCAGGTGTTCGGTTTTCGTTGACCACTTTCTAATCCACCTGAGAACCCCCTGGTTGGCACCTTGTGCACCCACCTTTCCGGAGTGCCTCGAAACGATCGCACTCCCAAATGTTTCGCAATCATCCATTTTTTGTTAGAATCTACTCTAACCGCGTCTTATCTCATCTGAGAACCCCCTGGTTAGGCACCTTGTGCCCCCAATCCAGCGCGCGTCGACATGAAACAGCATCAAATTTCAAAGCCCACGAAACAGCAGCAGTCCTAGAACTTTTGCATCTATCTTACTGAGGATCTTGTTTTTGGTGGCCCCTTAACCACGTCTTCACCCACCGGAGAACCCCCTGATTGAGCACCTTGTGCCCCCACTTCTCCGCGCGCAACGAAGTGCCTCATTTATCCTTTGAAACCCACTGAATGACATCAGACCTTCGTCACTGACGTTTCGGTTCGTGCACGCACATCTCTGGCGTTCATTATCTCTTGACCAGTGAGTTCCTATCCCACCTGAGAACTCCCTGGTTGGGCACCTTGTGCCCCCACTCCTCCGGCGCGCCGAACGCCGCGTGCGTCACGCGGCCGCGGTACTGCACGTTGCGCCAGTTGAGGCGCGCGCCCTCATCCACCGCGAGCTCTAACAGCTTCGCCGCCATCATCGCGTCGGTCTGGAGAACTAAACTCAACTCGTAGTGACCGGTAGGATTGCCCTGAGGAGAGGATTATCCATAAATTTTTTAGCTGTAAAAAGTAAGATATTGAGATTCGTTGCTTCCGGAATTACAGACTAAGTTAGCTCCAGGAGCTTCGCCGCCATCATCGCGTCGGTTTGCAGAACCAAACTCAGCTCGTAGTGACCGGTGGGGTTGCCCTGGGAATTGAAGATTGACATTCGTTTCTTCCCAAAAAGCTATTCATCAGTGCAAATCTCCAGAAGCTTCAGCAGCTCCGCCGCCATCATCGCACCAAATTGAGCTCGTAGTGCTCGGGACCCGGTAGGGTTTCTCTATGAACGATAGTTTCACACAGTTCATTTCCAGAATCCGAATGTGTTTTGGACGAATTTCCTTTTCGTCCCGTTTCAATCTCCAAAGCTTTGCCAATTGACAAAAGGCCCAGCAGCTTGGCTGTCCTGAGCTGACTCTGCCAATCAAAAACTAAAAAGAAGGTGCCACTCCAGAAACCTTGTAATTCCGTGGCGAATCCTTCCGCCAGACACGCGCGCACGCACCTGGTGGAAGTAGTAGTGCACGCCGAGGCGATCGACGGCCTGGCGCTGCCCCTGACGAATCACTTGCGCGTTACTATGCGAAAATCCCGTAAACCTTGCAAGTTATGCTTTCTCCAAATGATTCCTTGACATTGCTCGCTGAATCCGCGCGCGCGCGCGCGCACTTGGCGGAAATAGTAGTGCACGCCAAGGCGGTCGACGGCCTGGCGCTCTCCTGGCGGATCAGTCTCCCTCTACTATATTCTAAGTACTTGAAATCTCTTGTTTTTTCTAGGAAACAAATTGCCAAAAACACGCGCGCAAGCGCACCCGGCGGAAGCAGTAGGGCACGCCGAGGCGGTCGACGGCCTGGCGCTGCTCCTGGCGGATCAGTCTCCCTCTACTATATTCTAAGTACTTGAAATCTCTTGTTTTTTCTAAGAAAACAAATTGCCAAAAACACACGCGCGCGCGCACCTGGCGGAAATAGTAGTGCACCCCGAGGCGGTCCACGGCCTGGCGCTGCTCCTGGCGGATCATGACGCCCAGCACGGCGTCAAACTCTTCCATATCCACCAGCCGGCAGAACAGAAGAATGCTCGCGCGCACGCGCTCCTCGCCGGGGTTGAACGTCTGCAGCAACCGCGCGGCCTGCGGCACAATTCCAGAAATCTTTCAGCGGATGGTGAAATCCTCATAGACAGATACAGAGGCAGCGAATTGTACGAAGCAAGGACTAATGACATTTTGGATATAGCGAATGAAGCATGAAGAGGCGTACTTGAAACGAGCCAAGGAGAGAGTTGCTTAATAAGAAGCAGATTATTGTGGAAGGCAGCAGGGTATAGCAGCTCAAGGCGAAGAGCCGCACTTTTTGAGTCTTTGAGGGAAGATTGGCCTGAATCAAAGAATGTCACTTTTCAAGAATCATATAATGTATGAGAAGGTGATGCGTAAAACAAACTAGGAAAGCCGTTTCTTCGGCACCCACCTGCTGGCTACGGAGAAGCAGCTCCACGCGAAGAGCCACAGTTTCTCGAGGCTGGCTCCAACAATTGCATAAGATCCCTTGACGATTATCTGTTTTCCTTCGATGATAGGATTGAAACGATCTAGGGAAGGGTGTCGAAACCCACCTGCTGGCTCCGGAAGTAGCAACTCGACGCAAAGAGCCGCACAAAGCTGAGTCGCTCAAAGTTGGACACCGTCGCTCTGGACAGCTGCTCGCACAAGTCCTCCAAATCCTTCTGGTCCAGGGGGGTCAGCTCCGCTTGAGAATGCCCCCCCCGGAAGGCGACATAGTCGAACTCGAGCACGCCTTTCTTGGGCATCTTCTCCGGCCACTTCTTCGCGCCCGGGGATCCCTTAACCGGGTAGTTATTGAGCTTGGTTTCCCGCCAGCAGCTAACCGGCGCAGTAACCGGGGCGCGTTCCTCCGCTGTCTCCGGGCTCTGCGGTCGCGAGGTTTTGCCGCCCTCCGCGGCCGCGAGCGCGGCTTGCGCGGCCGCGCTCTGCGCCTCGAGCGCGCACAGCCGCGACGCGACCGCGCGGTCCACCGGGTTTGCGAGGTTTAGCTTGTAGTGCCCCTCCGGGGACTTGAAGTTGAACCGCTCCTGGCCGTGGCTTTTAACGCTCAGGTTACTCCCCTCCATTTGGATCGTCTCGAGAACCTTGTTCGATTGCAGCGCAGTCAGCAAGTGCCGCCCGCCGTCGTCCCCTATAGGGTTCCCCTTCAGCTCCAGGCGTTTCAGCGTTACGTTGCGCGCGACGCCCTCGGCCAATAGGAGAGCGCCAGCTGGCCCGCAGCGCGTGTGGTTTAGGCGCAGGTCCGCGAGCGCGCGGTTTGACGTCAGCATGACGCCGAGGTACTGGCAGCCCTCGTCCTCGAGGCCGTTCCAGTCCAGGTTTAGCGCGCGAAGCGCGCGGTTCTGCGCGCAAAGAACAATGCGCGTTTTGAACCCAAAACGAGCGCATCTTCCTAAGACGAACTTCGCAAACGTGTTGGTTGTGTGATCTCTTTTGTACTTAGCTGGATTACATGTATGGACGTCGAAAACACAAGATGTGGAGACGTTGAGAACAATAGGAAAGGAAAAGATGTTGTTAGATGGCGGAAGATAAGGATCAAAGAGAAGAAGAAGAAGAAGAAGAAGACAGTTGAATCCAATTGCAACGAAGTTCCTTTCCGACGAGTCAGAACCCAACATCCCTAAGCAAGAAGGGATTCAACGTCTCCGACATGCGGAATTTCGAAGGGGTGTTCAAAGCTAGTGAAGAAAGAACGTGTCTTGCTCTCAGAAAGTGCCCACAAAGCAATAAAGTCAAAGGAAACAAAGACCTGGAACTTGTTTGATGGATTGGTTACTGGCAGAATGTGTGGATCGGCAGTGTTCTCGACCTCAGCCGTTTTGTGAAGTGACCCTATCCGCATCACGATTTTGAAAGTCGGTGTACGACAAACATGGACTCAGTGGATTGGCACAGATCGATGTAAAGTGGGCTCACGTTTTCCAGTCCCAGAGAGATGGCCTGCGCCCCCAGTGCCCTGACCATGTTCCAGCTCAAATCCAGCTCCAATAGCGTATCGTTCCTGAACAGCATGCTCCCCAGAGCGCACGCCCCTTGGTCCCCGATCTCGTTTCCGGCCAGACCCAGGTAGGTTAGCGAGCGGTGAGTCGTTAACACCTCCGCCAGGCACGACGCCCCCTTGTTCCCGATGTTGCACCCGGTCAAGGTTAACCGGCTCAGAACTGGAAGCAAGGAGGGTTCGACAGACTTTCCCGGTTCCGGTTCCGGTTCCGGTGCCTCCAGCACGGTGGTTGCCGCCGGAATGGGTCCCATCGAGGTTTTCCGCCGGGTGAACCGCCGGGAATTTCCCGAAACCCTGACTGCCATCCTCACTTTCTTCTTCGGCGCGACCCGTTCGGTGACCGGCTGCGGCGGTGCTTCAGGCTCGAGCCACGTGTCGGCCTCTGTGAGCTCCACGTCAGTCAGCCGCCGCAGAGAGGCCGTGTCAACCCATTCGTGCGGCTCCAACGGCCACTCCTCCTCTTCTGCACCGTCAATTGGGCCACGTGGTGCCACATCCGAGGTTCGACTATTCTCTAGGCCCCCCTCACCGCTTCGCCTCTCCGTTGCCTCCGTTGACGTCTTTCTGTCCTGCCCGATTGCGAGGTCAGTTCCGCCCAAAATGTCACCTTCAACGGTCAACGGAATGCACGATCCCGGCGGCTGTTTTTGGAGAGCGTCGCCTTCGGGCCCTTCTGCAAAGCTGACGCTAGTTGCGATTGAGTTGTGCCTGGCGCTTCTGCTCCGTTCCGGCCCCGCAACCAGCGGAACCACCGCTGGGATTCCGGCGGGAAAACTCAACCGCACGACCGCCGGAATGCCCTGCGGCCTCTGATACTCCCGTTTTTCGAGAGCCGACAGATGCTCTCCGCTTGCTTCCGTTCCGCGGCTGTCCGTTAACCTTCCGGTTCCGCTCGTAAAACCCCACTCTTCGACGGTCCCCAGAAAGTCATCTTCGACAGACAGTTGTCCGCAAGCATTCCGGTCGCCCGCCTTCATCTCCTTTCCGTCGATCCGTTCCGCTGTTACGCCGGACTCCGTGCTCCTTCTGCTCTCAAACGCCCGCACAAACGTCTGCACAGTCTCCGGCGATTCTACCGCAGGCGAGTTCTCCAAAAGCCGCGCGAGCGCTTCCGCGCCCTCCCAGCCGATATCGTTCCGCGACAGGTCCAGTTCCGTTATCCGCTTCGTCCCGACAACGGAACTCACCAGCTGCCGCACCGTCTCGCTGCCGAGTTCGTTATCTTCCAGGTTTAGCGCGGTAACCGTGGGGTTAATCTGGAGGCAAAAAGCCAGGGCCTGCCCGTGTTTCGGGCCTAACTGGCAGTGCGCAAGATTGCAGAGCGGATTCCGCACCTGAGACCGGAGCCGGCTGAGCGGAACGATGTCCAGCTCACTGCACTTCGCTAAGTACGAAAGCTGCACCAGCCGCGACAGTTTCTCGGCGATTTGACGCTGCGACTGGGCTTCTAGAGTGCCCTTAGTCAGAAGATCCGTCTCGGTGTCAATTTTCTTTTGCCTTGATCCCTTCTGCAGGGCGTCCGCAAGACTCCGGTCGCCCCCGCCGCTTTGACACTGGGACTGGGCCAACAGACTGGCCTCCGTCAGAAGATAAGGCGTGGTGTCAATTTCTTTTGCAGACGTTTCAAACTGCTCCGCTAACTGAACAGAGGACTCAATGACATCGGCCAACAGCCGGATTGCAACACTTTCTGACGCCCTCCTGACGTCAGCGCCCTCGAGGGCGGCCGCGACGGACGGCGCGGGTGCCGTCCGAATGCCACGTGTCACTCGTCGGCTGGACCGTCGGCTTTCTGCGCGCGTGCGCACCCCAAACCCTGGCTGAAACCCCCACGACGTAACCGGCCGTTCTTCCGACGTCTCGCTTCCGCCCACTGCATTCATCTCTCCCCCCACATCGGAATCCTTGTCCGCTTGCTTTTTGACGACGGAGTCCGGCCGCCCTGTCTCGGGCGCAAGATCGCCCCGACTCTCCTTTTCCGCTCCAAAGACCTCGCTTCTCCTCTTCTCCTCCAAAGCTCGTTCGCTCTCGGCTTTCATTATAACCTCCGCTGTGTTGGCGCTTCCAGATTTACCTCTAAGCAGCGTGTCGTTCCCGTCTCCGGACGAATCTGCAGGGGACGCTCCCTCTGCAGATTCCGGTTGTAGACCGACGGAGTGCGGCCGCTCCGCCGCGGAAAGCCTTCCCCTCGTACTAGTTCCATCGGACTTCGTTCCCGGCTCCTCTCTACTCCCTTCTCCTCGTTCCTCCAAACTTGAGGCAACCCCCTCGCTTTCCTGACTCTTCGGCGACCGCGTCGGGTTGGCGCGCGCGCGGCTCGCGGGGCCGGCCGTTGCCATGGTCATGACGTCAGCCCCAACCGGGTCCGACTCAAAGCCCTTTTCAGACTGACAACTCCCCGCTTCGTCTGCGCAGTCCAAAAGCCCCTCAAAAACGACACTTTCGAACCCTGTGTCCAGGTCAACATCAACCGCTCGCCCCGTCCCGCCCGAAACGTGTGCTGTTAATCTAGGTTGCGCTTCCAGCTTCGCATCCGGCTCACTGTAACCCAACGCGTTTTTTTCCAGAGGTAGCTCCCCCCCTCTCCGATCTCGTTCCGACTCGTTGCAATCGTTCTGAGTTTGGTCAACCTGCGCCCCGACGGCAGCTACGACGGACAAGTCGGTGACGCCGAAAGCGAGTTCCAACGGTTCCTGGTCGCCGCTGCGGCCAAGGAACCCACCCTCTTCCGGCGACCGGTTTCGAGGGTTACGATAACCCGCGCTAACCGGACTCTGGGATGAGGCCAGCTCCATTCTTGGGCGTGAAACGCTCGCCGTTCCAGCCTCGTTTTCTTCATCGCCCAGAATGGTCCACTCTTCATCCCGTTCCGCTTCCGCTTCCGGCTTCATTCCGTGAACGGAACGCGCGCTTTTCGTCCGTGCTTTGGCGGTCTGCGCGTTGTTGGACAGCTCTGCGAGCGCGCGCTTCATCAGCCGACGCTTCATTTTGGCGTGTACCTGAAAAAGGTCGGAACAGCTTTCAGTGTGCGCTTATTTTCATGACGCAAAGAGTTGCTTGAAATCCATCCCGTATGCTCCTCGAAAGCGTGCGTCTTCGAGTCATAAGCACGACATGACCTTTGGGAGAAAAGTACGACTCTCAATTGTAATCAAAGAGTATAAGGACGAGATTTATGGAGGTTCTGACGGAATGCCGTTTCTACCCTTGTGAGTCCTGATTCAGAGCCGCTTAATCTTCAGCCAACCTGTTTTTTGACTTCGTGTCTCTCCAGACATAAAAGCGGAAAGAATGATTCCACCAAATGACACAAGAATTCAAGAGCAACCCAAAGCATTCAAAAGCAGAAATCAAAGCATTTTGCCGGAGTGCCACGCTTACTTCAATGATCCCCTAGTCAAAGAGTCGCTCAGGCCTCCAGCCCACATGCTCAAATTCGCAAGACTTGCAAGCGCAAGAAGAGAAGCTCTAGCTCCAAAGCAACCGCTGTTGAGATAAGCAACTCATGGATGCTAGAAAAGGCGAGACGATTTGGGCGGAGTGCTGCGCTCACCTTGGTGAGCGCCCAGTCGAAGAGCCGCTTGGCCTCCAGTTGCATCGCCTGCTCGCGGTGGGCGATGTGGCGCAGCAGCAGCGGCGCGCTCTTCGACTCGCTGCGCGCCAGGGTTTGAGGGTTTAAGGCTTCAGAATCCCTGATGTCAGTGTTTGCGGAATCAGAATGAAGGGTTCAGGGACTCAAAATCCTGCTCCAATCCCCCGGCAAGATGAACGCGGACTTACGAAGCCCAATCGTGGCTTGAAACAACGCGTTATCGTGGTTCCAGAACATCACTGAAAGCAGATGCCGCATCACAGCACATCACCGCTGATATGATCCGCTGAAAGGAACTGCAGGGATAGCGGCTAACTGCAGTTTCAACTGCCAGCTCGGCAGCACTTTGGATGTCAATCTCCGGTGTTCCAAGACTCTTTCGGGTAATTAGCAGAGCCTCAAATACTAGCATTCCGGGTTCCAATTTTAGATCCGAAGAAAATTCGGACGGCTTGATGTCCACAAAGACCCTCCTCGTACCAGAAAGAGGATTAGGCGGTGTAAGAACCCTGCGTCTCCGCGCTTGAAAACCGTGACCCAAAACGTTCCAACGTTGGACTATCCTGATTCCCGCACCTGATGATGTGCGAGTGCGTCTCCAGGAACTCCTCCTCCCGTTGCTCCAGCAGACCTGGAGAGGCCCTGCGAAGCTCCTTCTTAAATTCAACCTCCTTGGCGTCTACCCACTCCTTCGACTCCTGCACCCAGATCGAATCAAACAGTTTCATCTACAGGGCCTCAAAATCCCTGTGGCTTGAAGGCGACGACCGTATCAAAAGACCGTTTATTGTTTTGATCAGGCCTGTCCCACCCGTCTGAGAGTGTGCTTTTCGGAACGTGGCCATGCTATTATGATTCATGTCGAACGATGGTTGTTGGCGCAGCACTCTAAGTTTCATAGTCGACCAGCTTTTCTTTTCTTGCGCTTGCTTCCGAGCGAACCGGCTGGAACAAAGGCTGGTACACGTTCCGAAAGTGCCCTGCTGTCGTCCTCTCCACAACAATGACATCTGTCGAACGCCACCTTCCAACAAAGGGCGCTGTTGGGCCGGTGTTCAAATCCTGACGCAACGTTAGGCATGTATCTATCCTTCACCGATCCCCAAAAAACCTGCTCTGGCGCTCTCCCAAAATCAATAAACACGTACGACATCCATGAAGCAGCTTACCTTCCTGATCTCCCTGAAGAATGTCACTCTACTTGCGCGTCCCATGAATACTGCCCGAATCGCTGAATCAACTCACCTTCCTAACCTCCCGGTAGAACTCCGGGCTCCCTGCGCGCTCTTTCGTTTCCTTCACCACCTTTGCCCGCATCTCCTCCAAGATGCGCCACTCCAGCCATCCACTCTCATTTACCCGGTCGCCTTTACTTACGACCCCCCCAGGGAGCTGCAACCGCGGCACTTTAGAACCGGGGCTCTGAACCAGGCTCGCTAGGGGCTCAAACTCAGGCGCCCAGGCGTTGTTTCTAAATCCGGCCTCTCTGGTTTTTGCAATGTTATCGAGCTGCGCAATTTGGTTTGCCTCGTTCTCGTTTGCGTCGCTTGCGATCTTGCTGAGAACGCTTTCCAGCATCAAGGGAGTGCTGGCGTTCCGTGAGTTTGTGTGTTCAGCCCTTCCAGCTTGTACGAGCACGGGGAGCTTGACACCGTCCGAAATTTGGGCGCCCGGCGCCGACGCAGTTCGGACACTGTTTACGGACGCTGACCCTGCGGAGCGAACCGGCGAACGTAGTTCGGGCTTTCCTTTTTCGGACCCTTCGGACCGCCGGCTTCCGGACCTTTTGGAGCGCCCCTTTTCGGACAACTTGCACCGCCTGCCATTGGACCTTGTAAACCCGCCGTTTCCAGACTGGTCAGAGCGCCTTTCTTCGGACACTTTGGACTGACTATTTTCGGACCACCCGTTTCTGGACCCATCGGACCGCCTGACCCCATCGGACCGCCCATTGTCAGACTTTTCACTCGACCACTTTTCGGACCGCCGGACAACCGCTTGCAGATCCCCAGACGATCCACCCCTCCGCCGGTCTCTCAAACCGCTCCCTTCTGGGGGAAGATCAAACTCCGACGCCGAACTCTCCCTTAGTCCCCGCACCCCAGAGCTCTCACTAGCGGGCCTCCGCTTCTCACCACCCCCCTCCGAGCTCCGTCTCGGCTCCAACTCATCTTGCCAGGCCACTGACAGCCTGCCACGTGTCCCTGCTGTCGACATCCGCGACTCCCTCCTGCTCTGCACTCTGCTCAAATGCTGCACTTTCAGTCCATCCCCCTCCGCCACCGGGGGCCCTTTCCCGCTTCCCATTGGACCGCTCATTTCTTTTGGTAACGCTCGCCTCCGGTCGTCAGCGGGGGAGCTCGCCGCATCGTCGCTGTCCGAGGTGACGTCAGCATCCGCTGCCAGGCTGTCGTACTTGAAGGTGTGCCGCAGGGCCGTCATGAACGCTCGCTTCTGCTTCCCCTGCTGGCTCTGACTGCGCGTCACCTCCGTCAAAAGCGTTTTTGAGCTCTGTGGTTCCATTTTGGCGGTCCTTATTCGAGCTCAAAACTGAGATGGGCTACCTAGCTAAAGAAATGCAAGCATTGAAATGCAGACTGAGCAGCCTCACTGCATTGAATTAGTGGATCAAAGGAATCAAAGGATCAAAGGATCAAGCTGCGGATATGGGGAGCTGTAACTCAACCGCTGTGGAATTTACAGGGTCTGCTTGCAGCGTTGCCTGGTGCTATTGTGTCAGCATTGCTTCTGATTTGATGGAAACCAGGTTTGCAGCTTAGTGGACGAACTTGTTCTTCATACACATGTACACGGTAAAATGGTAGATAAGTTTGTTATCTTGTTCCTCCTTCTGCATGCTAGCCTTCTCAAAAAGTCCCCCCTTCTACAGCGTCTCTAATGCCGACCTCGTTGGACAATTGATACTAGCTACCAAGAAACATAGCCTGAGTTCGGGTCATGCTCTTCCATAAACCATCTGAGCTCGATACGAGCAATCTGTGAGCTGAGAGCGACTGCTTATGAGTGCGCTGGCGCATAAAGTCTGGCACTGGAGCTTGAACGCCGCATGCAATCTAGCAAAAGAGTTCTTTGCGAAAGCTGTCTCGACGTACGGTATGATATAATAGTACTCCAATGATATAATAGTGCTCCAAAATACATACCTACCTAATTGCATGTGCGCTCCTGTTCTAGGGTCTCGGACCCGTCCGCTCGGCGCGCGCATATATGTGTGCGAGATCTGGCCGTCCGATACTTGTATGGAAGTACGGGCACCGTCGATGAAGTTGAACCATAAGTATCAACTTCGTGCGAACGCCGTACGCGAATACCGTGCAGCGCCAAGCGCACGGTCAAACGCTCTGCACATGCACATTCTTGAGTCCATTGGGTACCTAATAGTACTAGCAGGTAGTAGGTACTAGAAGCGATTGTTGACATCTGCTGATGTATGTACAAGCACTCGTTGCACGCTGCGACCGGTGCCAGCAATACGCATGATAAAAGAATTGTAATTAATGCCATCCGGCTTTGAAATGAGAGAGCATTCACGTTTGCATCAGTGCTCCTCTTTCAAAGCAAGGGAAGATTCTCAGCCTCGATGCCCAACGCATTTGAGTGATTGTTTGTAGGCCAAAGCTTCCTGCTTCAGCCTTCTTGACTAGCCAGGAAGAAGGCTGGGTTCAAGGGCTCACTTTACTTTTGGAGCAGGGTTTTAACCCACGTTGAGCAATTATTCTTGTTGCTGGGGCTATCAAAAGCCTAGTGACTGTTTGATCTCTATGCCAAAGCTGACCGTGCGCAGAACTCTGCATGCCCGCTGAACAATCCCGCTGAACATCTTTCTTGCCAGAGAAGGTTTTGGTGCCACGTCACCAAGACTATCTACTCGCTGAAGGCAAAAGTAAAAGGATTTCAACATGACGAGCAGCGCGCGGCAGAGCATTTTGCTGCGGCCAAAGCGGCCCCAATCGCAGACTAACCAGCAGGTGAGATCGCACTGACGTCATCATTGCTGCCTGTTCCAGAACAGCGACTACTTATGCTCTCTTTTTTTAAAATGCTTGGTGATACACAGAGTGGCCTCTTTACGCCTCAATGTGTGTCCAATCACTGCCAAGTACTTTTGAGAGGGCTTTCTTCAACAGAGGCTAAGCCTTACCTCTTCCTATCGCCCCACTTTTATGGCCTCCCGCTATATTGAAGAGAACAGGAGAATAAAAGGTTCTTATGAGCTCGATTCGGAACAGCTTTGAGTGGAAAGGATGGCTTATTTACAGCATTTTGTTCTGCATGTGCAAACCCTTGCACTTGTGCTGAAAACAGCTCATACGAGCCCACAAGAGCTCAGCCCCAACATCACTTTGAAAGCATCAGCTGATGACGATGTTTCTCAAGTTTTTCCGAGACATCCCTGAGCCATAGAGTTTTTATAGAGAGCTAAAGCCCGTTCCATTGAGAGTAGACGAGCCTGGTATTGACCAGCTTTTAAAGTCAACCGTAGGTGCTGACAAGAACGCAGAGGTACAGCCACCTGTGATTACTTACCAGCTCCTTCTAGTCACAAGAAGCACGGATGACCTTTTTGATGTTACGCAGCCTGCATGGGGGAAGGACTCTTGATCAACGCACAACTGAGGCATATTCTGGACGGACCAAAAGTTTCTGCATCAGAAGAGGAGCTGTTTTGATTTTTGGAAAATACAAAATCCCGTCTGCTTGACAAATCTGTGTCTCCTTGGTATTAATCCTGTGTCCAAAAAGGATGGAATCTGGATGTCGTGCAGAACATCGACAAGGAGCACGATGCCCACGTGGCAGCGCTGAAGGCCAAGAGCGAGAAGTACCGGATCGTCGAGAGCGAGCTGCGCAAGTCCATCGCGCCCGAAAAGGACGACAAATTCTTGAAACAGTGAGTCCTCTCTGCAACTGTTGTGAGATTAGTGACGCAGGTGGTTGCGGAAGACAAAGCCGCATTTCAATACGAGATCTTATCTAGCTGTTGTTGACGGGGATACGGGGCTACGGGTTGGCAGCGTTTCTTTCCATTCAGCAACCTTTTGCTAAATTCACAGGTCCTAACTTTGCTTTCGAAGGAAACTGGACGTCGAGTCGCTTGTGATGGGTCCGAAAAGTGGAGTCCGAGAGACATGCTCTTGTTTGCTGGTGAATTACCCGAGCTTTGAAAACTTAGGTCTGAATAGGAGCGGGCTTCTCACGACGCAGCAAACGTACTCTCTACGTGAATCGTGCGTCGAAGTCGAGAGTAACTGCCACAGCTCAAAAGTTTCCTGTCCTCTGCTATCAGCCGCAAGCAAGGGGGCTTCAAGCCAAACGGAAACCGCCCACGTGGTTCCGCAAAGCAGGATTCCCAGGATCCGAGTATGGTCCGAGCCCGGTCCGAGTGGCGCAGCGTGATAGAAGCCCAGCCGGATGTCAAGGAGGACCGGATTTTACACGTATAGTATCCTGTTATTCTCGACACTCCTTGGTTCCTTGCTTCTCTTGAAGCAACTTTCTTGATATGCTTACATAGTTACATCTTTTCCCCCCTTCCTTTTTCCGGGTGCAAGGTGCGCAGCGTGAAGCACAGCTGCGCCTCAAGGAGGAGCGGACCTTACCCACCCACTCTCATGCTACAATCGAAAGGGTTGCGCTTCTTTGCGGCAATATCTGACCCTTGTACAGACTTATCTGTTTCTGCGCAGATTCGCAGCGTGATGGAAGCTCAGCTCCGTTTCAACGAGAAGCGGAAGCGACCAATGTTATGATTTTATCCGTTTCTACGCTTTTCGCGAAGCGAACACTGTGAAATATGAACTGATGTTTGTCTTTTCGCAGGTCCGAAGTGCGCGGCGTGATGGAAATTCAGCTGCGTGTTCAAGGAGGCGCAGAACCCCCCAAGCAACATTCTACGAACAAACAGTTTCCGCTTCTTCCAAATGAACAAGTGTATCCCTAAACGTCGTATATGTGACTCTGCAGATCCAAGGTACGTAGCGTGATGGAAGCCCAGCTGCGTCTCAAGGAGGAGCAGAACCCACCAAGCATCATTCTACAAACGTAAAATGTCCCCTTTTTCCAACGCATTATTTGTATATCTAAGCGTCACATATGTGACTGCAGATCCGAAGTACGTAGCGTGATGGAAGCTCAGCTGCGTCTCAAGGAGGAGATGAAATTGGCGGAAGCAGAGCGCGAGATGGCGGTTTTCGAGGAGGCGCGCGGCGCCAAGTTCTCTGACGAGGTCGCGACGCGCGAGGAGGAGCGGCAAGCGCGCGAGAAGCGGGACTACCTCAAACAGGTCATGGAGGAAAACAAGAAGGTGCGGACGAAGTGTTGTATGCATCTTGTTTCAATTCTTCTCGCGCAATGATCCCGCTAGAGGAGGACTGAGAAGAAGAAGATAGGGAAAAGGCGTTGGTGATTATCAGTGCAGATAAGTTGTCGCGATAGCGTTCGTTTTGTCAGATCAAACCGGGGTCGATTTGTCAGATCAAACGGGGTCGAAGAAGGAGTCAAGGCTTCTTCGTCGAAAAAGGAGTCTAGGCTTCTCCGTTTGCGCAAATCCTGTAACCAAGCACTTCACTTCGTTGACTTTGCGAGGCGACCTCATCCATTGTGGTTCAGAAACGAAGCTTCCGTTGGTGGGGTCATGATCAGAAGCCGAGCAGTCCCTTCCAAAGGTCGAGCATTCCCTTGCGAAGTTTGTAATTCAGAATGTAGTTTCCCATCTTGAAAACAAATAGATTCCCTCCGACCGTTTGAAACCAAGACGATTCGGTTTAGTATATAGGTTGGATTGCAAGGGATTAAAAGCAGAAGGCAGAGCGGGACAGGAGAACACGAGCTTGGCGAAGAGCTCTGAGTCGGCTTACTCTCGCGTGAAACCCAATCCTTGAGCAACTCACTCCACATATCCAATTAGCTTTCGCGGAACGGACGATTTGATCCGTTGACAACAAGATTGTTCCAACTTCCTAGCTATCCAACAAGATTGTTTTGTTCCGTTGCAGTTGGTCGCCTTGCGGAATGAGATGGCGCGGCAGCGGAAGCAGCAGGAGATCGAAGAAGACCGGGCGAGGCCCTTGTCGGCGAGCCACTGGGACCGCCAGCACATGCGGTGATGTCATATATCAAAGATACCGGTCGAACAATTTCGGTTGGTACCGTTTGTGAACCGCGTATGTTACCGGCACGAGATGGAAAAGTCTGAAAACAGTATACCATCTCAATAAGCTTTCCCAATGTAAAAGATGACTATAGTCTTAGCTTTCAAGTCGTTGAAACATTACTTGGCCGCCCTGGACCGTTTCCGAGTATGGTCCTTCTCAACGCCTCTCTAAAGAGTACTAATTGTTGAGATTAAACGAGGAGCTTATCTCACAGACAGGCTTGAGTTCGTTTTGAGTTGGAGCTGAGATCTTATATACTGAAGCAACGAGCATGTCTGGCAGGCAAATTATGTGCTTTTTTAACGCCCTCATGTATGGCACTTAGTACCCGCCTGAATCGGGCGCGGCTTTGTGCATAACCAATCTGTGCATGTGCCACGTACTTTCGCACTGGGACCATCCAATCGTGTACATGCCGCATATCATGGCAGAAACCCCTGTACCAAATCCGCTCAAGAGCATGAAGTGAGATTGCACGCAACCAATCATTAGATTTGGGCAGGACTTGCATGACCGTTAGCTTGACCCTTTTCAAAGATCTGTGGCGTTATCTGAACCGGCCTGATATGACGGCATCATCCTGGCCGGTTTCATAGAAAGCCAGTGCCATGAAAGCTGTGGCTTCATGATGTGGACGGTTACGTACTGGCCCGGCGGCAGCAATTGCATGGGATTGAGAGCCTAGATAAAGTTTTGCGGTGGCGCCTTTCGGAGTCCAGGACAGCCTGGGCGGGGGATCAGATTGCTGCACTGAGACGGCCCGACTACTTCTGAAGCGCCGCCAGCCTGCTAGTGGGCCCGATGCCATGACATGGGCCCGCGCCCATATTCATGAGCTGCACCACGATTTAAAAAATCATAGCATGTGAGTCGATGAAAAGCCCTTGCCATGATCCCTCCATCATTGTCGGATACATGGAGTTCGACAATACGGTCATACATGGCGGCCGCCGCTTTGGCCCCTCGATCTGCGGAGCAATGGTCTCTTTTCAAATACTAACGCGCTGTAGCCAAATTAATTTATGTATAGGCCACTGAGATGCTTCTAATGATGGTACACGAATCTTTGAGTGATACGATATTGATCGTATATCTGAAAACGTATTGAAAGTTTTATACTACAAAACGCAGCTATTTGCACGATCGAGCAGGAGTACGATCGATTCGATAATCCCGGCGCCGCCATCCATGCCGACGGTTGGATATACACTGAAACACATATATCACATTCCATAATTAAATGACATTTTGAGCGCGGCGCGGCGATTGGACGTGCCAGCTGATCCTGAAATTCAGCGTACTGGCCGCCCGAACATATTGCTAGCTAGTTAAACTCCGCTCAATCGGACCGGGACCGTCACTTTGATAACAAACTAATTAGATATATGATGTGGTTCAATACGCAAGACTGGCAGCACCGGCGCGGCCTGACATTGCATCCGGGTGAAGCGGAAAAGAAGCCGGCACAAACTTCGGAGAATTTAGCTAGTACGTTAAGCTACCCCTAAGTTAATAGGGCGACTGATCCGCATCCAAGTGAACTTCAAAATCGAAATTACTTAACGCACCATGCCAGTTACCTGATCTTGCATGATTAACTGCAGTGCGGGCCGCCCACTGCATGCAACATGCAAGCTCGATACAGTCTCCACTGAAACTTAGCTGGCGTTGTTTTGAGCTAGCTAGCTAGCGCATGCCACCCACTGAAGTTGAACACGAAAGATTGTTACACAGTGAGCCAGGGAACGGCAAACGCTGTCTGAACAAGTGTAAACTTTGAGGCCAAGCATGGGCTGCAGGGCCAGCTCAGTATGCAGTAACTATGTCAATGGACATTTACTAATGCTGCTCGCCTATAATAGCCGGTCTGACTGACGAGACACACTGACATCGACGTGACTGTTTTGGGATACCGAGTTCGTCGTATCCACAACCACCGACTGTACCCAAAACGCCAAAGCCCATGACTACAGTGACTAGGCCAACTCTCGACTAAACGGCGGAGCCTTGAAACTTTCTATTCTACGGCCTTTTTCGCACTTCGACCAAAAGTATGCCCGTTCGGGCTGCCCTTTCAAGCCCCGCCAAGCCCAGGCGATGCAAGAAGAGCTGCCCTCGACTATGTTTAGACTTCCGAAATGTACAGGATTGACACTTTTGTACTCGAGGCTTATGCTTGTACACCAGCAGCCCTCACTCGCATGCCAGCTTGGTGTCAAAACTGCTGAGGCAGATTGCAAACGCCTGGAACGCCGAAAGTGGGTAGCGGTAGTCCATAGTGAACATGTCGTTACCCACCTTTCCGAATTGGAGAAGAACTTGCTGCAGAAACAAAGAAGGGGAGGAATCAGATGTCCGAACGAATCACAGTTTGAATGCACAGGCGCAGTAGTCAGACGGTCTTAGAATTGATCAGCATGTTGAGCGAGGACTGAACTGCAAAAACGGTGAGTGTAGCAGCAAAAAGGAGGGTTTGTCTGCAACTTTCACTACAACCCTTGCTGGAAAACATAAGCGCCTGCTTCTTTGAAAAACGATTGCCGAATATGGGATGTGCAACCTAAGTTAAGATGGAGTGCTTCAAATGACCCGTTGCATTATCACTACTGGCATCTGCAGATTCGAACCACGCTCAGGAATGCCAACGGATCCGAAGCACGCTCAGGAATGCTGACAAAGAATACAAACGTAGATCTGGACTCCTTAACCAGAGTTTCACAAACCCAACTTCACTCAACCCACCTTGTCCACCTCCGCGCCAGCCTGCCCCGCGCCCGCCGTCTCCCCTGCCGCCACTAACTGGAAATTCTTGACCGAAGCGACGGTAACCCGCCCCCTGAAGTTGAGGCACCAGCACTGCAGCTGTTCGTGCCAGCGCGGGCACTTGTTCCGCAACACGAGGGGCGCCTTGTCCGAAGGCGAATCTGGGACGTCCGTCGCGCCAGGTGGCAGCATCCCGGTGGGCGACGGCGGCGGGGGCGTATTCACACTGAGGTGCTTCATGGACCGGTTCAGGGGGGTGTAAGAGGGGCGGGGGGAGGGGAGGGAATGCGCCTGATTGAGAGTGGGGGTGTTAACGGCCACCACTGGTTCGGACGTCTCCTCAAACAGAGAGGGCATGTCCACTTCCACTGCAAGAGAGCAAGATGCACGGTGTGAATAAGCGTGTTAACCACATTGGTAAACATTAGTAAACATTGGATCTCTACCCTTCTTGAAGTGAGAGATGTTAACGGCCACTACCGGCTCGGACGTCCCCGAAAAGCAAGAGGGCATGTCCACCTCTACTGCAGAAGAGCGAGAGATTCGGTAGAATACGGATGACCAAGACCAAACGTGAGATATCAATCTCATGAAAGTGAGGGGTATTAACGGTCATCACCAGCTCGGAAGCCTCCTCAAGACGAGCACCCATGTATCTCCACTGAACAAAGCCCGAGTGAGCGGGGTGCATAGGCGCCTGGACTTGAACCCTCAGATGCAGTACGAGCTCAACAATAGTACGGCAGACAATGATAACTCACTACTCTCCTGCGCAAAGCGAAGCAAGGAGAAGAGAGAGAGAGAGTGATGGGGTGAAAAGAAGACACCCTCACGGTGCAAGACCTCCGGGCTCCGAGGAAGAGACTCTACTTGACAAACAGATTGAACCTCGTGCTTTGGCGCCCAGAGAACCCAAGGAGAGAAGGGAAGGACAGGGGGGCGCGGCTTGTGAGAGTGAAAGTACGAAGATCTTCCAGGCTCCAACGGGGGCCTCGACATTGACGCTGAGGCGAAAAGTCACTATCCTGGGGCTTCCGTCCCGAAAGAACCAATAGACCAAAAGAACTCTGGTACAGTACGAGAATCCTAGCGGACCCCGCGGAACTTGGCACCCATACCGAGGTCAGGAACTCGTTCCGCCTGAAGCTGAGCGTTAGAAAAATCAACAAAACGGAAATTGAACTCACAGGGGTATGGCACAAAACCCCCCGGCTCAAGCGCGGAGCTCGGCACCGAGTGCAGCGTCGCCTGCATGCGCCGGGGGCCCCTGGTCCCGAGCACGTTTAGCTCATACGAGATGGACGCCACCGGGAAGCTCCCGGGGGGGGGCTTCGGCGACACCTGTTTGGACCCCCTGCCGGAGGAGGTGCGCCCGACGGCCTTGATGGACGGGCAGTTGGCCGGGGGCTGGCTGTCGAAGATGGTAAACTTGGTGCCCAGAAAGTTGGACCTGGAATGAACGAGGTTTGCAGTTCGCGGTCAGGACGGGGTTTCCGGTTTGGACTTGGCAGACTTCTACTCCGCGGTTGCGGAATTTTAGAGCACAGTCAGGCCTTAAAAGATGTTGAACTTGGTGCCAAAAAAGTTGGACCTGGGGAGAAAGAGAAGGTTTAGGGTCTGAAAAACGGGATGGTTAGGGCATAACGGCAGTGGATGGGCCCCCAGAAGATTGGACCTGGGGGAAACGGAGAGGGGTTAGGGTCTAGAATATGGGCCTTCTCAAAACCTGTTGGGTTCTTCGAGCATAATGACATGGAAACCTGATGGTAAACTTGGTGCCCATAAAGTTGAACCTGGGGGGTAGGAAACTTGCGTTTTGCGTCTGCGTTTTACGGTTAGGTCGGGGTTTGCGCTTTGGATCAGAGTTTGGTTGCAAATGCAAAACTGAGCTAGACAAGCTTGTAAAATGTTTTGACAGCAACGGCTGTGGATGTCATGAATAGTGCATGAACATCGGACCTGGGCGGGGCAAGGAGGGGAAGGTTTGGAAACCGAACGCAGCGCGAGTCTGACATCCTCACAAAAAACCCAAATGCGGCTGAAGATTCCTCCCCCCATGGGGGAGGATTGTCACAAACACGCTCTCACTGTCAAGGTTTCCATCGGCCCTCAAAAGGTACATGCACTTCTTGCCCCCAAACATCACCGATCTAAACGCTCCCTGCACTTCAGCAGCACCTGCGGAAGAATACCGATCATATTTTCCCTTAACAAGCATGGCACAGAAGTCCAGCGTATCCTTGCAGAAAACCATGTCTGTACATCCAAAAGCCACAAGTCTCAGCCTGAGCTTGCTTACTGATTGAACTTTCGTCTTGGAAGGAGAAGTTCGTCTTGAAAGGAGCAAACGGGATTTCCAACTCTTAAATGCTTCAGAGAGTTCCTCGCTTGCTATCCCTCACCTGAGTTTGCCCATGTAGTTGATGCTCCCCTTGTTGAAGTCCTCGTCATCGAGTGAGATGACGTAGTCCGTCTTCTGCACATGGCGCGACTTGCGAGCTGCCAGCAGGAACTTGCCCCCCTCCACAGACGCTGCAAAACGCGCAGTGTCAAAATGGTGTACTTTACGCCCCCCGTGGGTGTACTTTACTTTCCCTTATTCTGAATACTTGGAAACGCACGCGGAGTCACAAGGGTGCACTTTATGCCCCCAGAGCTTCTTACTCAAACCAAAGCAGGATTGTCAGGAAGACAGCGGAGTGCTGGTCCAGAATAGAAGTCGAGGTGTTGTCGAGAAGAAGGTAACAATGTGGACTGCAAAACCCTGCGTGAGTTGGACCAGCTTTGCGAAGCCCCCAGAAATCGTGTCCTGCTGCAGACACATGCAGTTGCCATGCTAGGTAAGAGGATCTTGCTGCAACAAAGAAACAGTTACGGTTGCACAGGCACTTCACCGGAGTTCAGTGCCATCCAAAGTGGTAACCTTTCTATTGTGTTACTACCGACATTTGCAAGTGGATAGATCAGGTGTTTTCCCACACCAATCAACGTATTACCCCAAGACCCCAGGGGAAGATGTTTCAGCCACACCATGTAGAGTCACGAGTACACGCATGATTCCAATTCTTGGTGATCTTGCCTAACCATGGTTAAGCCCCAAACTAACCATGCGATGCCCTTTGCACCAGCCCCTGGTAGCATTTTGCCCATCAACTTCACATTTGATCTCTGCTGCAGAAAAATAAACGTCCGCAGAATCGGATTCGCCTACAGCGAACCCCATGAAGCTTGTAAAGGGGGATGCAGAACTATGCGGGTAACAGATGCTGTCAAGGGGATCAACTTGGCACAAAAAGACGACTCACAGGGAGGGAGGCCCAAGTATAGCGAGTATGTGTGCGTCGTCCGATCTCTTCGGATGAAGCACTGTATCGCTGCGTCTCGAGACCCAGGCTGCAACAAAGGTTAGGGGTGGGTTAGCATTGGGTTTGAGTAAGGAATCAACGTGACAAACAGTTTGGAGCATGTTAAATCAAATGGGAGCATCATGAGTGGATTTGAAGGTGGCTCAAGATCCAACAAGAAGATGCTTCAATGACCAAAGGACGGCTATCGACAGTGGATTTATAAGCGGGAATTGGTTCAACAGTCCACCTGAGTTCAGGGTCAACCAAGATTTAGGGTGTGACACTAAATATCTGAAACCAGATCTCAAAACCAAATTGCACAGCATTGCCTCCCCAAGTGAAAAGCAGCGAGAACACCGAAAATGCAGTCGATGAAAAGCCTATTGACAAAGCTGCCTTCCAGTTCCACATTCTAAATGCCAAAGCCAAAGTTGCCGAAGCCAAGATGCACAAAAACACAAAAACAGGCCCAAAGCAAGGGGAGAGACATGTGGCAGCAAAACAGATGGCTTGCGAAAAAAAAGTCCCTCTACGGAGCCAGCAAGTGACACATCTGTGGAGCAGTTTGCTCCCGCTAACTGCGTGATTAGGAAACGCTCTTGCCAGCCTACGCGCTGAGTGGGACAAACCAAGGCGCCGACGGTTGTGCGTGGTACTTGAACTAACAAAAGCAACTCAGGACATTGAAGCAGGGATTTGAAGACCATCCAAAAACTACTAATAGCTCCACACGCGACGAGAAGCTCTCGCCCAGTCGTCTGACAAGTTTGTAGAAACTAGCCAGGTTATTCACCTCCCCACACAAGCAGGATAGGGTTTTGCAAGGTAGTTCCTGTGCAGCATTATAACATTCGATGGCCAGCATGACCAGAGTGCTGAACAAAACACAGAGCAACGTTAAGATGTCAACCCGAAGAGCAGGATCAACCCATCCCACATTATCTCTGCAACATTGGCTACCTCCTGCTTGCACAAAAAAGCTGCCCCTTTCACAATCATATTACCCCCCCACGGGGAACAGACGCGTCCTCAAGAAAAGACGGGGTCGGGTTCCCACATTTGCCAACCAGAGTGTCTCTTCACGGAAAACAAACGTGAGGTGCATGTTTTCCTTTCCCAATGTGTTCTTCAGCTACGTATACATGCTACTTCAGTCCTCAGACAATTCGATTGCAAAAAGGAGTTGAGAAGTTTACACCACATCACGGTTCAAAGCTCCGAGGCAACACCGAGCTTTACAACATCTGGTTTTGAAAGTATTGGCACGGCCCAAAGGACACCATCCATTGCAAAATGACAAGATTAAGCACCGATGGGACTGATTTGAGGTATACCTTGTGTAACAAACTCACACAGGCTGCTCGACAACTTACAGAATGCTGGTGATACAACAAGCGTTGAAAGAGCTTACAAAAGTGCTAATTGGTTGTGACACCAACGTAGCACAGATGCCAGAATCTCCAAGACAGGAGCATTCAAGAGCAGGGTCATATCTTTTCAGACAGTATGCAACATATAAAGAAATCAAGCGGGCAAGCGCCGCAACATGCAAGCCTAAAGCCCTAGGATCCAAAGATGAGTAGCGGAAAGAAACCCTAAAGACTAGAATGGGGTCTAAGTACTGGGAAGTCCAGGTCGACCAGTATGAGCACAAGGAGCCGCAGAGCAAAATCATCTGCATGACCAGACACAGCGACTAAAATGTTCTCTAAAATGGAAGAACTCAGCTTTCCAGACTTTCTGACAACCTGCATGCTTGCAGGTTGAACACAATGCACAAGCTGATGGACTGAAACCTGTTGCTTGGCCGATGAGAACGCATGATTCACTTGTTGTACCAAGACAACAGACCTCCCCTCGTTAGGCTCATAAGGAACTGAGTCGATTATTTTTTGGTCCAGATTCCTTCATGGTATCCAGAAAGCGAGCACACCTGTGCACCCCGTTTCAAGACAGAACAAGAAGCCTTACCTGCTTGAGGGATACCGGAAAGGTCAACTTCCCAGTCGACTCGGGGCCCCTGACCAGGTCTCTCGTGACCTCCCGCCAAGTACTGCACACCCCCGCGCACGCAACCACCGATTTCCTCTGAGGCCAGCTCTCTTCGCTCACTTCGACACGCTTCAGAATGTCTCTCAGCAGCTCCGGGGGGATGCTCGCCCAGCAGCTGCCCTCTGTTTCCACCCCCCTGGAAGAGGAAATATCCACGCGGATGCCCATCCCCTTAACCATACTACAGATTGCGATGGTCTTATTCAATCTCTCAGTCTCGGAGGGTTTGCTACCAGCCCGTGTGCTCGCGTATGCAGAGAGCTCAACTCCTGTTCTTGCTCGCGCTGACCCGCCGCAGCGAGCTACGTTATAGAAACCTAACCAGAACCTAACCAGCACCTAACCAGAACCTTCCGGCTCTGGGACTTACTCCGGGCTAACCAGACACATCCCTCAAGGAGCCTTGCCCGTTCTTATAGTCTTTACAGCAGAAGAAGCAACTTCCGTAGTCCTCAGCCACCTAGCCAGCACCTCCAACCCTTTGAGGGTATCCACCAAAGTCACGCCTCCTTATAATCTAACCCCCGGGGTATCCACCGTTTACTGTCGCCCCACTTTTGTTATGCTCAGCTATGAGTTAAGCTTCGGAACTCCCCCGCAATACGTGCTTGTGAGGAGCTCCGCCTGCCGGCAGTTTTCCGAGAACGAGGCCTTAAGCCGGGAAGAGCTGTAAGACGAGCTGGAGAGGCAAAGAGTCCAATCTCTGGAGCTCTCAAAACGAGACTCCTGGAAAAATGAACTGAGGAGCCGTGCAAAGCCCCTTCTTATACACCTAGGCCAAAACCTTCACCACAGATGCAGAATCCCTTGTGCGAACTCTAGGATTTGTTTACAGATAGAGCATGTCCTCCTTCCTAGGCGCAGCAGCCATTGACTGCGCCGACTTCCCTCCAAAATGGCGCCATGGCGCAGCAGAGAGGATTGCAAAGGATTGATTTGTAGTCCTATCAATCCCGGCGCATGAATGCATGTTCCCTTTTCGATTTCACCCCCGACGAGAGCGGGGCACAATCTAGCACGCGAGCGCGAGAATCTAGCGGGGGGCGACAAACAATCATTCTGGTGTGAATGGGTTCAAAAAGACAATCCTGAACCGTCCATTGCCTGAGGAGCCGATCCTGCCTGGACAATGTGACCGTCGATTAGTAGGTGGTCCTTGCATATATGATTGCACTCGAACAAGATCCTGACGTATGCGCGCGTCACGCGATGACGGATACGGTCGCATGTGTTGAGCGCGAGTAACGCGCGAGCATCGGGTGAGTCGAGCCAGTGCATGACAGACAGGCGGCCGCTGACGGTACATGTACATGCTTTATTAGCCTAAGTAAGATACCGTAGATGGCTTCCCACAAAAACCAACAAATTGCGAGGCCCTGGCAGCTGTCATCAGACCTCTAAAGGCCTGGTAAACTGGAGGATTCTCGTATCAAGAGCCTGTTGATCTTTGCTTGCAAATCTCAACTTTGGACTCGCACTTATGTCATCTGTATACCTTTCGGGTGCTTGATTGACGCACCGCCTGGTGATCTCCTGCTGACCCCTACGGGTCAGTACCCCTATTCCAAAAAATCGCTACAGCACGCCTTGACCTTTTAAACCTTCACTATGCTACTCAATCGAGGTCCTGTGTCCGTTTAACATATCGTTACTACCCTATCCTACCCTCCTCTTCTGATTGGGCTACAGTCGGTTTCCATGGGTGTCCCGTGAATGCCGCGGGCCGCCTGGGTCAATTGGGTTGGCAGAGCGTGTGACGTCAGCCTTTCGTCATAGGCTTGGAGCTGGCCCCACGATGGGCCGACCTGGAGTTTGACTTGGAGGGGCACTGCAGAGACAGAGTGCGACAAGTTTAGAATCAGCTCAACTGAAGGTTGCAAAATCGTGTCAACAGAGACCCAAACACACGAGCGGCCAAAGTTCGAATCATTTGATCGTTGCCACAACTGAGCACTACCTCCAACGGTTTCTTTCTTCTTGCCAGCAGGTTTGACAGAGACCAGCGTAAAAAAAGCTTGGCCCCAGAGCCACGCAGAGCGCCGTTTGGGGTCCGAACCTTCTGCACTATCGAAGAAGGCAGCCGAAGCTTTCCCGCAGTGACTAGTTGCACTCTTGCTTTTCCCTCACTCACAAATATCCATCGAATGCGGACTGATCTTACGACACTGCCAGACGTAATTTCGTACACGTTTTGGCTTGAACGTCAGAATAGCAATCCTGCATCTCCTGGGAACAGGAGTGCAAGTTTGGCCTCGTCATTTGCACGCCACTTCCCGCAACGTGCTTCTTCGACTTCGAGCAGCGGGCTCTGAAAGCCGAATCGTCTGTCGAAGAACGATGTAACGCCCCGCTCGGGCTCACCTGCCAGCGTTACAACGTTCTTCAGGACGACCGCATCGTGCGCGCCACCTTCCTGAGCGCACATCTTCGACCTTCAACCACATTCTCAAAACAAGACAATCCTCTTTGAAAAAACTCCCGCCCGGACTCACCTGCCAGCGTTACGACCGTACATTGCGCCCCACTTCTTGCAGCGCTCTCTCTTCGATGTCACTCGCCGCACTTTTCAAGAGCAGAATGCATCAAAGGGCCGACGTAACGTCCGCCCGGGCTCACCTGTCAGCGTTACCAACTTCTCAATCGACGACCGCACCACGCACGCCACTTTCCGAAGCGCTCTCTTGGACTTCCACTCACCACATTCTAAAACGCAGTTTTGTGAAAAAGACAAAGTGACGTCCGCCCGGGCTCACCTGCCAGCGTTACCACGTTCTCCATCGACGACCGCACCATGCGCGCCACTTCCCGCAGCGCGCTCTCTTCGACTTCGAGCAACAGTTCGTCGTGGATCTGGAGGAGGAGCCGGCACTTGCCAACGAGCGAGCCGTTGGGAGGGGTTAGGGTTTCGGACACGGTGCTCGCGCGTCCGGTCATGTGTCCGTGCACGTTGATCATGGCCAGCTTGATCAGGTCCGCCGCAGAGCCCTGGAGGGAAACAGCGGGCCGTTTGAGAAAGTAGAAAAGCTTCGCAACTCGTCTCCCCAGAGTAACCGAATGCACGAGTCGAAATTGAGGGCGCGTATTTCTGCTCTGCCTTGGTTGGATGTCTACTCTATCTTGCTCTGCCAAGAATCAGAAAAGTTTGCCTTTTTCTTGGTGTCCTGCAAAGGCACTTCTGCGGGTTGCCTGCCATCAAAGACCAATCCTAGTGGTTTTCGCACCTGGCACACGGAATTGACTGCCTGTCTTTCGGCCCTGGCTTTTTGCCGGCCCCCGTTGTTGATGTGCTCCAAATAGCGCCGCCGCCCGCTCAGCGTGGAGACGTAGCCCTTGGCCTGGCACGCCCTCTGTGTAGAATCGATCCACTTGGTGACTCCGGGGAAGGCGGTCAAGAACCCGGTTCTATACGTGGCCGCCTCCTTGCTGGAGACGCCCAGCTTTTCCGCAAGCGCTTCGACGCCCATACCGTACAGGATGCCTATTGGAAAAAACGAACTAGGGTCTCTATGATTCATACTCTTCGTGGACAAGACTTGATGGGTCTGAGGGGATTTGAATGGCAATCTGAGAGCAGAATCGTCACTTGCTGTTATCAGAGCAGTGAAGGCAGGGAATCGAGGCAATCCTGTCCTCAACAAGCCTTCCAATCTGGCAACGGAACCAGATTTGTAGAGAAGAATTGCCGCAATCTCGTCTGCCAACGAATGAAGTACACTTCTCGCGGCCCCTCTGACGTACTCTCACGTTATTCAGGAGTACAATCGTAAGGAAGCGGGAGGTGCAAAGACAACATGGAAGGCGGAATATGTCAGGTAAGCGAGGGAAAGCGGGAAGGAGCATGATCCGACATAAGCTTATTCTGGAAGCTTTCCGGGTGTTCATGTTTCAGGGTGGTTTTAAGAAATTCATTGTGTCAGGGTTTTACGGCTGATACTCGAGGGTTTGGCTCACCGTAGGTAAGGTGCTTGGCGGCCTCCCTCTGCTTCGGCAGCACCTCCGCCTCATCAATGCTCGCCCACTTGGCCGCAATCATGCGGAACAGGTCCCCGCCAGGTGTCGAAAGCAGAGCCACTAGCCCCGCATCTCCTGAAAAGTGCGCCATCATTCGAATCTCTACCTGCGCGTAGTCCGCTGACATCAGCGCCCAGCTGTGTGACGTCGGCACAAAGACGCTCCGGATGTTGACCTCGACGCGCCGGGTGTGGCCCCCGCTCAGCCGGCGCGAGATCTCCCGGTCGCCGTCCGTCTGGTTCCGTTCCGTTTCCGTTCCGTTATGTGCGGTGCCTGTCCGTCCTACGTCAGTCCTAGCTTCGGTTCCGCCCAGTTGCGTCCCGCTCTTGCGCCGCTGCGCAGCCCCGAACGCTGCGAGCGTCTGATCTCTGCTACCTGCTTTCGTCGTCATGCCGTCGCTCGTCCCCTCGTTCCGGTTCCGCTGTTCCGACGCTCCGCCCAACCTCCGCCGGGCGGAATCCGTTTCAAGCGAGAACGAGATGCTGTGCTGAATGCACTGCAGGCTCGGATCCTCCATCGCGAGCCGCCCAGTTGCCGCTGCCGTGTGGAGCCACGTCCCGTAGATCTTTTGCAGCCGGGGCGCCCTTCCGCCCCTCTCGGACGCCCCTGAAACCCGCCGGAAGCCGTCCGACTTCCGTCCCGAACCGTCCGTACTCCGTCCAAATTCGTCCATACCCCGTCCGTCACCGTTCGCAACCCGTCCGTTGCCGTCCGCACCCCGTCTGAGGCCGTCCGGAGTCCGACCGGAACCGTCTGAACGGCGTCCGAAAGCGTCCGCGTCGCAGCCAAGGCCGTCCGCATCCGGTCCAAAGCTCCGTGCGGTTTTGGCCTCTTGGAGGAGCGCTTCGATCGTCGACTTGAGGAGCTTGGCGAGGGTGCGGTGCTCCAGAATGAGCTCTATCACGGGGTGCTGGTCTCTCAGAGCTTGGAGAACCTGAGATGACCGATGATGATATCTCGTGATTATTTCGTGCGAATCCCAATGAGCCCTAAACACAAGATGTGGCTCTTTCGAAGCTCGAACAACTCGAGTGGACCTATAATGGGATGTCCTAAAAGCCGTTTACAAAAATACCGTTGCGCTAAAGAACCAATCGTAAAACCATGAATCCGTGAAGGCAGTATTGTTGCGCCAGCAAGGAACAAACAACCGCAAGCAAGTGGAAACTTCGAGCAGCTTGACAAGCAAAGACCGACACTAGGGTTGTACACTCATGGGAGCCGTTGGATTGCCGAGCAAAAAAGTTGACCCTCAAGACAAAGTTGCTTCTTTCAAATGGTTACATTCAGACACTCTTCAAGGACCACCTTTCACCTGTCAGTGCGGCACCTTTCGCCAGCAGATTCGTTCGCCGACATTACGTACTGGGAAGCTCGTTTGTTGGTACGTTAGCAATGGCTAATCTGGTGACAAGTTGTCCAAAAACTGGACTAGAGGGATGAATGACTCACGCTCTTGTCTGTGCTGATGTGGCGTGGACTCCGCTTCGTTCCGGGAGGCACGGGCAGTTGTAACCTTTGGAAGAGGACCTCCGAAACGTCTTGGGGCGAGTACAGGTTGAACTCGGGCCAGCCCACCAGCTGGCGCGCGCGGCCCTCTAGAATGCGCAGCTTCTCAACCACCGGCCTGCGCGGAGACAATCTCGCTTCTCTAGTTGCTCGGTCGTTCCATGTTTGCATCGTCCCTCGGTTCGTTGATCATCTCTTACCTCTCTCTGCTTGTCAACGTTTACCCGTTGGTAAGACGATGTTGGAAGCTCCTGTTTTCTGCTCTAGAAGGACATGGAAAGCCGAGAGTGGAGGACGCAGCGGTCCGAAGGCAATGAAGATCGGCAAAACAGTCAGCGAAAAGTTTATCGACGCTTTCAAGAATCTCTCTAGCCTTCGACTCTGTTTCCCGTTCTTTTTTGGATCTCAGACCAGAGCTAGAAAAGCCAACCGCAAGCGAAGGAACCATCGGACTACATTGCACCCACAAAAAGCAAACAGAAGCAGTTGCAAACTGCGAACACTTTGTTCTGCTGTTCTTGCTCACCCCTTGTAACGCCGGCAGGCCGCCGAGTCGAACACTATCCCCCACTTCTCCATGTCGCCCAGCACGCGCACCAGCGGCATCTCCACGCTTCCCAGCGGGTCAAGCAAACCCTCCCCGCTTAACTTGCCCTTAACCCAGGTCCACAGAGCGGCGACCTGGGCAACCCTCCGGCAGCACCCGTTGGCCGCCACACGGGAGTGGCTCCCCGGCTCGTCAGCCCAACGCCCGGCGCGGCTCAAAGCGATCGTCGTTTCGGCGTCGATTCGTTCCTTGACCAGGGTTTCGAGCGAAACCTGCTTGAGATTGAAGGGGTCGATGGATGAGACAGGTTTACGGCGCTCTTAAGCGTATCTTCTTTGTTGACCGTACTTCTGCTCATCCCCCATTGCTTTCCAAGGTATCAAAGTCAACAGTTACGAAGCGACGCTGAAGGATTCTTGAAAGTATATGCACCGCTTAATCTGACCGTCATAGGAAGCATGTCAGGACGTGGCGACAATGTCGTGTCCGGTCGTCTTTTGTCAAGGTGGGCATTTGGGAACAAGGGAAGAAGTTCCACGAATAAAGAGAAGCAGCCGGCAACAAGAAACTGAGTCACATATTTCAGGCTTAAGCGCTTCACTAAAGGATCGCTCAAATCTTAGAGGCAAGCGTCGCAAAAAGTCTTTCTCTCCCGACTAGAGCTCGCCTGACGAATCAAGTCCGCGAAACAGTAAAGCGCTCTCCCAGAAGCGTTAGCGAACGGTAAACTGACCCGTCGGGCGCTCTCCTTGTCCGGCAGCAGCATCCAGTTGGCAATCCGGACGTCCAGTAGCGGGTCCGCCGGGCAAATCCCCGGCAGCCTAACCCACTTCTTCTGCCCCCCCTGCTTCGCCCACAGCTCCCCGAGCGGGCCCCTAACCCCCTCCTTAACCGGGCCGTTAACCGCCTCCTTGACCGGGCTGCCAGCCGCCTCCTTTCCGGTGGCCACGATCGCGTTTCCGAACGCCAAGAGCTGTTCTTTGACGTCCCAGGAAACTTTCCGCACCCCCCGTTTCTCGAACACCCCCCTGACCGTCTGCCAGCGTTGCTCCACGGCGAGCCGTCTCCGGTCCCCCCCCGCCAAGTCCCCCCCCTCGCTTTCCAGGGTCTTTGAAATCTCGAGCGAACCCCCATTAAGGCGCGCTTTCGGTGCGCGCGCTAGAGAAACGTAGAACACGGGGGATCCCTCCCAGGCAACCGCGAGCCCCTCGATCTCCCACGGCCCCCCCTCCGCCTTCGCCTTCTCCTGCCCGCTTATGTGGAGCTCGTATGCAAACTCTTCGGCGGATGCCCAGTGGTCGTAAAAGGCGTCAAAACCCCCGGGGAGCTTGTCAACGTCCACCGGGCCAGAATGGGGGGGTAAACGGAGTGGCTCAGGCGACCGGTTCGCGTGAACTGAGAAACAAATGCCGGCAGCGGGAGGGGGAGGCATTCCGTTGTGCAAGGCCGGAACGAGCGCTCCGTTTCTATTCGACTGCTGCTCGTCGGAGAACCTGCTTAACCCTCGCGTTTCAGTCTGCATTGCGGCCTGTCTGGGATTACTCCTAGGGTCATCTACTTGCGGGCGCACTGAATGACTGGCTCCGAGGTTACTTTGTGCAGTTTCAGGCCTTGTAAACTGGGGCCGATTGACCAGCACACCGCTTGCGGGCTGGTTGCTCCACGCAACCCCGTCGTTTACAGGGCCCTCATCAATGTCCATGTCTACAGGCTCCTTTCCCGGCCTGTGGAGAGGCCTTGTAAACTCTCCGGTGGGCTCTTTCTCATTCGGGGACTGGAGCTGCGGTCTTGCACCCCCAAGGTTAGACAGGGGTGCCTCTGCGGAAATAGTACCAGGGGGCCCGGGCGCCGGTTTCTCATTTGGCGTCGCCTCTGCTGCGAGTGGTGACGGGAGGGGTTCGGCCTGGAGTAGCGTCTCCTGTTAAGCGGAGAAGGGTGCGTCAAGTAACCATGTGGGTCCTTCTGAAACCTATTGAGTCGATTCCAGCGCCGCGCGGGTATGTCGCGTCTCGTTCTCAGTCGGTATTCATCTCCTGAACAATTTCTACAATGGAAACATTCCTTCACAAAGGCTGATACAAGGGGGTAAAAGGACGCTAATCGACCGTTCACGCATGCCGAAGCTTTCAATTCTCAAAGCTTGGAGTCCTTCGAGTAGTGAAAAGCTGCGGATTGTTATAAATGCATCGGCAGCTCTTACAAAGGAGTGAAATCACAGGTGTCTTACCTGACTGACAAGTGGCAGGATCTGACGCTGCGACACCTTCATGCCGATCGCGCTCAGGTTCGAGAACATGGCGGCCGCTGCGTCCTTCGCCTTCTCAACGACGATCTGACGGGCGCCTGCGGCACACAGTCGAAACAATGAAATTTCAGGCACGACCCACCGTTTACAGTTCTAGATCTTGTGCCACCGGTTGCATTCAAGGATGTTTTTCCGTGAACATTGCTCGGTGCAGATTGATACAAAGTGATGATGCAGAATCTCCATCTCTGGAGAGGTCTTCAAGAAAGGAAGTGCTCTGTGCTGCAACTACCAGACGTCAATAGATCCAACTTTTCTGTTCTTCCATCCAGCGTCGACAATCCTAAAAAATGGGTTTTTAGCCGACATCCTTATCTGTTACCAATCTTTGCAATCCCACATGCTCCACATTCAGTGAAATCCCTTACCGACTCGGATCTTCTTCGCTGTCGCCAGGTGCAACCCCCGGCTGCCCGCTCCTCCCCCGGCCGCAAGTGCGGATGCAATCTCCTCTACGGACGCTTCAGCGACCGCTTGGGGCGTCCGAAGCCCTGCCTTGAAGAGCGCGCGCGCGCGGGCGGAGCGGACATTGGGAATCTCGGTGAGTTCGATGCACTCGGCCTTGACGCCGAAGCTGACCCGCGAATGGAACTGGGTGAAGAGGGCCTGCAGAGGGAGTGCGCCAAAGTTTGAGAGTTTGAACCAGGGATTTTCCAGCCGCTGTTGTACTTACGAAAGCCGAACGGGTCGTTGGCCTCAGGGTTAGGGCGCGACTTTCGGCTGAGCTCGGTGGGCTTGGTTCGGAGATCACGGCGCATTTGACAATCTGTTGTGCCAGTTCTGGTTTGATTGCGGGGGCCGGCTCTGTGTCGCTTTGCCGAGGGCTCGCAACTCCAAAAAGGGTAGCTCTCAAGTAAATCGAGGCTTACCAAGACGACAATCGGGCAGGAGACATGGATCGGGGACACTACGACATGTTGGTGTCACCAGGAAATACCTAATAAGCATTCGAACCGCTCAAAAAATCATAGGAACTACTCCAATCCTGCCAAATACGCATTTGGGAGAGGGTACCACGATAAGTGTTTATCCTGAGGCATACGCGCCTTCTTCCAACCAGCAGCCACCAATAAGCGCGCAAGGTTTGATTGCGACTCCGTCAACTGCACTTCCTTGCGCCCAGAGTCTCTGCAATCGGCGAACATCGAAGTCAACGGCCTGGAGAAGGAGTCGAAAGAAGAGGCGGAGTTTCGGTCGAGCAACGAGGAGCGGCCATCCAATCAAGTTGCGCCACGTGCCTGCATGTCGCGCCACCCGAGCCGCTCGCAAAACGCCGCCACGAGCACCGAGAACCGCCCCGCCGCGTCTTGGAGCCCCTGGATCGTCCCCTTCGGCAAACCAGACCACTGCGCGACCTCGGTAAGCGGCATCTCTTGCGACAGCTTGGAGAGAACTAGAGCGGCGTAGAAACGCTGGCAGATGCGCTTCTGGTCTTCTTCCTTGGCTTTGCGCGCGGCGGCCGCCGTTGCGCCCGTGGCGAGCAGGCTCTTCTTGGGGGAGGCGCCGATGCGCGCCACGTGGCGGCCGGTGACTGGGTTGCTTCTCGGGATTTGCAGGACGCCTGGAGACGGAGAAAAAGCGTTTCAAATGTTGCTTGGAGCTGTGTAGGGGTTCGACACTACTACAGGCTAAATTCATGAGCTTCTGCAGCCAGCAAATGTCGTACTTTTTGATGATTGCTGGATGCCAACTATGGCAGAAATCAAGATTTCCGTTCTGGCCTGGCATGCTCGACACACCACAACGAAAAGTGCACCAAGATCTTCGTTAAGCAGAAGAAGATGGATTCTGCTTATGTATACATCAAGCTAACTACATCGTCGAACCCTGTCTTTTGTAACGAACACAGAGAGCCACATTAAGAGATGCAGATATGAAACAATCATGACGAAGAAGCAATAGATTGCTAAAACAAAGGAAGAAAGCTACAGAGTGGAGATTTTCCTCACCCGACGCGAGCTTGTGCAGGAAGCTCTCCTCGATCCCCACGCGCGTGCCCACGTTCTGCTCCAACCCAGTCATCTGCCAGAACGTGCGCGCAAAGTGCTGCCAATCCGGGGGCGCCACGTCGATGTAAACCGGCGTCACCAGGTATACCGTGTGCAGCTCCGTGGCCATGACGAACGCCTCGCGGGCCCGCGCAAGATCCGTAAACACGATCAGGGACTCTTCCGGTGTTAACGAGCTCCCGAAGGCGGCGCGGCCGAGCGGGGTGGGGGAGTAAGTTCCGCGTTTGCCGTCTTCCGAGGTGCTCTCCCATTCGATGAAGTTGTGGGCGCCCAGCCATTTGAGAGACGCGAGTGCGACCTTGGAGACCTCCTCCGTAGGGCGGGTGGTCGCCAGAAGCGTGCACCTGTGGTCCGGTGCACTAGATGATTTTAGGTGTGTCTATCTTGGGGCAAGCAAACGATTGATTGGGTCCCAGATGGTTCGTGCAGACGCATCACGAAATAACGCCCAAATAGCAGTTGGACAAGGTTCGGATTGCATATTGCGGGGAAGCCAACAACGGACAAAGCAAAGGGTCTCGAATCCGAAAATGGTCTTACAAAAGTGAGAGCTGTCGCCCTAGAGTCGAGAAGGAAATTGGACACAAAGGTGAGTAAAAACAATTTGCGTCTCCAAGCTTCAATCCATTCGACCATGTTGTGGAGTCCTGCTGCTGCAATATCAAAGCAATACGACCATTCAGTGAATGCCAGAAAGACTTCCTGGCTCTACGCAGATTCTCGTAGGCATCGGACTTATTCGGCGCGAACTCTACGCGCTTCGTCGTTTGAAGCATCTCCACCTCACCTGATGTAGCGCTGGACGTCGGGCGGCGTCTGGACAATCCCGGCGGCGACCACTTCCAGGAGGGCACGTGTCATCCCCCGGCTGTCCTCCGTGAGGCAGCTCACGAGCGGTTGGCACCCGGACTCGAGGAGCGCTCGCACCCGCGATTGCTCGTTGACCGTGCACATGAGAATCTGCAGCAGGATCAGGGTTTTGGTAAATTCTAGGAATCTCGAGTTTTTAGGGTGCCGAGGCCAGGGGTCTATTCACTGTCCGGGCTTCAAACCGCGACAATCGATACTGTTTAGTCGCTGCAGAAGCGCGGAAATGCGCGACTGCTCGTTGACCGCGCACATGAGGATCTGCAGCACGATTAAATAGTTTCCTGGAGTTTATTTCCAAAGCCCGGGAACCACTCGAGCCTTTGGACCCGCGAGAATTGGGCCAATAACCTGCTGCAGATGTGCAAGCACGCGGTTGGCAGCACACGTCAAGGTTGGGAAGGGTGATGTCGAATGTCGACTGTTGATAAGGAGCATCTTAAGAAAGTACGGACGAGCTTGATTTACATCAGCTGATCTGGAAACTTGTTAGTCCATAAAGAGGCATCTACACCTCAATCTTCCTGCTTACATCGCCGAAAGTCCATGAAGCCAGAGAAAATTGACTCCTGGGCTTTGCAAATATCCCTGACATCTGGAAAAAAGAGCAAGCTAGACGGCGAGCGTTTGCCAAATGCTGGAGAACCTGACAAAGCCGACGATGAAAGGTCACTTCGCCGGATGAGCGTCAGTCTTCGCAACAGGCCACGTTGATGCTAAGAGCATTCAATGATGAACCTACGGTACTAGAGAACCGACAGAAAGGGCTACCAAAAGCTCACACTCCCCTTGATTCCAATCACTGTGCAGTCCGCCCGCCCAAACATCTGATCTGTATGGCGGACCATAAATGTAGTCGGGCCCCGCTTCAGGCGCCCGAAAATTGAGGAGCTGACACCGGCAAAGAATGGAATGACTGCGTTTCAACCCACACTCTCTCCCTTGGTGTCAATCCCCGCGCGGCCCGCCCGCCCGGACATCTGCCGGTACTGCAATCCGTTGATGTAGTCGAGGCCGACTTTCGGCGCTTGGAAGATGACTTTCATGACAGGAAGGTTAACACCAGCATAAAATGAAAGACTGTGGTGTGACTCACACTCTCTCCCTTTGTGTCGATCCCCGCGCGGCCCGCCCGCCCGGACATCTGCCGGTACTGCACTCCGTTGATGTAGTCGATCCCCACTTTTGGCGCCCGAAAGATGACCCTCCGGGCGGGGAGGTTGACACCGGCTGCAAGCGTGGAGGTCGCGGCCAGCACTTTGACGGCGCCCTTGCGGTAAAGGCCCTCCACGATCTCGCGTTCCTCCGACTGCAAGCGGGAAGCATGTGTGGGCTTTGTATTGATTTATTTGGCAACCCCACGATCGAAGAGCAACATGCCATGCTTTCACTCGGTCCTTTACGAGAACTTACACTGACGTGAGCCCGCAGGAGCTCGTGAACACTAAGTCAGAAAAACCATTCCCACTCTTAGAGTCCACTCCGCTTTCTGAAGAAGCCTCCTTGAGTCAAGTGCTCCAGGGGAGTTCTGGGCTTGGTACGAAAGAGCTTCGGTCCACGAAGCTTTGGTTGACAGTTTTACTTCAACTTCTTCTGATCCGATGGGGCTGTGGATCAACTGTGTGGAACAATCTAGCACAGCGGGAATAATGGCAGTAACTCCAGGTGAGTCCTAGGTGATGGTATACTACTTGAAGACAGATCGTCTCTGTCAGCCACTACGACCAACTTTGCGGCCTGCACAGCGCACCCCGAGAAAAAGCCCAAAGGCATCCAAAACTACTAAGCAAAGAACTCAAAAGGTAGATACGTACCGTCAGTCCCGCATGATGGTACGCTACTCCATTCGGGAGTGTCTCTGCGAGCACCACGTCAGCTCCCGTCGTGTTGCGGCTCAGCTCCTCAACAGTGGCCGCGAGCTCCGCTTCGTGCTGGGAAATCGCCCGTCGGGGCAATAGTTTGGCCACGTGCTTAGCCGTGACCTGAAGAAGTAAGTATTGGGATTGAGAGACCAGTCTAGAATGATCGATTTCGACTTAAGGTGTGCTTTGGTTGATAAGCTGGGCGACTGTTGGCATCTCTCAAACAATCACGTCAGCCACGTTTGCTGTAGCTTGGAAGCGGCGCGCCTGGTAACAAAACCCCGTATCAAACCCGACAGTCTGCGAAAGGCAGAACCACTTGGATAAGATGGTCTTGCTCCGATTGTGCCGCCGGCTCGGCTTCCCTCGCAGACCCAGACTTTCCTGCGTTTGCAAGAGACACAAGGCGCCGCATACTGTTGTCGACCAAGAAGCGTGCACGACCACTTTCCATAATCGCACTTTACATGCCACGTGACCAATCCGCAGCAATTCTAGTCCGTAAGACCGCCACCTTTGCAGCGCCTTCCCCGACAACCACAGACAGACCGCCAAGTGCTCACGGAAGGCGTTCAAAGATTTTTCGTCATCCAGATTTGAGGTTTTCAAAAATCATTTCCGAGGAATCTGAACTATACTCCACACCCATCAAGCGCACCAGACCTTGCTAGCAACGCTAAGACAGTAAGTCGCGCATTCACCTCGCAACTCTTCTTGGTGGCACAGAAGATGAGACAGCTGTGGCCGTCCCTGACGACCTCGTCGCACAGCTCGACCAAGTGGTCTTGGTCCTTCCCTTCACGCGACGCGCCCACCGGGAGGCTGCGCACCGGCCGCATGTGCTTGTCGTATATCAAGCTCTCCGTCTGCGGGAAACAGTGTTGCGAGTCAGGCCTACAGGCGCATTATGGACAATGGTACCCTCAGTGGCACAATCCGTTTGCACCAAATTCAAGTCTGACGGACTTTGTGCGAAAATCTCCGGGAGATTGGTTGAGCTCCACAGTGCCCCGTTACGGGGTGATTACAAGGGCGTAACAGACGTCTTAAGCCAAGTTTGCGAAGTGGGAAATCAGAAATACTAAGTTTCGGAAAAGCCTGGTACGCATTGTCCGTGCCACTACGTTCGTTGAGTGCCAACTCAAAGGTCAATCTCAAGCTGTTGCAAACGACTCAATTCCCACCCGCCAGGTGCTGCCAGCAATCTTTCCCATACTGAGCCTGGCGCCTGCGCTTGGAAAACGCACCAATTTCTGACTGCAGACGCTCAGAAGGAGGAGACGAGCACCGACACACGCTTGGCCAAGATCTGTCGGTTGTTCTGCTTGCGCCCTTTCCCCATGTCAACGCCGTTGCATATACGAGCTTCAATCTCTCTTTTTTTGAGAACCCCAAAGATGTGCCGAAGCTTTCGAAGATCAGAAATAAGGTGTCAGCGAGAGCCCCGTATATTTTTTCACTTTTTTCTCAGAAAACTCCCTACCTTGACAAACTCCTCGAGTGGGACCGGCCGAAAGTCCGTCTTATACAGCGCCGCATCCAGCCACTGCGCAACCGCCTCCACGTTCGGCATCGTTGCGCTCATGCCCACGATCTGCAATCCGGGCTCCTGCAACCAACATAGCTTGATTGTATCGATCTAATGCCGGTGATACGTCTACTAAAACGCAATGAGCTTTGGACTCCATGTTGCAGACCCTGGTTTGATGCCCGCACAGCCTCATGGTTGAGTTACGATGTACACGGGCAAGAATGTTAGTGTCAGCCCGCGAGCCATCCATGTATGCCTCAAGAGCGGTGTTCTGAGAAGACGGTGCGCAGCGGATCCGAGAAGCGAAATCCCGAGGGGCTGGACTAGGTTCCAAGAATCATGTATAGACATTCGTTAGCGTCTCCCAGACGATTTTTCTTTGCAAGCACCTACTCGAAGCGGATTAAACATACCTGTGACGGGGTGCTACTCTGACTGGTTCCGTCAGACGCCGTCTGCGTCCCCCCCGGGGTATGGTTTGAGGTGCTCGGCGCCCCCGCCAACAGGGGGGTCGGCGGCAGGGCCACTTTCACCCCCCCGCCGGCGGCGAAACGCAGCTTCGTGAGGAGGAGCTCCAGGAGGTAGCCCCGGTCTTCATCGCCCACCATGTGAAGTTCGTCGATAACGACGATGCCGATCTCGGACAGCTTGCCGTCCTCGAGAATCTTGTTTAGCTGCAGCGCGTAGGTGTTTTGTGAGTGGCCCGTTGTTTTTGCGAAGCAGGGTCTTATGGTTGAGGGCTCCGGCTGTTTCTGAATTTGACCTGCCTACAGACCTCGACGAACTTGAAACTTTGTATTTTGTAAATGACGAGTTCAGCTCGTACAGCTTGCCGTTCTTGTTGAGCTGCACCGAGCGGTTATAAGTGCCACGGCTTGATCGTGCAGATCGACAAATGCCTGTTCATTGGAAATCTGTTTGTCTTCTGGATTTCAATGTCTTTCAAGATTCTCCAAACAAAGACAAGTATCGCCAGTAGTCTGGTGCGATCCGGAAACTGGTCATCCGTCTCTTTCTTTTCTTCTACACAAATTGACTCACACACCTGTCTTAAACCTCGTGCGCACTTGCTCAGAGCTTGGTCATCTATGGTAAGCAGTGCCTGCTTTCGGGACTGAGTAGCTCGGTTTTTCTCCTACGAGCTTTTCAAAAGAGAACCCATCTTCCTGTTCGCATTCCCCAAGATCGTTCGGAGGAAGCGATAGGTAAGGGGAGGCACGGTCTGGCAGCCAAACTCATTCTTCTTTATCCTTGTGCGCAATCAGGTCAGGGAGAGTCGACCTCACCAGGATATTCGCTTTCTCAATGGTGCAGACAGCGACGGCCGTGTCCGGGGGAATGCTTCCCCCGCCCTTCGAGCCATAGAAGCCCCGCACCCGCCGCCCCAACGGCTCCAAGACTTTCTCGAGCTGGTCAGCCTGGCAGCGGAAAAGAGATGCTTTACTACAGATGCACGACTCCGTGGCCTCCCTGTATCCATAACCCGATGCCTAAGAACCGGCACTGTGTCGGGGGGTCATCTGCTACCAACAAACGGCCCTATAAAAAAAAGCTGCGAGATCCGCAGAGAGGGGTCAGCATTTTCACCTCCCTCCCACAAACCGCTCTTTTACAAAGCGTTACAAACGAAACCAAAAAGGAACGGCCTCCTTTTCTGTGACAGGGGTCCTCGATTGACGAGATCTCGGAATCAGACGTTAAGATTCTGCAAAAGAAGCGAAAATAAGAAAGTAAGGACAAAACGTGTGTTTTGGCGTTACGCCCCACCTTTTCCGCGCAGAGCGCCACGTAGGGCAGCACGAGAACTGCCTTCTTCTCCGTGGCGAGGGTTCGCCGGATCATGAGCACTTCGGCGACCAGACTCTTGCCGGCGCTCGTTGATGCGCAGAATACTAGGCTCTTGCCTCGCATCACGTCCTCCAGGCTCAGCGCGTCTGCCTGCAAAGACAGTTAATGACAAGCGGTTTGATAGTGTTCTTATGTTTGTCAACTTTGACGACTGATTCCTGCTTGAGCGGCAGAGTATTGCGCTTGCCATAGGTCTGGAACTTTCTGACTGCTCTGGCCGAAGCGCGAGTATTTCTAAGCAGGTCAGCGAAACTCGGGGAGGAGGTTAACAGGCACAGAATGAAAACAAAAGCTTGTAGTACACATTATCAAGCTTTTAAAATGGACAACCTCGTCCAGGATCACGTAATCGTTCGTGCAAAATCTGTCCGGCATCGCCGTTCGCTCGTTGGTCAAATCGGCTTTCACGGAACGGCGCACAAATTCAGGGGCTATGAGGACACTTGCGTGCTGCCAACGCTTCTTAAGCCTTATTTTGGAGCCATTGTCAAGTTCGAAAGGCCAATACCGTTGCAAGCTGATTCAATGACCTTTTCAGAGGTACACGATTTCCAAAGATCACGAGGGAGGGAGCAATACTATATAGTCGTCGCTTGAACCACTTAGAACACGCCCTTCTTACCTGCCACTGGTACATCCTCCCAACGCCCTTGCTCGCATACACCGCACACACCTCCGCCGGAAGGTAGTTCCGCAGCTCGCAACTCGCGGGCTCGCTGTCCCCCCCCTCCGAGACCCGTCCAGGTGCCCCCCCGGGAGTCGTCAAGGACAGCGGCTGAGTCGGCGTGCCTCCCTCAGGGTGTAAACCCGCCCCCTGCTGTTGTGAAGACGGCCCTGCCGGGGTTCTTACGGGCTCCCGTGAGGTGCCACGTGGCTGCTCCCCTGACGCGCCAGCTGTCACCGGTTGGTTGGCTCCGGGCTCAGGTGCGGGTTTGCGAGCGGCGGGACGGGGACTGAAGGGCGAGCTGAGCGGTGCGAATGGCCCCACTCGACCAGCGGTTCGCTGGCTCCCCCCAGGCTTACCTGCGCGTGCTCCCAATGCTTTCCGAGAGGGGTTCAGCTGTCCTGAGGGTTCCGCTTGGCTGGCCAGTGAGCATTCTATCGGGTCTTCTGAGTCCTCGAGTGGGTGGGGACCATTCACCCCATCCGCTGCAGACTCCACTGTTTCCTCCGGACGAATCCCTTTGTCCGATTCAGCGCCTGGATGTGGGGGCGTATTCTCACTGCGCGTTTCCTCTGGGCCGACATTGCCAGCCGCTCCTTGTCCGTCGACACCCCCTCTCCGAAACTGGCTGTCCGAAACCCGGACGTGGGCCTCCAAAACCCCGACTTGGGCCTCTTCCCTTGCGTGACTGGCCCTCTTACCCCCAGCTTGACCGCCAAACCCACCGTCTCCCTCAGCTCCACCGCCCTCCTTTGCCAGCCCGCCCAGCCCCTCCTGCACCTTCCCCTCGGCGTGCTGAACCGGCCGTCCGTTCTGAGCTTGGCTAGACTTGTTAACCCCTCCGTTTACACCTGGGTTTGCGCCCCCAGCAGACGAGCCTATCGGCGCTGTAGAAAGCATCCCGATAGCTGCCACGGAGTGCCTGGGATCGAGAGCAGCTTCTTGTGCCTGCATATCATCCGGACCTCCTCGGCTTTGAGAAACATCCCCGACCGGAAACCGCTCGTAGAACTGCGAACCAGGTCCAGCCCCATGCTCCGGAAAGTATCTTGGGGGGCCTCTTCGGTGGAACGGTTCTTCCAAACGGTTCGCTTCCGCGCTGACAGCAGCAGGTTCTACAGGGAACCCCAAAGGTTCGACGTCCGTGCGTACAAGGCCCTGCGCGAGTGGCTGCGCGCCCTGTTGCACCATGTCCGTCGGCTGCGCCATTTCCACCGCCCCAAAAACAAGGCCCCCCTCTGCGACTCCGTGCAACTCGCCGCCATCTTCTGGGCTCGACTCTGGCTGCGTCTCGAATTGGGAGATGGAGTCCTCCGCATGCGAGTCCGACTCCTCGATCGTGTCGTGCAATCCTTCGGCTAAAGTTTGAAACGTGAGGTCCGGGCTCGGGCCGGTTTGCAGGGCGCATGTGGCGAGGGAGTTGAGTGGAGTGCGGGCTTTGGAGAGGCTGTGGTTTAGCTGCCTTGGGAGGTCTATAGCGGGCGCAAGCAAGGCTGCGGCGGCTGCTGCGGCCGCGGAATCTTTAGGCGGGCGAGGAAGCTCTTCGCGCTCTGCTCTTTGACTGGAGTGCAAGGGAACTGGGCCGCCGAGAGGGGGTTGAAGTGACGAGGCTTGGTCCAAGGATTGCTCCGGGGGGGTGAAAGCTAGCTGGCGGACAGGGAGGGGCGACTGACTATTGGGCGGCTCAAGGGCGTCCTCTGGCTCTGCAACGTGTATATGGGGGAGTCCGCGGTTCGGGATTGCAGTCTGAAGCCCCTGCGCTCCACCCCGAACGAGTCTGTCTCCAGTTTCCAGAGGTCCCCCCTTGTCAGGGGGCCCAATTGCCTGTAAAAGTCCGCTTCCTGCAGCAGCTCCACGCCCCTCCTGACCCTCCCCCGAGTTCCCCGCCTTATTCGGACCCCCTCGTTCTTTCTGGACCTCCAAAGCTGCCGCAATTGCCAGAGCTTCGCTCCAAAAATCGTCCCCTGGCGAGTAGATAGAATCTCGGCGGGTCAGTCCCGGTTGCCCCCCTTCCCCCTGGCGAACCTCACTTTGCGCTGGAACCTCCCCCAAACGCGCCCCACTGTCAAACTCATGCAGCAGCGCCTCAGTTCCTCGCAGGTTCGCATGCCCCTGGCCTGCATCTCCGACCCCTCGCGCTGGATGTTGCTGCAACCCATCAGCTTCGCTCTCGCTATTCTGGTTCCCTTGTTGGTTCTCTAGTGCAAGTACCCCCTCCGGTTGCAAAACAGCATGTCCCTCCCTCCCTGCCTGTGAGCCCCTCCCGCTTGCTTCTCCACCTGCAACTCCGCCCCCCCTCTCGCTCATCACCCGGTCAAAGAACTGAATCACTGGTGTGGGGAAGGGAGAGGTCCCCTCGCTAGAACGACTGCTGGAGGGGCCCCCGGGCAGGAGGGCACCGAGTGCCACCTCTGGCAAAGTGATTGCCACTATAGCGCCCTCACGAGCAACCGCTCCTTTGCCTCCTAAGCGAAGGCGCGCTGAAGCTCCCAGATCTTGCGCATGTTCGGCTTGCGGCTCAATGCTTGGGGGGGGTTCACAAAGAGCAGCTGCCACACCCCCATTTTCCATCCGTGCTTCCAGCTTTTGCCTCTTCTGCCGTTGCTCAGCGTCAGAAGGGGGTCCGACCCGCTTCGCTCTAATCTCCTCATTGCGAGCCTGTTCGTTCTGGACCTTTCCGACCTCTGCTTTCTGATGCTGGCCCAAAATACCCGTTGGTGCTGCTGGAGGGTCTAGCGCCGGGGGCGATCCTGGCCAGGAGTCAGGCAACCCTCTATTGGTGGCTCTTTCTTCAGGGCCCCTCTTAGGACTCATTCCCACATTCACCCTCCATTCAGCAAGACTGCAAGTGACCTCGTCATCGTCCGCTTCGCCACTCTCGTCCTCGGTGGTCACATCGCTGTCCACATAGCCAGGCTGGAGGGCACTTTCTGGTCCTGCAGAAGATCAGCAAAACGAATCAGCAACTCGAGCTGTGAAGAACCTGTGAAGCCTCTACTTGCGGTCATGAAAGAGCTGAGGTGTACTCATCCCTTGATTGAAAGTGCTTGAGCTCCTGATTCCCCAAGTGCAGAATCCTCCCTGTGTCAGGGCCTCAGCAACCACAAACGGAGACCTATTTGAACGGTTTTAGGTTAGATTTGTTGTTGAAGACCATTTTTAGGAAGACCCTGTAAAAGAGACTGAATGAGTACTTATTGATAAGTAGGATCTGCAGATTGTGATGCTGCAGGTGGTATCCATCCCTGGTCTGATTGGGCAAGGGCCATCTAGCAGAAACACCGTCCAGAACATGTAGGGGCCTTAGTTTGAGGTGTCGCTCCTGGCAGGCAACCAAGCTGATCAAAGTGAAACTACGTTGCAGTAGGTGCACTTACGAGCTTTAGCAACCGCTTGCTCAATTGCCTCGTCTGCCTGAAATTGACTTCCAAAGGCTTCGCCCATTCTCCTGCCACCACTCGTGGAAGGAACTTGAGGTTGTAACACTCGGGAAGCCGGAGGACCTCTCTTGTCAGCTCTATATAAGCTGAAAGCTTCTTTTGAGCTCTCTGACACCTTTCCGATGGCCAATGCAATGTGCTGATCCTTTTTGGAGATGCACTCCTGCAGAGGCAATTTCAGAGACGTGCCCCTCCCTAGTCGTGCTTCCCGAGGCTGTTCTGCAGGCTGTGGCCGCAGCGCTTGATGCTCAGAAACACCAATCTTTGCAGTACGCGGTGCTGCCTTCTCGTCAGAAGGAGACTCTGCTTTTGAGTTTCGCCAACTAGTGGTCTTTCTGACTTTGGTAGCAGGATAGATGTTGCTGAGCTTACGCTCGTCCAGCTTTCTGCTACGAGCAGTCCAGGCATCTTTCGCATTGCCACCCATTATTGCACACGCGACAGGTTCCCTGCACCCTTCTGCATCCTGAGGCTGCTCCTGTTAACTTGACTGTTGTCCAACCACCAAGCCACCAACGGTGCTTGTTGCGAATCGCGCACAAATCCTTGTGGCCGCCCTTGCAGGAAACCAACCACGAATGACAAGAATGCTGCTACCACTTAGGTATGTAAGATTGCCCCTTAGAAAGGATTGACCCTCCCCTCATTGTTGACATCCAGGCTCAGGCACCATGGCCCATGCAGAGTCACCTTGACGCCCCCACCGCCAAGCACAGCATTGTCATTGTCCAGCAGCAAAGCTGGCGACTCCTTGAAATTGAAGGAAAAGCCGCTTGTACCGTCTTTGAATTCAAACCGTCCGATAGAGCGGGTAAGACCATCGGATGGCTCACAACCACTATGTTGCAGATGACCGTCCTCTCGTTGAGATCGTTGCCGGCCACAGTCCCAACCCCTTCTGAAGACAACAAAGCGGGGGAGGAGCTTTTCTAAAAACACATGCATCGAAGTTGCAAGAGAGTCGAAGGAGTTGGATTGGAAGAGACGGGGGCGGCGGTCTCGAGCAGCCCTTCTTTGGGAGCTGTCCTGGGTGTCCACAGAAAAGCAGGGTTCATTTGCCACTTGCACCGTTGCTTGATTCAAAATGGACGCCGATGCCATTGGCAAGGCCTTTGTCGAGCACTACTATGCCACGTTTGACCAGAATAGAGCAGGGCTTGGGGGCCTGTACCAGGAGGGATCCATGCTCACGTTTGAGGGAGAGAAGTTTCTTGGCGCGCAGAACATCCAAAACAAGATCAGCAGCCTCGCCTTCCAACAGTGTAAGCACAGCATTCTCACAATAGATTGCCAACCGTCAGGCCATCCTGGGGGCATCCTGGTATTTGTAAGCGGGTCGTTACAGCTGGGCGGGGAGGAGCACCAACTCAAGTTCAGCCAAGTAAGAGCTTGATTCATCATCCCTTTGCAGAGCGTGTTGTGCTCAGCTATCTGTGCATGTGTCCCTTGTCGAGACGAGCGGGAAGTCCTGGCGTTCCTTCAGTTCTTCTCGTCCAACGTTTGTTCACCTTTATTACTAGTGGTCTAGTCTGACAATGCCAAGTGCTGGATGAATGTTGTTGGTTTGTGATTTGCAAAATAACAGATTCTCCGCGGGACATAATGCTCCCCAGCCTTGAACCACTTCAGTTTGCAGAGGGTTCTTGCCCTCTAATCACTGGTCTCCTTGGTACTGTTTGCATGGCCGATTTTGTCCAAAGCAACCTATTCGTTAAGCTGTGCTGCTTGGTTATGCCCTAGTTACGAGGCATCGGCCGGTGCTCCCGTCCTTCAGCTGGCTTTGTCCATCCTCGAGGGATACTATCCTGGCTGATCGCTTGATATATTGCTTTTGCAGTTTCTTGGATGACTTCTTTGCGTGATTACATGTCTACCCCTAAAGGGACTAGAGGCAGACGTCCCCATGTTGCTGTTCGGGCCTGCTTGCAGTTTGCACTTTTCTTTTCAACGCTCAGTCAATTGATGCAGCTTCATGTGTGGCCAGGGAAATCCTTCGCCTATGCAGTGTAATAATGCGCCTACCTGCATCCTGTTTGTCCCAAACCTCCTTGGTTGAATGCTTGTAGAGCAAAAGACTCAAGAATCTATGTCTTGTGTTTTCAAGGACTGTGGATTTGGTATTGTTCGAAGGAAGCCCCACAATAGCGCTGGGTCTGCAATCATGCCACCACCTCAGTACCCTTCGTAGTGAGCAGACATCCTTTCTGAACGGGCTGCAAGACATTCACGGATGTTGGCTTTTGCCCTAATAGTATTATCTCTTAGACATGGGCTTACTTTCTGGCGTGCAAATGGAAGGGCCCGATCAGAGTGCTGCTTCTGAGTGCACTTGGAAAAGTTGAGGCCACTTTTCTTACCTTGCTTCAATCTGCAGATGTTCCAACTTCTACCGGCCGGATCCAGCTACTACGTCCAAAATGATGTCTTCAGGCTGAACTATGGGTAGGTTAAGAGAAAAGGGCATACAAGAGAGGTGCAACTTGCACTACTCATGTTGGACTTGTCTGGCTGGTCTAATATTGGTAGATTGCTTCTAGACTGCTCTAAGTTTGAACAACTGTTTCGTGGTGGAAGCTTGCATGTCTTCAAAGGAGCTAAAATGCAAATAAGCTGTCGGCTCTGCATCAATCAACAAAACGCAACCTGAAAGTCTCCCCTTGATAGGAATAGCTACTGAAATACGACGTGAGGTGTGAGCTAGTGTCCAACAGCAGATCAGTCGCTCCGCAAGTCCAGGATGGCACAACTGTTGCAAACAAGGCTTGGATAATTACCGGCCCAGTGCTCAATGAGCGCGCTTCCTCCCTGGTATTCCACTAACATTTTTGGACACATGCGCCATGTCTATGCCTTCGCACTTTGATAGAAACGGGGGGATAAACCGTAGTTCGTTTTGAAAGATGGAAGCCTATGCTAGTCCATTCTTGGTATACTCGTCACGTTTTCGTTTATCTATACGTACTCCAATTCTTTGGACACAGACTTGACGGCCCACCCCATTCAGCTGTTATGCACTTGAATCTGACTCCGGGCCTGTTTTGGTTCGTGCTTTCTGATTTACTGATGATCGTCATGCTTTGGTTCGGGTGATGCATGAACGCTTGAACATTACGCGTAAGAGCTGAAAAACCGCATGACCGCATAAGGGTAGCCGACTTGCATGAAACATTGTCTAGCAGAGCAGGCTCGTCCGGTCAACATGGACATGCAAGGTCCGATGTTGCGTTGCGATAGATGGATGCGCGTGCTGAGCCTTGAGGGTGTAGTATATGTGAATGAGGCCGCCGCGAGCCACCGGCGGTGGTGGCGATCGAGTCGTGGCTCGTGCCAGGTGGTTATTCAATTCTCAAACCCTCATTCTCATGGCATGTGCATGACTGATGTGACCCCGCAGGCGGCTATAGTATATAGACGTACGTACGTGTACGCTCAGTGGCCGCGGGGCGGCATCCGACATGTCATTCATTATTGCAATGCAATGCAGACTTCATATATGCATCATCATTGCGGTGCGGCCGGCAGGCCTGGTGTGCATGTCGGACCGTCTATATCTAGAGCTAGCCTGCCGCGCCCTTGCCTTGCCTGTAATGATGACGACTAGCTGTACAATTGCGGCGGAACGATGCATCCGATCGGCACCGCGCGGTTTCTGACAACCGTTGTCCGACACTGCCATGGATGTTAGTAACATGTAGTAACCTCCGAATCGAAGGGGCCCTCAGCAGTTTTTAAGTTTGTACTAGGAATTTACGATTGCCCATGGGCCGCTGGCGCGATCGGCAACACAATAAATCGAATAAATCGCATCGGGCCAGCTAGGTGTCCACCATCACATGCACCTCTCATCGAATCAGTCTCCCATCCGCCGAGGAAACTTATAAGTTTGTTGCATTCGATTTGGTACGGGTTTCATTACACTGCTCTTTTAAAGTGTTCCAGTTTATAGTCAGCATCTATATATCATGGACGCAACCTTGACAATGGACATTATGCCATCACCGCATACTATTACAAAACTCATAGCCGCCGCCTGCAGCACATTGAAGTTTGAGTATCTTTCTGCTTTTAGATGCTCCCCTACCATAGGGCCTTTTCAGCGAAGTGACACGTTAACCAAAGAAGTATGGTACAACCCAAGACAAGCCAAAAGCCTTTGACCATCTCAACAACAATCTAGAGACCTAGAACGCCAACACCATTTTCCAGACCCGAAGTGGTATGGACAACTGGGTGGCCTGTATCACTCAACCTGCGGTTCTGAATACTTGAGCGGGGCCCGCCGCCTTCTTGCCGGCAATCTCGACCACCTAAAGTGAGAGAAGCAGGCCCGCACTCGGAATAGCTTCCAAGCTCCTCTTTGTCCTCAACACCATATTTGCGGTTGCTTTCCCCCGGCGTATCACAAGGGGAGGGATGTGCAACCCAAACAGCCCCATCCGGCCCTGTGACTGGGAGGCCCTTCAAAGGAGAACGAAATTTCAGACAGTCAGCGACTGAAAGTCGAAAGCTAATGTGCCCTGCTTAAGCATCGGTGCATGTTGCAAACGTTCGAATGACAGCATCTCGGACAATCTGATTGCTGGAAAGAGAAATACGACCAGCCCATACATGTTTTCTAAAGAGAGAAGATTGCATTGCATTGCATTGCATTGCTCACTCGCAAAGGCAGGAAACGAATGTGCACAAAGATGTGCGGCTAGTAGGCAGAACTTACTCCGGGTCCATCAGAAATTGCCGCTGCATTCCAAGGTACAATCTGATTGACCACATCCGGATTGTGCCTGTTGAAAAGAAAAGATGTTTACCCCTTTCTCAAGAAGTGGGTGGCGGATTGTTAAATCCTCAGAGGTTCAACCACAACGAGCCTTAGACCATCTGAATATTTGTGGGACAGGACGATACATGGAAGCTTGCGGGCGTGCCTGGTGCTTTTCCGACATAACTGCTTGTAGGTTGCATAGGCCGGGGGGAAATCAGAGCAGTCAACTCCGAACGGTCTCGACCTCGGGTTGAAAGTCAAGGGGAGTACTCTGACAGAAGCAGAGACAACAGACCCCACTAATGACAGTCGTAGAGAATCTTCCTGTAGGCACATCAAAGGATCCTTTCATGGTAAAACGTCACTTCAACATTGTGAGCAGCTTTGTCAACTAAATGGGGCCTTTTATTGCATAGATTCGCTTAGCGCCTCCAAGCCAACTCTTGCAATCAAGAAAACTGGCTGGCAGAATCTTTGGCATGAATGTTGTAAGTACGTGCATGCTGACTGCTCCAGAGAACATGTGTCTTTCCTACAAATGCAGGTAAAAGTGAGTAAACTGCCGCTGAACACCAAAGACAAAACTTTGGCACCTTCCAAAGCTGCAGTAAGCTTTGATTGACAGGCAATACCTGTAGGACACAAGTAAGTCCACTTGCGCCTGCTCTCTGCCCCCCTCGTTCCGTCGTGAGAGCGGGACGGAAAGCGACATCTGCGTGACATCAGCGCCAGGTTCCGGCACAGTCACTAATGCGCTCAAGTCAACAGAAGCGGTGCCTAGAACAGCCTTGAGCTTGACACCATGCGTCAGCTTTCTGGTCCGGCACCCATAGACTTTGACCCGTAGCTCCGGAGCCATGCCCCGGGTCACCTGAAACGCTATCCTGTGATTGAAGTCCACAAAAGCGGTGTCTCCCTGAGTGGAAAACGTATGGGGATTGGAGCAGTAGACAACGTCCCCGAACTGTAACTCAAACTTGAAGCAGGCCGGCTGCCATCTCCTGTTTTTCCTATTGGTGCATGCTGCGAGCAAGGATGCCGCGAGCCCCTTCAACGCAAACAGTGAGACCTCGAGGACGCCCGTTGCAGGCTGGTCTGTGTTATGCTGGAGGAGGGGGAGCGAGAAATCTTGAGTGCGGGTGCGGAAGTACTTCTCGATCATTAGCATGTCGGGCAGCACATGGTAGAAGTAGCAGTGAGAGGCATGGTTAGCCCTGCGCAGCTCCGCAATCACCAGGAAAGGGAGAAAGAGCACAATTAGGACCATGGTGGCCTTTCTATGGGCGCATCACCTTCAGCCCTTGGCCTGTAATGCACATATGAAGTGGAGCGAGTCGCCCTGATTGGTTTGACTTCGAGAGTTTCTTCTCTTGCTCAGCAATGTTCAGGCTTTCCAACGCATACTATTTAACCAAAATGCCCGATGGGTACTGCACATTATCTCATGCCCCTATATTGTAGCGAGCTCCTCCGAGTTTGAGAAAGTGAATCTGAGGTCTTATACTCACTTGCCGGTGTCGAGTGTCTCCGGCACGCCGCACGACACGCCTGAAGGTAAATAGGGCACAAGCGCACCCTCGCTTATAATTTAGACTCAGCTGCTTATGCAGCTTCATAACCTCCGTGAGAATGCTGGAAACAAAATTCAAAATTCTGCACAGAGCTGAGAGCTCCAACTTGAACTTGAAGTTGAAATTGAAACGCTCGCTCGTCTTCGCCACACTCGTCAACGAAACCTCAAAAGATGAATCATGAAGATGGATGATTCGTAGCCTGCTTTTCCGCCCGCTGCGCAGGTTGTAGCCCGAAGAGGGCAGGGCTGGAGTGAAGGCTGGCCACCATGTTCTCCGCATCATCATGGGCCATGAAGCGCGTGTACAAGTTTCTCCTCAAGAGGCTGCTGGGAAAGCTGCTGGTCAATGAGATAGACCTGGAGCAGTTGGAGGTGCAACTGGGGGCCGGAACGCTGGAGTTGAGGGACCTGCTCCTTGACACAAACTATTTGAATGCTCAGGTGAGGACTGCCGTGCCTGTTTGGTTTCGATGATCCTGACTCCAGACTCTGCGGCATTCTGCAAGTCGCCTTTGTCCGTTGAAGGCTCTGTTGATACCCAAGTTGACTGAACCACCACACTTTGTATGGAAATAATGGCCAGATTGGATGATGCGCCTACCAGTCCTCTGCCTTTATGTTCAAAGCATGCTGCGAATGGTAGATGCTCTGCCTTGCGAATCACTGAATGCTACCAGGGCGGTCGACTGGAGGGAGAATGCAGGAAGCTGGTCCTTCAGTTCTTCCAGAGAGCAAGGGTTTGTCACGAGGAGGGTGCAAGATCTCAACCTCTGAAAACCACACGATGGTGATATGTATGTGGTACAGGATTTCGTTCTCACATGTAGATGGTCTGATATCAGTGCGGTACATGAACAAACTTTGACAGACAGTGCAGGCAGCTTCTTCAGCAGGGCAGTCGGGTTCAGCTTGTGGTGCTCATTTCGGTGGCTGACTCTCGTGCTGTATCAACTTTTAACGACCTATGTCTTGAGAAAGCTCCCCTCTCAGAATGCTCCCCCCAAGGTCGACATCAGTCCCGAAACTTTTTTCACTCGTTGCCGTGCCGTTTGTTCAGTTTTTCAAAATGGGGATTTGAATGAGAATCTCTCAGAAGGTACTATCCCTTGTCAAGTTTGCGCGTCTGGCCTGGTGGCGACATCTACATCAATCTTCAAGACTCAGTCATTTCAACTTATGTTTACTGACATTCCAGCTTCAATTACTGACATAATACATACATGTGTCTAGTTGGGCGAGGCGGCTGCCGTCACCATAAGCACCGGCTACATTGGGACCATCAAGGCGACTGTCCCGTGGAAAGGCCTCGCAAGCCAGTCTATTGAGATCGACATCGACGAACTCGAGATAACCGTCGCCCCACGAGTCCCGTCGCCACCCTTCCCCGATGAGCAGTGCGATCCTCAAAGCTCAAGCAATCCGGAGGGCTTCTGGCCGTCTGAGGAGCCTGGCAGCCCCGACACTGGCGACTACTCGAGGCTGCAGGCTTATGCGGGGGTTGACGACGGTGTCAGGGTGGTCGCCAGGTTGGTGGAGAGCATCTTGTTGGGGCTCAGAGTGAGGGTTATGCGGTTGGTAATCCGGGTTGAGCATAAGACCACAGGGACAGATGGGTCTGCTGACTCCGGTGGCTGCACGTTTGTGGTGCGAGTTCCTTTTGCCGAGTACAAGGACGAGACGCCGGTCGCTTCGTCGAGCGCCAGCGGGGGGTGGGGCTTTCTTGGCGGCAGCTTGGCGGGGGGGCTCGGCTGGGGCGCCGACGCACCCCCAAAAGAACCCACGGTGATGAAAACCGTTTCTTTTAAGGGCGTCGAGGTGGCGCTCGAGCGGCCAGCGGGGGCCCGTTCACACCAGGGCACATCGGGGGTCCTGCTATCAGGTGCGAACGGGGGCGCAGACGGCAGCGTCCGAGTCTGGATGCACTGGAAGAGTGGCGCAAAGGGACCCCCCAAACTGGACCTCGAGCTGCTCGCCCGGCCCCTCGAGCTGCGAGTCGACCTCGCTGATGTCAGCACGCTGTCAGCGCTTGCCGCCGCTTTCTCTGGGGGAAACGCCTCAACCTCCCGTGGGAAAGGTTTCGTTGCCCCGGGGATCGTTCAGAAGGAGCGGGCGCTGCACGAGCTGGCCGGGTCGGGGCTCTTGGCACCGGCAGGGGTTAGGAATAACCCCACAGGGGTTAGCGGCAGCCCCGAGGGAGGGTTTCGGGCACGGAAAGAAGACCTGCTGCAATCGCAATACTTTTCGCAGCAGCAAGCAGAGGACTTGCGGCGTTCAGTTGGGGCGGGGGATGAGTGGGTGTCGGAGTTTGGCGACGCTGCACCCGGGTGGCTGAGAAGTGAGAACGGGGGAGCGGAAGAAGAGGCGGATCTGGCAGCCAGGTAAGTTCCTGCACAGGGACGATGTTTTTGTTGTCATTGCGAATTCTTAATCGCTATTCGCTTCAGTTCTTGGGCAACTCTGCTTTGAAGGGTACGGATGAGTCAGCTTGAAAGTATTCTTGGTATCAGGTCGCATGATCTCAAGGAATGATTATTCAAAGCAGATTTGCTGGCAACTGACGCAAGGTTCATTTTGCGTTCTCTCTACCACTGTTCTCTACTGGTCGCATGTTCTGATTTCCAGCGTTGAAGCTCGTCAAACTGCTTGTACATATGCGAGCAGTACAATTGGAGGCGGTCGACTTCTTACACCGAGTGGCTAACTTGTTGTCCACAGGACTGTGCCGTGGAGTGACGAGTCCCTTCTCCAGCAGCAGATGCTTAAACTCAGCCTGGCAACTTTCCGCGTTTCTTGATGTAAGGAGGCTAGCTTTTCCTTCCTATCCTTTTTTTCTTGCTTGCTAACCGTCTGGACAAATGGAAGCCCGAAACAAACTTTCTCAAAATCAAAACCCTCTGTAACTTCCCTGCAGCGTGGATGACTTCTTTGACTGCATCAACGGCACTGCCAGCGGCCACCTCTCGCGGAGCTCCCACTCTTCCGGCCGGCGCTCGGTCACATGGGCCGCTCCGTCCGAAACTCGGTCCGAGAGTTCAACTCGTCGGGCGCAACCGATTGGGGAAATTCCAGCTGTTTCGCCCTCAACGGAGCTCAACCGACCCGGATTTGGGCAAGTGCAAGGGACCCCTGCTAGCAGACAGGCTTTGCCGGACCCTAACGCAAGTTCTGACCCGCACTTCAACCATAAAGACTCTGGAACAAACGCAGTGGCGAGTTACTCGGCGAGGGCAAAGATTGCGGGGCTAAAGGTCATTCTGCTGGCACCTGGGGACAAAAGGAAGCGAAAGGGGTCAGAACGATGCCAAGGGGGGGACAGAATGAGGGCGCCACCAGGGGGGGGAGGTGCGGGAAGGCTGGAGCGGAGGGGTGCCGCTGGGAGCATGACGCAAGAGGCGAAGCAACGAGTAGCAGAAGTTGCTCGAGAGAGCGGCCAAAGGCGGGAAGAGAACGGCTCGGTTGCGGAAAGCGATTGCGGAGGGGCTCGGGGTTTGGGTGGATGCGGGGCGACTGCTGTGCGAAACGGAGGGGATGGCGGAAGACAGCCGGAGGGGTCGACAGGGGAAGCCACGGGAGTCGGACGCGACTTTCAATCGAGCCGGCGGACAGATGGCGTTCGTTGGGAATCCAGACCGGCTGTTGAGGAGGGTCCGATCTGTTATCCAACGAACGGCTTGGGAAGCTGGGCGATCGGTGATTTGGAGCACGGTTCAATGGGTTTTGGTGAGGGTGCGCATGCAAGGTCCACTCCAGAAGAGGACGACTTCTCGGACGCGCTCGGTTTTGCACAAACGGACGGCCCGGATTTTCCGGACGACGTTGCCAACGCCTTTTCGGCGCGTTTGAGGACGCCGGGTCGGGCTGGGGGGATCGACGACGTCAGCAACGCGGACAGCGGAAGCCGGGACGAGTTTGGGTCAGCAAACGACGTGCTGCGGCTGGAGACGGACTGCGTCGGGGGGTTCGGAACGAGGGGCTCGGAACCCCCTGGCGAGATCGTCGAGCGGGAGTGGTCGCCGGAGCCGACGGAGCAGGAAGCCGTCGAGCTGCGCGAGAAGGTCGCCGCTTTTCCAGGGGGGCTGAGCACTGGGCGAAACGCAGGGGGGGTGCACGCTGACAGTTTTCCGGGGGGGCTGAATCCGGGGGAGGTTTTGGGGGGGCGGAACGGGGGCGAGGTCGCTTTGGAGATGCCCCTGGAGAACGAGAGCGAAGAGGAAGACGGGTATGGGATGCGGCCGGCGGAGTCCCACATGGCTTCGGTGTTTGGGCGGGACTCGTTGCTGGCATGGTCCGGGGCCGGGTTGGAGCATTGGAATGGGGGGGGCGAGTCCGAGGGCTTTGGAGGCTTGGCCGATGACCCCCCTGAAGGGGAGCGAGGAGGTTTGCGAGGCAGCACACTGGAGGATCGGGCCGTATCGAGAGGTGAAGAATCGGCGGGCTTTGCTGCCGACGAGATTACGGGGTCGGATGATGCGGGGATGGCTGGGGAACGACTGGAGGAGGGGGAAGAAGCCGACGAGAAGTCGGAGAGCCCACGAGACTTCCTGGAGGCGGTTTGTACCAACCTGAGCTTCAGCGTGGCGGTCTCCGGCTCTTCCACGTCGATCGAGATTGCTTCCGACACACTCGAGATAGCGGAGACTCTGCACACCCCGCAAGTCCCAGAGTTGGGGTCTCAACGGAGGGGTACTAGGAATGTCACGATGCCCCCCCCTGCAGCAGCCCATGAAGCGACCCCCCGGGAGCAGCAGCTCCAGCAGGTGGAAGCCGCTCTGCCGAGCCCTTACGGCGCCCCGCAGCCCTTTGCTCGAACCAGTGCCCAAACTCGGACATCCCCCTTTGCCGTTCCTTTCAAACAATCCCAGAACGGAAGTCTATTAGACACTCCTCCGTCGTCGGATGCACTCCACGTGGCCGAAAGACGGAGGCTGGTCAAGGTTCGAAGCGGCCCCCCCGTCACAAAGCCCGCAGTGGTTGTCAAAGTCCTGATCAGCTCGGGAGGGTCCACCGGGCGGACTGACGGGGGCCAAAATTACGCCCGGGGAAAATCGCTGGCCAGGCAGAGCAGCCTCTTGGGGCACTCAGAACCGGTCCCTCGGAAGACTTCCCTGACCGAAGTCAAAGCGGAGCTGCAGCCCGTCACTCTCTTTCTGGACCTGTCCCTCCCCAAGCGCCTAAAACGATTTGCCCCCGTTTCAGGGGTTCCGCCCGCCCCTGCGCCGGCAGTCACGCCGGTACCCCTGCTGCGTGCGAGCCAGGTTCTGCCCAGTCCCAGGCGCTCCTTCGAGGACTTTCTCCCATCGCAAGTGCTCCCGAGACCCGGGTCGTCCCCGGTTGATGACATCATCGATGACCTGGATAGGCAGTTCTCCGGGGGGGATGCAGGGATGCACCCCTTTTCCAAGCCGCAGCGTGGGGCGTTGAGCATCAGTGTTTCTTCCTCTTGCTTCCGAGTTATCCTTTCCTTTCCGAAAGAGGACGACTCCTGTGAAGAAGACGCTGCAAAGAAGCTCATGAGTCGAACGAGTTTGGGGGCCCCTTGTCGCAGAGACTTCCTCGCCCTCGACCTCTTTTCCGGCTCCTCTCCTGACGGCCAGCCCGCCTTCCTGTCCTACAAAATCGACCCCCCAGAAACCTCCCTGCGGCGCTCGTTCTCCTCGATACCCCCCAAAGAGCCAGAGAGCAGCGTCTCTCTGGGCGCCGCAAACCTGGGCCTTTACCTGGTCACGGACTCCCATTTTGCAACGGGGGGGTCCGTCCAATCCCCCGGTTACAGGGCGTTCTCCCTACTGTCGGTTTCCAAGCAGCCCGGTCATTCGGCCAGGCAGAAAGCACCCCGGAAGCATGCCCGGTTGTTTTCACCGGTCGACGCAACGGGTTCAGCGGGTTTGGGGATCTCGCTTGACGTGCGGATGCGGCCGGGAGCGGAAAGCGGGGACTGGCTAGCACAGTCGGCGTGGGAGGCGACGTCAGCACAGAAGACCCGGGGAGATGGTGAGCCCATGTTGTCTGAACGGAACGCGTAAATTTGGATCGCATGCGTTGTACAATGCACTGCTTGGTGCACAATGGAGCAAAGGACGGGCTTCGAAAATGAGAGCCACCATTGAACGCCTGATTTTGGAATGAATTCTGTCGAGTGATATGGGTCGAGTGACATGTGTTATTCAAGCCAGAATCTGGTTCTTGTCGATCTGCCACCCCCCTTCATTACGGTTGGGAGCTTCCTTTGATGATCCTTACAGTTAGGGAGGTGGCACAGAGCAAGTCTTGTCTGTTAAGAAGTCGGTGCAATCTCTCTTCCATTGAGGCGGCGACTCATGGCCAGGCAAATATGAAGAATCAGATTCTTTTTATCGCAAGGATTTCGGATTCCCTAAACAGAGGGCTCGGTATAGCTCTTACGTGTCAGTGGATCTTCAGTTCCTTGCAAACGTTCACTTATGTTGAGAAGTGCCCTTACTCAAATGGTCATACATGCGCACAGTGCTTCAGTTGGTCTCGGCAACAACGATTATTGGCCGTTTCAACTTTCGCGCATTTGCGGGCCCCAGCAAAATAACGAACTGCCTTTGCTTTAGCTTCCTTTTTTCCCAATGGTTCCGTACTCTGTCAGATATTTTGCTCTCCTTGCCTGTGGTCACTGTCCTGCTTTGGCTTGCCTCCAATCTGAGGGATCGCTTTTTAAGATATGTTACTGTTTGTCTATTGTATCACCATATTATCAATTTTGATTCTCGTTTCCGTCCTAGAGTCCTAGAGTCCTAGAGTCCTAGACCATCCTGGAACCCTGCCTGGAGTCAACCAGACCCTTTCTCAAAACCTAATCTTAAAGCCCAATTCAGAACCCTGATTGAAACCCCATCTTGATTTGTAGGTGGCAGCGGCGTCGACAACAACCAGCATGGGGAGGCCGCCGCTGCACGAGCGTCTGCCGCTGACGAGGATCTGATAGCGCTCGAGATCCGCGAAAAGGCGATCGCCTCTTCTGCCGCTTCCGTCCAGCTCAGTCTCGACCGTGCTTCAATCGAGGTGGTTAGGTGGCGGTTAGAGCGGTTAGGGCAGCTCTTGGAGGCGGTTAAGCGGTCTGGTGGGAGTGCGTCGGAGGATGGGGTTAGGAACGGGGTCAAGGAGGGGTTAGACGGGCGGGCAGAGAGCAGGGTTAACGAAAGCGGGGAAGAGGGGCGAACGAAGGACCAGTTTGCGTTTCTTCTGAATGTGGCGGCATTGGAATTGCGTTTGTTCGACGAGAAGGGGTCCAAAGGTCGGGCAGACGACCCCCCTGCGGAGGAGCCGGACGTTGCCAGTGAGAAGGACAAGTGGGTGTCATTCCGGGGAGACTTCAGCGAGCTTACGTTCTTCCACGTGTCGAACCTGGGGGGTGCGGCAGAAAACAGCTACATGTGGATTCGGCACGAGCGGTGCGGTCTCTACGGAACTCTCCAGAGTCCCACCCCCCCCGAAAGTGGTGCCGCAAATGGGGGGGTCGAGCTTCTCTTGCTCACCTGTTCTAACGAGGTCCTGGGGAGGGGCGATGCGGGGGACGAGAATGCGCTCGCTTCGCCTGGCACAGTCGGCTTGACAGTTTCGGTCATCGCGTATCCTTCCGGGGGTTACGAGACAGACTCGATCGTGGCTTGTAGTTTGAGGGGCGGGACGGTGATGGCACCGATGGGACGGTTGGACTGGGTGCTGGCCGTGAAGGAACTAGCGGTGGGGGCTGGTTCGGACGGGTTGGCCGTGGTTGACCGGGATTGCCCAAATGCGTCCGAGAGTGTTGGAGCAGCGTCCGACTACGTTGGAAAGGCGTCTGAAATCGTCGGGCAGACGTCCGAAAGTGCCACAACAACGTCCGAAAGCGGCGCAATGATGTCAGAAAGCGTCCGACCAACGTCCGAAAGCGTCTGTCCGGCCTCTGAAACCTACGCTGAGCGTTTCTCTAGAAGGACGGCTGATGGAGGGGCAATGGCGGAAGCAGACACGGCTCAAGCATGGCCGCCGAGCGAGGCTTCTAGCGCCCATCAGAGCGAAAGCCGGTCCTCCCAAGCTTCTGGTTCCACAAACGGGACGTGTTTCCTTCTAGACCTTCACGACCTAGCGCTGTGCTACGAGCCCAACGCCGAGCCAAACCCGCAAACCCCCCCACAAAATCCGGGCAAATCCTTCCCCCCAGATAGTCGCCCGTCCCTTTCCCGCCAAAATAGCAGCTCGAACGTGGGGTCCTCAGTTTCGGCCGTCCTAGCCGTGGCCGCTCTGCGCGTGTCGAGCGTGCTCGGAAAGCAACCGGGGGGGTCGGAGAGAGTGGAGGAAGAGGGGGGGGAGGCGGTGCAAGAGCAGGTGTTTGATGTGTGGCTGCGGGATGCGGCGCTGCTGATCCTGGACAATGCGATGAGGCGGCCGGCGGGGGGAGACTTCACTACGAGCTCGCTGGCCCAAGCGGGTTTCGTTCAGGTAACACTTTTGAAGACTTTTGCTGACATCGTATCGCTGTGACAATGTCCTATCGACTGAACGACACAAGCACGTACTGACTGCATGATACAAGCACGAATTCGAGAGTCCGTGACAACCTCGAGTGCTGATGAATCATGATGAGGTTTCACCTCGCCCTTTTCACCGATCCAAGGCCTTTGCCTTGTGCCATCTAGATCTTACCAACTTCCGGGAATGACGCTTTGCCTACTTCTGCTCTCATTGCGGTCTTGGGTTGCTCCGCTTGACGAATAGTCACCGTTTGCCACATATCTTAGAAGGGGACCACCAGATATCAGCAGCGTTAACTGCTGGAAAGTGTGACCTAAACTCCTTGGAACCCTGGCATTTCGCAGGTCGCCCGGGAGGGCGTCTTGGAAGCGTGCATCCGCACACACACCGGGGAGGGCCTCCAGTGGGAGCTCGACTGCACGCATAACCAATTGCGGCTGGACACGTGTCAGGACACCACGGCAGCGCTGGGCCGGCTGGCGGGGCAGATCCAGGCGCTGATCCAGGCGGATATGGAGCCGGTGGCAGTTGCTGGTAAGAGGAAATGTATTTTCTAAGGGACATAGTTAGTGAGAATCCCCGGTTTCAACGGCTGGCGTTATGTGTAGTAGGTCAGTTTACGGGATCTGAGAGGCTTCATGTGATAGGAGGACGAAAATGAGTTGGTGAGAGTTCATGCTGGGTGTTCGCTGAACAGTTGCGGAAGTTGACTGAGGGCTCACAATCATCGCCAACGATGGAAACGTGTCTGTGGACATTTCTTTAGAAACGTCCACCGGTCTCATGCCTGGTAAACCCTAGCTGGTGCACTTGTCGAACATGCACTCTTGGAGATTCTCTCCGTGCTTGATCCAGTCAATTCATCACATTAGCTCTGGTCGTTCCTCCGTTACTGGTCAATCAGGACTGCGGTTCACCTGATCAGCTGTGGTTTGTGTTGATTGGAACTATTTATTGCCTGAATCATGAGTCTTTTTGTTTCTGTGCAGATTTCAAAAGCTCGTGCTTTCTTGTCCGAAATCGGTGATTTGAATTCCATTCAAAACCTTCAATCAAACCCTTTTCTTGCCAGGTGGCGGCGCGGTGATCCACCGGCAGTACGGCGACCAAGACCCCTCTGAACTCCTCCGCACCCTCAGCGAGGGCTCCCAAGACTCTGCGCCCCCCAGCCTGAGTAGCAGCCTCGCATCCGAAACCTTTAGAGGTCCTCAGACTGAGCGAGAAGTGGGCGGCACCACTAGAGCTTCCAGAGAAGAAGCGGCTGCGGGTGATGGTGCCAAGAGCGGCTTCAACCCGGAACGGCGCGGTGCGGCAGAGAGGTGGGAGGGAGAAGGTGAAGCAAGGGCGCAGAGCGAAAGCTGCAGAAGGAGAGGGAACGGCGACGGACCTTCGCATCAGTCTGAAGAGCGGCTGATTGAAGAGTGCGACGGACTGAGATTCGCGCCGCGGAAAGGTTGGGACGGCGTTTCGGCAGAGTTGTCGTCGGGATTTTCGAACCCCTCCAGAATGCCCCCGAAAGTGGGCGACAAACTCCGTTCGGGCAGGCCCCAATCAAGCCCGGGGGGAGACTGGGAAACGGAAAAGGAAGCGGGAGCGCTTCCCGGTTACATCGAGAATTTTTACCAGGGGCTCGACGGTCGAGCGCCCCCAGGTAAGCCTGGCTCGTCCGAGGGTTTCCACACCGTCCCTCCGAGTCAAGTCAAGCAGCCCATCTGGTCTGGCGACCCAGTGAGTGTAAGTACGCCCCGCACGCAGCATTTGTATCCAGAGGAAGCGAGCGAGCCGCAGGTGCCCAGTAGACCTAGGAAGCCGGTTAGGCTAAGCAAACCCAATGTGAATAGGCGAAAGTCCAGTGTGAAGGAGCACGATGCGAGCTGGTTCGACGGCAAGATGCCCCCCCTGTCGGAAGACTATGTGGTCAGGCCTTCGGGGTCCCCCCCGAAAGAGGATCTCGGCCGGCCGTGGCTGCGAAACCGTGGCCCAGGGGGGTCGAAAAGCAGGGGATCCCTCCCCCGGAAATACCCGAAGCCGGTGGGCCGTTTGCTGCTGCGCGATCTCAGCGTTCGGTGGAGACTCTACGGAGGTCGAGACTGGGGTTGCGGAACAGAGGTCCCCGAAAGTCGGGCATCGAGCGGGTCAAGAGCGGGTACGGCCAGTGGGTTCAGACAAGGGGGCGCTAACCAGAAGCGGGGGGAAAGTACGAACCGGCCTGGCGGGGGGCTGGTTACGCGGTCGGTCAAGCCGACTGAGGATGGGTTAGAGGGATGGTCAACGGTCTCTGTTGAGCCCGGCACGCAAGCGAGCGAGAGTCCGCGGTTGAAGAGGGGGGCGTTTCTGGGGGCGATACAGCCCCCCGGACGTGGGGGCCGCCAGAAGGAAAACTGTCTAGAGGTTCTCCTCGACGGTGTAGACTTGCAACACGACTCCTTCCCGCAGCGAGACCACTACGCGTCTCGGTTAGCGGTCTCGGTCCGCGACATAACCGTGTACGACTTCTCGAAGAGCGCGCCGTGGCGCATGATCATGGGCCACTACCGGAGCGCCAGCTGTCCGCGCGAGAGTGGCTCCAAGGCGCTGCGGGTCGAGATGGATGCGGTTAGGCCTAACCCGGCGTCGTTACTAGAAGAGTACCGGTTGTTGCTCGCACTGCTACCGCTGCGGTTGCACCTAGACCAACGGCACATTGATTTCTGCGCGGATTTCTTTGCTGGGGGGGGCGCGGTGCCTGGCTCGCCACGAGAAGTGGATGCGGGGGGCGGTGGGGTCGCAAAGCAGCAGGGGGATGGAGTAGAGGAGGCGTTCCTTCCCTTCTTCCAGGTAACCATTTTGGACGGAATCATATCAACGGAACCTGAAGTCTCTTTTCAATCCTGTGTGAACTCTGGACCGCCCCTCGACATTGCTACAGTAGTTCCTTCTGCAGATCTAAGCGTAAGCTGGTTCACATCTCTGCTTTTCTCTGGTTCTCACAGATGCTTCTTTGACCGGATTTGCCTTGTTTCCTCTTTGATATTGGGTCAACCTTACATTACACCATCTTACCACAGCCTGCTAACAGGTCCGCTTATTTGCCTCCTTCTGTTAACACGTGCCAGCTCCTCGGCATCTCCCCTTCTGCAGCTGTTCCGAAATATTGAGATGCATCTTCACCTCATTCTCAGTCTTCTCAACTTTCGGCGACACAGCCCGCTAAGCGCTCCTCTCGTTCGCCCTTTATTGGCTGTTCGAGACCCTCAGCGTCGATTGTTTCAACTCAAAATAGTGCGGATTGATCACTTGCTTCAGATGTTCGAGATGCGCCCGCTGACGATCCGGGTCGACTACCTGCCCCGCCGCATCGACCTGCTGTCGCTGCGCGCCGGCAATTACGCGGAGCTGCTGAACCTGGTCACGTGGGAGGGCGTGGAGCTGCGCCTGAAAGGCGTGCGCTGCGCGGGGGTGCACGGCTGGGGGGGGCTGGGGGCGGTGCTCATGAACGACTGGGTCGAAGACATTTCACAGCACCAGGTGAGATAACAGAAAGTTAAAGATCGGTTAACGCGAAACTGAGTCCGAGGTCATTTCTAAGAAGTAAGAATTACACAAATACAGCTTTAGCGCAGTGCACGAACGACTGGGTTGAGGACATTTTGCAGCACTAGGTGAGCTAACAGAAGGTCACACTTTGAGAGGACAATCTGATTGTCTGACGATGTCGATGTACACTAAACATTAAAACCATGTAACTGTGGTCCGACGTCGATCTGTTTAGGAAGAGAGTTTCAAAATGCTGGAGCGCAGCGCGTAAACGGCTGGGTCCAGGACGTCTCGCAGCACCAGGCACGGCTTGCTTCGTTAGATGACTGAGAGCTCTGCAATTCACATCCGTCCAAGAATCGGCTAAGTCTGGCCGTCCAGATACGAGTGGCAGAGTCTTTGCTTGAGTGGAGGGAGCCTTGAAGCTTTCCAACCTCTTGTCCTGCCAGCCTCTACGGGAAAACTAAAACATGGGCTTCTTCTTGTTTGTAGTTGAACAAGATCGTCCGGGGCGTGGCCCCCATCCGTCCGCTGTACGAAGTCGGGCGTGCGACGGCGCAGTTGCTCATGTTGCCAGCGGAACAGTACAAAAAGGACAAGCGACTGCTCAAGGGCCTTCGGAAAGGTGAGGAACCAAAAGCAGCAAAGTCTTTATATCCTTTTCCTTAAAAGTGACAATCTTTTGGTTCATCGGCATGCGAGACTCTTCTCACGTCTCTTACAGATCGTCTTCTTTTGTTTCTCTTTGCTCTCCCGAACACGAGAACTTCTATCGTCTTCAAACGCCTCCGCCTTTGTTGCACTAGTCGCCAGAAAGACTGGTCAATTATTTGGGCCGCCCGGTCTTTCCGGGATTGTTTGAGAACCTGCTTGAAACCCTTTCGTGGGCAGATTGTTCTAGTTCTTCATAAACTTTGATGGTTGTGTATGCAACAGCTACGTTTCTGATTGTATTCTTGGTCCCCTACTTTCCAGGCGCTGCAGCGTTCCTAAAAGGCGTATCGCTCGAGGCGCTCGGCCTGGGTGCGCAACTCGCGGCCGGCGCGCACGAGCTCCTGCAACAAGCCGAAGCCACCCTGTCCGGCGACACCCAACCCCAAACTGCGCAGTCTCCGTCCGCCCCAAACGGCTCCCCGTTGCACATCTCCCAACCGCACGGCACGCGGGAAGGCCTCAAACAAGCTTTCGACACCGTTTCCCGGGGCTTGGAACGGTCCGCGTCGGGCGTCATCAGCGCCCCGATCAAGCGGTATCAGCGGAGTGGCAGTGCGGGAAAGGCAGTGGCGACCGCTCTCAGGGCGGCGCCAGCTGCCGTGGTCGCCCCGGCCGCGGCGACAGCTGGCGCGGTGCATCGGGCGCTGCTCGGGGTGCGGAACGAGTTGGATCCGGAGCGGAAGCGGGAGATCGACGAGAAGCACGCCGCGCCGCCGCCGGATGGGAGACGGCGGTCGTGACTGGCAATATGGTTGACTGTGACTTACGACTATTGAAACGAGTCGACAGATTGTGCTTGTGGCATCGCGGATTGCGCTATATAACCCGATGATGTAGATTGTACAAAGGCTACAGTTGTGTAAGTACTGTATTGAATGACTGCGGGCCAAGGGGAGGAGAGAGGATAGTGAATTGCAGCACAAATTAATCGAAGGATCCCCATTATCCCCACCAATTGAGGCTTACGTAGGATATCGACTTTTGGAAGTCATCGTAACAATGAGGTTGAAATGGGAACTCCGAGTAAATTTTACTCCCGTCAGACTTTGCATATTTTATAAAGCTTGTTTGCCTGATCTATGAGGAGTCACACACTACTGGTGATGCTAGCTGCATGATGTGACAGTGATCGTTGTCGGACTAATTAGGCTCAGCCTGCCTGGCAGGTCACCTCACAAGCTCGGACTGAGTGCGCAAGGGCCTGATGCATGTGAGTGGACCGTCTCAGGCCTAAATGATTATAAGATACTAACATATGCAACGGACCGCGTGGCGACCGCATGCGTCCTGTATGGTTTTTGCATCGAAGGGCCGGGCCCGGCGGCTCAAAGCAACACAGTGATTGCCGTGCACATGTCAATTATGCATCATGGATTGATTAGTATGCATGCATCATTGGTAGTAACACGAGCTTTAATTGAATCTCGAGTCGACTTGAGGCCCAGGCTCGATGCATATACAAGCCTGGCTATATGATCTAGTTTGTCACCCGGGCCGGGCGCCTGCAGGCCCGACCGCAGCTAGGCTTGAAAGCCGCACTAGTTCACTTATATGGCATGGCGCGCCAGTGACTTGCGGTGGCGGGCGCAAAAGGCATGCCAGCATGCGACTATGATGTTCCTTGCACGGTTTGCCAGCAGGCCCGCCCCGGCTGCAATAGGATGGTCGATCTCGAAGAGCTTGAGCTTATGTATACGTATCCGATTGAGTCCAATTAACGTACCGTGAGTCAGTAAGTTCACAAACTTGAAGCGCCAATTGTCCAAACCGCGCGCACTGATTGCATGGTAGTAGTACGTCCAGTAATTTATTTGCATGAGCTAACAATGTACAATTTTACGTTGTGCCTGCGCTGTTGCGCGGCCTGGATCGACTCGAACTTTAAGTTCCATATCAAACAGTGTTCATGTGGCGGCGCCTGTATGGCGGTACTTATAGGCGGGATTCGAAGATTCTTTTCATAAGGGTCTGGATCGCAAGTCATCAAGAGAGGCCAGGACGGCCCTGGCAGAGATTCCTGTGTGGTTTTGTGAACGTACGGAAGAGCGGGTGCGCTCTTGGTAATCACAACCACTCATCGTAGTAGTACTCACTCATCTACTCAGTTGTGAAGACATGTCGATTGAGGCTGATAAAATGATGGGCGCGGCCAGAACGCAGCCAACTTCGCCCAATTGTAGCCAACGGTAGAAAAGCGTCAATGATTGAGATTCCGATGATTCTTAGTTCACTTAAAAGAAAGTTAAAATTCCCCCAAAACTGCAATCATATTATCGCTGGATTGTGGCCAGTGTTTAAAAAGCGTCAATGATTATAATTCTTAGTTAAATTAAGACTCCCCCAAAACCGCAAGCAAATTAGGCTTAAGTCTTCACTGGTCCTGATTGATCCAAGATCGACGTTGTTTTTGCGGAGGGGGCGGCAAAGAGTCGCTTCTAACTGAACAGTGTGATTTTTCAAACGCTACAGGTTAAATGAGGATGATGAGGCAAACGTCGCAAGTTTGTGCGCTGCGGTCAATCAAATGCTTCTAGATCCTAACGATGGCGGCTCAACCACAACGTATATATTGAAAAGCTTACCACGAACAAGGCCTAAACTTGAGAAAAGAAGGGGGAGACCGATCTTTCCAAACGACCGGCGGCTTTATCAACTCTTCCAGCCACGTGACCGGCGCCCCGCAATTGCCATAAACGCAAATAATATGAGAACTGCGGCGCATTATTATTCCTTTTTTTGGGCCGGAGCAGACTGCGAGTCTCCTTTCAAACAGCCGTAGCGGTTTGCTCGATTATCATCATGCTATTGGATACCTGCAACACAAGTCGCAAACACGCTTATCAGCTACCAAACCGTACAATCTAGGCCAACACTTCGTCTAATCGAATGTAGATCCATGAGAAGATGAACAAGCTGTGAGATCGTGCTTTCTTCCACAATGCTTTGACCCAACAAGTACTGGTCGCACTTTATATGCCACTGCCACGGCTGACTCTGTAGGCGACCGCAAAAGCTTTTGCCAGATTAATTAATCCGGATCTCAGGAGCTCCGTAGAGCAGGTTTTTACCATACCCGGACTCTTGTACAATTAACCAGCCGGCAGCTCAAGACAAGCGCTACTCATGTTGTTCTCATGTGAGCACGGGCTGGCGCACAAGCGGCCAGCTAAAAAGATGATGGCCGGAAGACAAGCACCCATGTCAGAGCCCAGGTTTGCAGCCGGCTAGGCTCAGGCTCACCTCGCCAAACCGGTTGAAGGCGCAATCTGCTGCGCTCAAATCTGACGTGCGGTAGTCGTCATCCGTGCCCTCCACGTACTCCCGATGGAGCAGGCCCTCGAGAGTGCCCATGGCCAGGCGCGCGGTGGCTGCGCCCGGGACAAACATCTGCCCCAGAAACTGCACAGAAGCGTAGCGGCACGGTTGGTCGACGGCCTGCAACTGTCAAGTCTTGAAGTCCCCAAGGTTTTTGATTCTGTGCTGTGGTTATATTATAATATATAGCTAGACAGTCGCACCATCCTATCTAGAAAAGGCATCAAGAACCATTGCCCTGCACGATTGAACTGGGGCACATTTACCCCGGGTACTAGCAGGCGGGGCGTCTTGAAACAGTGTCAAAGTTTGCAGTTCTCTTCTCAAGAACTGGGCTAGCTGAGTTGGAAGAGCCGGCGTGTGCTCCAAACACTGAGAGTCTTGATTACAGGCAGGCGTTCAGTGGAAGGACAACGAGGAAGGTCACCGTTCAAAAAGCCCGGGTCGCCCAGGTGCCATTCTCCGTAGCTAGCGAAGCTGGTCAAGTCTTGGTAACTCCTTCGTTGAACTGTTCGTCTAGCTTCGAAAAGGAAACGTCTTAATGCTCACTCCGTGCACGTCTGTCGATGCCGCCAGCCGTTTAACTCCCAGGTTGAGGTAATGGATCGGCGGGTCTGCTATGAGGTCCTTCTCTGTTTCGGACGCCACCTCCAGAAGCAGGATGTCCGACACGGAGACGGCAAGGGCGTTCGGACGCCCAACCAGACGGCTGATTGTAGCCATGCCGTCGGGGCTGATCCAACCGGAGGAGGCAGACTCCAGATCCTGCAGTTGAAACGCTCGAAATGTAGCCCAGTTTCGGTTTTGTTGCACTTTCGTAAAGGTCTTTCAAAGGCGTGGGCAGGGAATGAGAGTAACGAAGGGGTGTGTTGAAGGTGTCTTGGTGACAGCTTCAAGCACGCCTATGCGTAATGGCTCAACGGTCGGAAGGTCTTTGATGCAAGTGAAAATGTTTTACGTGGAAAAAATTCATCTAATTCGCTGACGGACTGTCGTAGGGTCCATCTCGTTTCCCGCCCCGTGGAGGCATTCCTACCCATGACACGCTTCTCAACCGTAAGGCAAATTGAACGGATTCAGCAAACAGACGCCAGACTTCAGCAAAAGCAAGCGACGCACCATAATCACAAGATCGAGGATATCTGCATCTTCTTCATGCATGTTGGGAGAAGGACCTGAAGACAGGCCACCACGGAATGGACAGAACGAGTTCTAAACTGAACAAGTTGGACCAATTTATCCGAAAACTAGGATAAAGTAGCAAACGGAAGCGCACGGACGTCCGCATCTACAACGAACACCTTACCAACAGAGGGATCCCTCCGAAGGTCGAGTTCCCTTTGGGAACTCGCGCGCGCGGTCGCGCGCCTGGTCCAGCATGATCGTGATGTTCTTCTGCTCTCCAAACGGGTTGAGGTACGAAACACCAAACCCGGACATCCACGTGCCGTCGAAGAAGGGCTCCACGGAATGATCTCTCGAATCCTGGAGGATTTGGGTCCCGGAGGTGACGCCAAACATGAGGACGTTCAGCTGCGAGAACACAAGACAGAAGAATTAAGCCTCGAATGCGGAGTATGGAGAACTTGAACATTCTAGCGTGTGGCTTAGCTGGTATTGTGTACGTCTGAAAACCACTGTAGGTTGATGATCACGCGGTGTGAAGGAGATTTTAGGTTCGACAATAGTTTTGAGGTCCGGGGTAACGACTGTTTCTGAGTCACGGTACGCAAGGGGCCACTCGAAGGCCCAGATCATGCGTTTCTGCACTGTTTGAAACATCTAGTATTACCCTGGTGAGACGGCTCAGTCTGCAATTTTAGCCAAGACTACTTCAGACTATTTGGTGCTGGCAGGTCGGCCGGAAGAATTAAGCTGTTACGGTACGCAAGGGGCCACTTGAAGGCCCAAACGCGTTCTTGCACTGTTTGAAACATTCAGTATATTTACCCTGGTGAGACGGCTCAGCAGTCTGCAATTTTAGCCAAGGCTACTTCAGACTATTTGGTGCTGGCGCTAGGTCGGCGGGACCCAAAAGTAGCTGGATCTTGCCATGTGTACCAACGGTATATGGGTTCCGCGCAGATTCGACGTCGGGCATGGCTCTTCTCGGCGCATGGAACCTTTTCCCACTGCTTCACGTGGGAGCCTTTCTGAAAGCCCTGGGCAACTTTGCGACCGAGGGCCGATTGAGGCTTAGGGGTTAAAAGAGCACGAGATGCACGAATGACAAAGGTTCGCCCACCCCAGGGCTGCAAAATAGTCAGCGCCCCTCGCAGAATGTTTTCGGTCATGTGGAGACAGGTTAAGGAAGGGAAACCTAATTGGGCATCCAGGGCCCATTTGGGCATGCATGCCTCATCAAATGAATTGTCGACTGTAGTCTCTGGCAGAAGTATGATCAGACTTGTGCCTTCGCTCGACAGGAAAGTGAGGGCGGGCATTTCATTGTGCCGACTTTCTCGCTATTGGGTTCAAGTTCGCTTGAAGGGAAAGCCAAGCACCAATCCACTGTCTGCTTTCATGTCTCTACAATCTACTACTTCCAGAAATTCCACTAGGAAAATCCAGCAATTGGGCATATATATGCTCGGACAAGCGTGACCGTCTCACCTGAAGACAACTGTCCGAAATCATGCAGTAGGTTTTGCCGGCTTCTCCATGGAAGTCGAAGGACACCGGTCGACCCTGTGTCTCGGCCAAAGTAACCTCCAGATGGGGGTCCTGGACCACGGTTATGCTAACTGTAGAAACAAAGCCAAACGTGATTATCTCGAAGTCAAAGCGCGCTTCAAAGCTTCATCCTTTTAGTGGAGCTAAGCCGGCTTGAAAACCGACAGCCACTGTACTGGCAGGGCACCTAATGGATCAATGCTGGCCTCTTGTCGAAGAAGGACTCTGCAAGGGAAGCCATGTCAATGAATAAGGAGCCTATCACTTTTCCGTACTAAGTCTGCCCAATGACAAGCTCTTAGGACTATGAAGCCATGAGTCGACCAACTTGAAGATGCGCCAGAAGCTTTCGCACTCAACCGGACCTGGTTTATGCGTGCTTTACCAGTTCTTAACCATGTTCGTCAGGTAGAAGGTCAACTACGCCAGACGTCAACCAGGCTAGGTTCAAGCTGCCTGTGGATGACTTTGTGCTCATGCAGGGACGCAGCAAATATTGAGCATGTAAGTGCCGGCGAAACCGGGGTCCAAGCCTATTCTACACTAAGAGATTCTACATTGGCAGCGCATGGGTGATATCTGACAGGAACTCCTGGTCCTGAGGTGCTCTTTTAGGCTGAAAGGGGTCAGGAAAAGTGGTTTTATTTGCATGGTAGCAAAAAGGGCACCCAGTCCTCGTACATTGTTGTGTGGCGCAGCAGAAGGCACCTTTGTTCCCCATAACGCACTTACATGGCGTGTACAGCTCCGCCGAGGCGATCACGTCTTGCTCCCGACTGAAGCCGCCCGCCACAAGCACCTTGCCGTTGTTCAGAGGCGTAGCACTGTGAGAACATCTCGGGGTACCCAGGGGACCTACTGTACTCCATGCTCTGGTTGCGGGATCGTAAAGCTCCGCGGCATTGATAAAGTCAAAAATGTTAGTGTCTAGGAGTCCTACCCCCCCAGTCACGAGTACCCGTCCATCACTGAGGGTGGTCCCCCCGTGCAGATCCCTTTGGAACGCCATGCTCCCCACCGGGACCCAGGTGCCAGAACCCAGGTCATAAACCTCAGCGGACGCTCGATCATCGCCACCTGCGACGAGCACGCTAACCGGCAAAGTGCCTACTAGCAAGTTTGCCGTAAATCGTGATCGTGTAGTGCTCATGCTGCCCGTGGCGGCCCAGCGATTTGTGCTCGCATCGTACAGCTCCGCTGAGGCTGTGGGGCGCTCAGTCTGGCCACTTACTCCGCCGGCCACAAGCACTTGCGGGGGATTTCCAGGTAGCAACGTTGCCGTGTGAAAGTTCTAGGCGTGACCATAGTCCCGGCAGCAGACCAACTGTTTGTTGTGGCCGAGTACAGCTCCGTGTTCCGGAAAAGTCGCCCGCCAGAACGCGGGCGATATCCCCCCGTGACCAGCACGGTGTTGCCGTCCCCCAATGCAACAGCCTGATGGTCAGACCTCGCGTCCAGCATCGGGCTGGTTGTCGCCCAAGTGTTCGTTGCTACATTATAAACCTCTGAAGAGCTCAGCGCAAACCCGTCAGGGCCTACGCCACCGGCAACCAATACGACCCCGGCGGACACCAGGTATGTAGCCGTATGCCGATTCCTTCCAGTTGACATGGACCCGGCAGAGCTCCACATACCAGTATCTGGATCATACAAGTCTGCGGATGAGGATCCACCAACTACCAAATCCTTTCCAGTTTTCAAAAGTATCGTGGCGGTGTGTTCAAACCTTGCCAGGAGCATGGAACCGGTCGCGCTGAATGTGCCCCCGTCCATTGAAATTGCACGGATAATAACCAAGATTGAAGGATCCAGGATCGCTTTGGCGGTGTCAACAAGCCAGGCGGCTCCGAGTAACATAAGCATGACCTGCTGGACCAATTTGAGGGGCCAAATCTGGCATTGAGACAAGGGGCCGGCCCTCAGCCCAACCTACATAAGTGTACATTCGGTTGAAGGAACACCATCCAAAATGGTCCCTACACTTGAGGAACTAAACCTGCATTTCCACAGCCTCTCGTCATCCTGATGATTGAAATCTTATGCACGAAATCAACAAGAGTAAGAGACAGGGCATGTATGTGAGCGCTAGTAGCTAGAATTCTCTACTCTGGGGCTTTGTCATTGCCAGAACAAGTATCCAACCTCAGGCCTGCGGGAAAGACGAACATAGAAGCAGCCCAACACAAGTGTATGCGTCCAAAGCGATAACGATGGGATATCTTAGGCAAGCAGTCAAATTAATTAAGGGAGGGGATCACAGTATGCAGACTGAGGTATCTCGACAAGCTGATCAAGATCATAGCGGCATACCATTCTTTAAGGCCCTGATGCAGGTTAGTAATCAACCTGATGCTCTCATTGATTCCAACCGAGAGGTCGACTATCAAATTAAGCAGAGCCGTGTATCTCACCAGGTGCCTGTGCTGTCACGCACAACGCATTCCACCCAGTAACCAACAACAAGCTGGCCAGTAAAACAATGATCAAGCTGGGGCGACCGAAGCTCCGCGCCATTGCCCTGTAGAGCTGATTATCAACTGGTTCAGGCCCTGGATGATGTAAATTATATGCTATTGAAACCAGAGTCAAATTCAAATGACTTCCTGCGACATGCTGACCCCATAGAAGAGATAGAAGCTTCCCTAAGCAATTCCATAACCTGCTTTGTTAGTCATTCAAGGTTTTATTTTTCATTGCAGGAATTGGGCAATGAAGCAAGAAATGATCCCAAGCAACCTGTACACACTTAGCAGCTAGAGAGCCCAGTTGCAATCAGTGAGACATGATTCATACATAGACCCATGTTATGCATGTACATGTCATCTAGATCAGGTCTACTCACCTGATCTTCGTTCAAGTAGCTGCCAAGCCTGTTTGCCCCCAAACCTCTGGACCAACCTTTATCACTTGGCAGCTGTACAAGGTGAACAAGGTTTTGTTATGGTAACGTTGCTTCCGACCTGCAAGATTCATGGACACCTACAAAGAGGGCAAGCTGGTTTTGCCCTCCAGCTGTCTCAAGGCCTGTAGATTCAATTAGAGGATGAACACCAGACAACTTTGGACTGTTGGAGGCTTACATAGACAAATCTGCAAAATGCATGTATAAAAAGAGAAGGAGTTAGATGTTGTCTAAAGCCAATGCGGATCTAAGTGGCCCGAGCAATGGCCCAGCTCCTTCAGGAAGCTCTGTACGTGACGGACTTGGTAGAACCAAGCCCAAAACCTGGCAAGCAGCTGTGTTTCATGAAGGCATGTGCAAGAGCTCGTGTACCCCGCCGTCTGTCCTCAATTTAACCCGAAGGCAAGACTCACAATGCACAAAGCCCGGCACAGACTCGGAGCAACAAGGTAACCATGACCAGGCAATCTAGGCACTGCCACAAGAAAGCCGACTCTCGTTGTACTTCCCCTGCTTACATTGCCAAGTCAGCGCCTCCATGCCCCCGAAACACCAAAATGGGACCCAAAAAGAAAGACTTTCTTAGGGCCACATACTCGCGCTCAGGGCATACATAATCCAAATATCTGGTCAGCTGCCAAAATGGCAGTCTCCTGTTAGTATGAGGCAGGACTCCGCTGCTTCACGGGCGCTGCGAAAAAGCCCCACATCTGTATAAGAGCCCGCAGTTTAACCAGCCTGGTATTCTGGTCAGTTGGTGGGCAGGTCACAGAGGTACCTGCAAAGTCCTGGTCTTCTCGAGAGCACCATCAATGCCTTTCGACACCATAAGAAACGGGCCATCGTAATAATGCGGAAATCAACTGAACAGAAGAAACTCACCTGATGCCTCACTGTGGGCCTCACTGTGCAGCTACTCTCAGCACCCGCTAGCTAGCGCGTCCCGCTTTTGTTCTTGTACACATGTCAGGAAGCCCTGGAAGCCTTAGTCATATGTAGTAACCCTGCGCCTGTAAAGAAAAGGCTTTCTGGAAGCGAATGGAAGCCCAGGAGGTTTCTAGGATCGAAAGGCTCTTGACTCATGATACTGGAACCGGCCGGCTTCAAATGGGCTTGAAATCGGCAGGAGCAGGCGTGTATGACGTCTACGGTATAAAACTACAATGAGGCTGCATTATACAGTATCCTGATCAGGGTAGAACAGAGTAAATCGAAGACAGCTCAGTCAGTGCAGCACGGGCTGGGGGATGGCAGCGCCAAACTGTTCTGTCTACACTGTACAGCCTTAGGAGACTGCTCGCACATTCGATCATTGAATTCAGTGGGTATACATGTTGTAGGTATACCCGTACTACCATTCCCATTCGCACTGAACTATTCTTGTTGAGGCAACTGCGAAAGACAATAAACAACATTCGACCGAGACGCGAAAATGCGAAATAAGGAATCAATTAGGAAAGACGAACTTCCGGCTGTCTCGGGTAGTAAAAATCGAAAAACGGAGGTCCTTTGCGGAAAATTCGAAAATTTGTCGAAGCCGGTGCGAAAACGAAAATCTTTCGAAAATGAAGAATTCCTCCAAGCTGGTGCGCATGGGAATGGCAGGCAGTATGGTATATCTGTTGTGGATACGGTACTTGTGAAAAAGCGGTGCCCACGGTCCACGTACCGCGGAGTTCCAGACACCGTAGTACTCAGGTACCGTACTACCGGTAGTACTTACTATCATACAGTATACTGGTACCTACCAGTATTACGGTACCTAAACCACACAGTGCACAGTGCACACACACTTCCACACACACTTGTGCGCACATGTGCACACACTTGCGTTTCGTGGGGCATACCGGTACTGTACCGGGTACA